CTTTCTCATGACCTATACCACGGTTGATGATAATGTCTATTAGCGAACACGGTGCATCTAATAGTCGTTTAAAAACATTAAAAGGTTATTGCTGATCAATTTAATATGCATGCAAAGAGAAACTATGAAATTATTTCACGTACGAATAAATAACGCATTATTTACATACACCATTAAGTGAAGTAAGCACACATAATTTATTTTCATTAGAATTATATTACAAACAATACATGTATGTACATGATGCTTACCCGTTTTGAATATGTCACCAAAAGCTCGGGATCTTCAACTTTCCTAACATCATATATATGAATTCAGATTCTACGAAAGACGGCATATCTAAATTTATCGTACTCATTAATATACTTCCTAATAACAAGCTATGAAATGCTGCCCCAGTAGCCATCCATCAAAGTACCAAACTGAGATTCGTCTTTAATATAGGCAGTAGGTAATTCTCAGAAATGTGTAACAGAGTTACCATTTTAAGAGAGGAATTCCTTTTATTATACAAATTATGCAAATAAAATTTTTAAAATAGGTACATGATTGTCGTAATTGTTGCTTAACATTATAATATATGAATAAGAAGGTTATCCATGTCTCAAATGCTGTATATATATCTGTAAAGGAAAAACTCATCTTGACTACAATTTTTTTATTAAAACAGGGACTAGTCAGTCAGTAAGAAAACTATGTTGGTGTACAATAGATATTAGGATATTTTATACAAGTAGTGCAGAATTTTCTAGGCAAAATTAAAAAAAAAGTAAAAGGATAACAATCTATGAGTTGATACTACATTTATGACAATCAAAATATTATCATAGTAAGGGAGGAGCTTAAAGGTACCATTCGGAACGCGCGACAGACGACATACGACAGCAGACGTGACGGCAAAGTAGACGTCTGAACACATGAAATTATATGAAACACATTTTGCAAGGCGCGACCTGTCCGAGAGACAGAAGTCGACGACAAATAGATCTGTCTCGGGGTAGAAGTATATAAGAAACGAAAAATAGACATTTTTCTACCCAAACTAGAAAATAAAAAAAGAATACAAACAAATAATAACATTTTTAATATATACTTAAGGTGATTACAGCACCCCTTATAATTTTCGAACAAGCATATCTCAAAAAGTAATTTTTTTAAAAAATTAAAATTTTGGCAAAATTAATGAGGCAATAATATCTAAAATATGCATATATTTTAAAGTTTTAGTTCCTTCCAGTTTCCAAGAAACAAAATCGAAGGGCTTTAAATTTTGAAATATCATAAGGAAAATAAATGTATTCCTCAACAGCACTATTCTTAATATAATCCCCAAATTTAAGCTCTTAATCTCTTGTTATTGATTTTTTAAAATTCGCCGAAGTTAGTGGCTAAAACGCCTCGTTAAGTGCTATTTTCTGGTTTAAACATGTGTAAATCATTGCAAGAAACGAATGATGACTCAGAGTGTACGATACGATAGTTACAGTCGCGTTACACCAGAAAGCAGCACTTAACGAGGCGTTTTAGCCACTAATTTCGGCGAATTTAAAAAAATCATTAACAAGAGATTAAAAGCTTAAATTTGGGGATTATATTAAGAATACTGCTGTTGAGGAATGCATTTATTTTCATTATGATATTTCAAAATTTAAAGCTCTTTGATTTTTTTTCTTGGAAACTGAAAATAATTAAAACTTTAGAATATAAGCACATTCTAGATATTATTGCCTAATTTATTTTACGAAAATTTTAACTTTAAAAAAAATACTTTTTGAGATACGCTTGTCCGAAAATTATAAGGGGGTGCTGTACTTACCTTAACGTCCAGAAACAAAAAAACAATGAAAAATAATAGGTATTTCTTTTAGATCAGTCTGAATCAGATAATTCAAATACGTCGTGTTTGGCATGCATGTTCTTTTTCTGATGCCCTATTAATTCTTTGTTGCATTTTAAATAAAAACAATGATTATCTTGAGGTTTTTTTTATGAAGCAAATTTACTAGAGAAAATATTCTGTAACCATTGGCTTAAAAATGAGGAAAACTTAATAAATTAAAAACAAAATTTGGTAAGTTGGCGAAAACAGTAGATTTCATGCCTAAAACAGGAGTACAGAGACAAAAACAGTGGATCTACTTTAAAACAGTAGGTCTGACAACACTGATCGTTCACTCGAATTGTCGTCTGCGGTTGTCCGTCGCCTGTCTCCTTGCTTCCCAAATATGTAAAGCGTAACGTAAATGCATCTGTCTCGTCTGTCATCGTCTGTCGCGCGTTCCGAAATGGTACCTTAAGGATACCTCTGAGAAAATATGAACATCAAAAAACTTCAAAAACAAGTAAGGGAATGGCAATAGTTTTTAAGATATTATTACTTAATGTTGTAAAAAAATAATTAAAAATATCGAAAAAATTGATTAATATATCAACCAGTTTGGAAAAAAATGCAAATTTGGCTTAAAACGGCCCTTTCTCAATCCCATTTAGAACGTTTTCCTTTTCTTATAATAGAACCAGTGTTGCCGTTTGGGTGGAAATTTCCCCCTTGGGTGGAAATTTTGACCCTGGTGGGATTTTTAGGTGGATGCAATATTTTTGGGGAATTTGTACCTATAATGACTTTTTTGCGAATTAATTTTGGATTTCTTCTTTTTAATACTTACTCATTTTGTCATAAAAATACCTATCTGTGACAATCACTACAGTTCAGTGGTGACAATCACTACAGTTCAGTGGTGACAATATAGTATGTCACCTAAATTATTTTAAACAAACGGAATAATTATTAGTTATTAGTATTACGAAAAAAAGTTGCGTCATTTGGACAACCATAATCAAGCAAAAAGTGGGTAATTTTTAAAACCGTCGGTGGATAAAGTGGAAATTTAGGGATTAAGCGATGGGAAATTTTAAAGGTTCGATTCGGCAACACTGAATAGAACAAATGCAATAGAACGTGATAGAAATGGGAATTGGTTTACCTTATAATCAACCGTGAACAGTACTGAAGTTTATAGAGCCACAAAATAAAAAAATCTGATGTGTCCAACACATGACTTTCCTATCTAGTTATTATAGGCATTTTCCGGTTATTTTGTACAGCCTATTGCAGCATCTCTATAAATGTTTAGAGGATATATACACATACATATACCTCGAAACATTTTTCTATAGATATTCATTGAAAACGAAAATACAGAAAAATTTAATTTTAGCACTTTTCCATTACGGTCCATTTTAGAAAAATCATGTATAAACAAAAATTATAGAAATCGATATCGCAAACAACTTTTAATTCAACAATTTTCATAAAAATCAGAATTTTGCACATTTTGTCAAATTTCTCGAATACGGACCATTTCAGGAAATTTTGACATAAAGCAAAAATTATAGATAATAATATTAGAAGTAACTTTTATTTGAACAATTTTCTTCTCCAAACATAAATAACAGATATATTCCATAAAATATAAAAACGGCCTCCCATAAAGTACCCCCCCAGATGTTCCGACTTTGTCCAAAATCTAATCATTTCACGTCAGGCCGAAATAAACCTTAAGTTTAAAATTTAATGTTTTTTCCTTTATCCGTTTTTGAGTTTTCTTCAAATTTCGAAATTTACACATTTTCTCAAATATCTCGAATACGGTCCATTTTAGAGAAATTATGTATAAGACAAAAATTATAGAGAATTATATTACAAACAACTTTTATTTGAACAATTTTTATAAAAAATTATGTTTTTTACATTTTGTCAAATTTCTCGAATACGGACCATTTTAGGAAAATTTTGCATAAAACAAAAATTATAGATAATTATATTAGAAGTAACTTTTATTTGAAGAATTTTCTTCTCCAAACGTAAATAACAGATATATTCCATAAAATATAAAAATGACCACCTATAAAGTACCCCCCCAGATGTTCCGACACTGCCCAAAATCTAATCAGCTCATTGGACGCTGAAACAAAGCTTAAGTTTAAAATTTGGTGTTTTTCTGTGTATCGGTTCATGAGTTATGCGTTATACAGACACACACACACACACACACACACACACACACACACACACACACACACACACACACACACACACACACACAGACACACACACACACACATACACACAGACATCATCGCGAAAATAGTCAAAACGGATTCAGGGGACCTCAAAACGTAAAAATCCGTCGAAAACTCGAGGTCGAAAAAAATCATGATTCCTATACTTTCCTTATATCTGTATACAGATAGGAAAGTAAAAATATAACATCGTATGTTAAATTACAATCAAATAGGAATTTATACCGATAACGATTGCAACTGATAAACATACGACTTTGTGCTTTTCTTTTATTAAAATCATTTCCTATTATGGTACTATAACAGTATAAAAATAATAAAGTCTTGCTAGTTTGAAATTTACAAATTTTAAAATAAATACAGACACTTCGCCTGAGGTTTGTTATTTTGAATGTCTATAAAGTTTAACTTAAATTTATTCATGAGAATGTTTGTTACTTTTCCGGTTTCATTGTGTTCCCATGTTAATTGAATAATCCTTGAGAATTATTTTGAACAATATTTATAGCTTTTGCTTATTTATAAAGAAAACAAAATTGTAATTTATAAAACTGTAACTAAAAATAAATAGGTGTACCTCAAAATATACGAGGCTGTAAATTAATGTACCCACCATTAACTTAAATTACTTATATATTTTTGATTTTTGTATGTTGAAACGAACTTTTCTCTTTTTTAATTATTATTCCTACATAGTCATCGAAATTAATAGTTACATCCATATTTTGTTTTTTTAATCTCTTGATTTGACAAACATATTAATTTTATTTAAATATTTTACGTTTAGATTTATTAGCTTTGGCGGTTTTAATAGATTTTATCCAAGGAATCTTGTTTTTAGTTTTAAATTAAATATTAGTTGTTTTATGAATATTTTTGTAAATTAATTTTTATTATTATTTTGCTTGTATTTTTAGATAGTTCAGACGATTCCATTAACAGGATAACGGATGATTTCGGAAGGCATCGACTACAAGGTACGTATATATGTAATTAAAATTCAGTGGGTTTACAAATTTCACATAAAAAAATCAAGAAATTATAAAATAAAGGTACATCTTAAATATATTGTACCCTTTTCTTTTATTTATAGATTATTAATAAAATATCATTTTCATATAAATTTAGTGAAGGAGGATAAGTTTAGAAAACGAGCCGCTTGCGACGAGTATTCTAATGAACGAATACACTAATACTCCGTTGGCCCACCGATAATTTTTTACAGGGTGACCCAGATTTTAAACCACCCCATAGCATTTAATCCTGATCGTTTCAATCCCTTAGGTTAATCAAAGCTATATTTTAATTTAGAAAAATGCAGTTTTTTCATATTACCCTTTTTACTAAAAATGTCACTATATATTTATCTACTTATATTGTTTTTTACTAAATATTACGAGTAATGTTTGAGGGCACGTTCATGACTCCTTTACACTAAATTTTTAAAATAGCGACTCCAAAATTATAAATAACACATTGCCATAGAAAACGTGTACTTTACACTATTTTTCTACTATCAAATTAAAAGATTAAAGAATTAATAGATCTAGAAGCAGAAAGATTCTTCTTATTTATAAGAATACTGACTTTTCAAGATGCTTTTATGTAGATGAATTACAAAAAAAAGAATTTTGAATGATATGATGATATCCATAATTAAGAGAATCATTATTAAACAAAAATATATATTAATTTATATTGTTTACAATTACCCTTTAAACAGTATAGACGTAAAATAAAGTTAGCTTGTGTGTCATCATTAATCATATTATTAGATATAATTGTTTAATTTTGTGCTTGCTCATTTGTAATTTCATTGTATTACAATCTTATAACTAGATAAATGATTGTTTGATTGATATGCATTTTAGAAATGGTTATATTAAAATTATTGAATTATTGTTGACCTTAGTGAAGAACGAAGAACTCAATTATTATATTCTGTCTCTTTTCGAATATTAGTAAACAGAGCTGGGCAGTGCTCGAGTAAATTGTACTCAAAATTGTATTCGAATACTCAAAGTACTCAGTAATTAGTACTCGTAAGTACTTTCATCCTGATGGGAGTCATACTCGAAAAATTTCGGGTAGTTTATATTTTAGAGTACTTGGTACTTTTAATTCCTACAGCTAACGAGTAACGAGTACGATTACCGACGCGCGCATAAATTATAATGATTCAACCTTGGAAAGGTTAAACCATTCTAATACCCTATAGATTTTAGGGTTATAGGTCCTTTGGCTTTCCACAAAAATTTCAAAAAAAAAAATAATTCTAATCGATAAATGTTGAATGTGAAAAAAAACTAAATCTTCCGCTTCTCTTCTTTCTTATTGCTCTCTGTTCTGATTTCTGCTCTAACTCCTGACTTTCTGTACCTTCTGTTCTGTCTGTTACTTCTCTTGCTGTTTTCCTCTACTTTCTCCTCTTTCTGACGAACGCCTCTTCCTACTAAGTTCTTCTTATTCCATTCACACTTATCTTTAATTTAAGTAACATTTTCTTCATCTTTCTTTATTATTCTTTTTTTGTTTCATCTCGACGTTATAAAATCTTCAACTTTAGTGTCTGTCTATCTATCTTAACTTTAATATAATATTTTCTGACTTTTTTGTAATTTCCCCAACTGGCAATTATTCTAAAGACCATCTGTCAATCTTCCCAAAAAATATCTGACAATTCCATTAATTTTTAAAATCCCACTAGCATCGACGTCACAACCCTAAAGCAACCCAAATAACTTATCCACGCCAACCATTGAGATACAATAAAGAGGAGATGCTTTGACGATGCTAAAGTGTGCGCACCTTTGCATTACACTTTTACGTCATATGTCAAACTGAAGCTAGTCAGTTTTGGAGAGAATAAATGCAATTTTCTTAAAATAACATCATTTAAATGATATACAATCATTTTCATTTTGTCAGTCCTCAAATATAAAATTATCGACTTCAAATAAATCAAAGTACGACTCAAGTCGCCATCTTCATTTCATTTTTCCATCACTCGAAGTGCGTCCATGTGTCATATCACAAAATAGTGTTGTTGTCTCCACTTTATTCTATCTCGATGACGACAACGATACAGGAAGGAAAAGATAAGAATATGTCAAATGTCGGAATCATGGCAACAAATGTTTTAAAATATACAATTGTTCTTTTGAGTATTCCCTATCTGTATTTCTGCCCTTACTTAATACCTTTATTACTTAAACATTAAATTTTTAATTTATAGCAGATAAATGATACTGATACTCTCTTTTTTGTTTGTTGCTTACTATTACTAATCATTATATAATTGAAGACATTGGTGCAAAAAGTCCCATTTTTATTAATAAAAGGACGCTCTATCGATTGGTGCAAGAACGAGGCAGCTCTGGATTTCTACCGATGTTATACGGAATATATTGACGACCCATACTTCAATTCGGGGCAAATCAATTCATATTTTGGCCGCGCTGAGACATGTTTGATATTTTTTATTAGTCATTACGTCGATGTTACTTGTGTTTTACTGCTTTTTGGTCATGTTGAATGCAGCAGTTTCGCCAAAACCTGTATTTAAAATGAATTTGCTCTTCAAAAACCTGGATTAAATCTGACTCTACCTAGTCCTCACACCTCTACCTGGACCTTTACTACTCAAGCGCCCTAAATATCGCTGTCCCAGTTCAAAACTGTAACATCTCAAAAGTTTTAGAATTTGAGATAAGAATGTATTCTTAGAAAGTAGGGCAAGATCTATACAGTTCAACACTATAATATCTCAAGATTTTGTAGAAGAAAATGTAGAAACAAAATCTTGAGATATTTTATAGTGTTAAATATCTTATCCTCCTGCTAAGATATCTCAAATCCTAACATTTTTGTGATGTTACAGTTTTGAATTTTGACAGCGATATCTGCATGTAAAAAACTAGCATTAAAATACGCCCCTGCTGATTGTATATGGTTTTAAGAGATGCTCAAATGTCCGGAAGAAGAAAAAGAGCCTCCCCAGTGTGCAAGCACTTTCAAAGATGCTTAAATTGACTATAATAAAATGTATACTACTTGTGATATTCTTATCTAAATAAAACAGTAAAATTAAGTCTTTTTCAATTTAAGGTGTATTAGTTTAGGGGTTGACATATTTCAGATTACTTTTCGGTGTAAAATGGATGAAGCTCCCAACTTTTTTTTAAATACTGTACTTTAACTAAATTATTTAAAACTTGTAAATTTGGACCCATTATGTATTTTTTACTAAATTAAAACCTAATGTTGACAAAAAAAATTAAAAATATATATTTTTAAATTAAAATGGTTTTTACCTTATCCTTAAAAATTTATAAAAACGGAGCTACCCCCTTTTTGCACCAGTATCTTCAATTCTTTTTTTTTCTAAACTTAAGTTACTAACTAGAATTATTTAAAATAGATAAGGTACTCATATTCGTTACTCGATTTTATCATGAGTACTCTCTAAAATTTTCAAAAGTACTCATTTGCCTTGAGTATTATTCATATATAAGTACTTTCTAAAGCTGCTCATTGTGAAGTACTTTAATGCAGTACCTACTTTGGCCAGATCTGCTAGTAAATCAGATATACGAGGTTTATCCATAAAAATATCGCACATTTGAATTAACACGACGACGAATACTACTAAATGCTTTTATTGCTGCCATGTGTAATATTGCAGCGTCATTAATTTTGAGAATAAAAGTTTGAATTTTCATTATTATCAATCAAAAGCTTTTTTATTAATAAATACAGTGTTGGAAGGTATGAAAGGTCCTTATATTAAACACACAGTGAATATCCTTTATAGTTCATTTATTAAAAGACAGCCGTAATTATAATGATGCTTAGTCGAGTGCTATTATATAACTAATCACTAATCTTCACTGGATGTTATTGGTTTCAATCGGTCTTAAAAATACACATATATTGTTGACAGTAATATGAAGAATAACTGACTCAGCTTGCTAGAAGGCCATTCTCCATTTACTAAACAAACAGAATATTATTTTTGTATAACAACCAACATACAGTATTTACAATTATAATAATGAGCATTTTTTAATTTACAATTTTAACCGAAAATATAAGTATACCTCTAAAAAACAATTTGCAATGTATGTTCCCTTTATTTAATATTTTAATAAATATTATTTAATCTTAATAATTCTTATATATCTCATTTTTGTGAAATTTGTTTTAATAATGTGAAATTGTAAGCCTACATGTTTAAAATATTACAAGTACCATTAAATCTTTAAATAAATTTTTTTAATTTTATAATCAATAGAAATGCTGCTAGGTATTATTAATATAAAAAATTAAGGACAATTATTGCCAGGAAAATTGACGCATTTAGTTAATAACTGTGATTACTTGGTTTGATCTACCGTATTAATCAATCTAATCACTCGTAACAAATGAAGACATTGCAGTAAATTCTCAATTATAAAATATACAGGGCGTTTGGTATATCGGTAAAAATATTAAACGGCTAATTTACGTTTGTGCCGGTAATTATCTGTTTTAGACACACTTCTAATTAATCTCCTAATCTTAATTTCTTGACATGCATTGGAATGGCAGAAAGTTATAAAATTTAGATGTTGTATGTATAATACAGTATGATGCAAATATATGGAATAAATTGATTATTTTAAAAATAGACGACTTTTGAAAAAATCCTAAAGCACGCCAATTTGATTTTTTGAAGGGCAAGTATATTTAAAAACTAAAGTTGACACGTCATACTGTATAATCTATATCTAGTAGTATAAATTTTTATATAATACTCTTTGTATTCTTATAAAATTGTCTTTACAAATATCAAACGCCCTGTATACTAGTATTTACTTATTTGTAACATTTGCGCCAGAAAGGTAGAAGAATATTTATATTTAAAAAATATATATTCCAGATGGACATTTATATATTTTAAAATAATATTAGCAGCATTTCTAATTATTGATGTTAAATTAATTTTTTGTTTGCGTTGTGATTAACTTTGTTCTATGCCTTCCTATCTTTGTTGTATATTTATTTGCATGTCGTAGATGTTTTAGAAGAGAATGAAGACGATATATTCGGTCGATTTACAAATTACAATACCAACACATACCGTAACAGATATTCCTCAAGTAAGTTGCGAGTTCTTGGGAATTAGTTGTCTCATACGAATAATATTGTTGAAAAAATATATTTGATTAGTAATCGATTTTGTTTTTTTAGTATCTTCTTATAAAACAGTACTTATTAGTGGATGTTTTTAAAGTAGTTTGATACATTTATTATTCTTAGTTTTTCGTATATATGTCCTTTTTATCACGTGTGGGTGTAGTTATAACGAAATGTAAAATTAATGCCGACCGTTTTTTGTTCTGTAAGAATTTTTGTTAGGTAACTATTATTCCTAAATTCCCATCATTATTCTCATCAAACTGGACCGTTACCTGAGAATAGTTTCTCTTTTTATACCAACTTTATTATCATATTTAAACAAGTGGAATTAATGATAAAAATATATAATAATAGACTTCTCATTAGTCTTTATTGTTATAACAAATGAATTATGCATTTACTAAAAAATTCTTTAAACTACATAGCAATTTTTTTAAATTCTCGGGATAAAAAAAAATATCCCTAAAGTAAAATTTATGCGCATGATCAGAATCGGTATCTTGCATCTTTATATCTTACCAACACATGATAATTAGGACGATACCTACAGTGTGCCACACTTTTTATGCATATTCGTTATTTGAAGTTGAACTAATTTTAAATAGATTAGTAGAGGTGGTATTGATAAATATTTAGCCTACCATATCGCTCAAAAGGTTTCGTTCTTTTGAGGTTTTTTTTTACGCCTGTATTATCTAGTATCTTTAGGACCTCGATATTGAGAAGGAGTTTCCCTTCATATTTCACTGCAAATCTCTTAATATCTTTGACGGTGTCTTCAATAACGATCGGTGTTTTTAATAACTCCCAGTTCTATCACCGTTCAACTTATTTATGTCAGACTTTAACAAACTTTTTTATAAAACATCATACTTGTAACCATAGTAACCATATTCAATTTTGCTAGAACTTTTCTAGGCTAACTAGTTACCAATATCATCTTGTTTACTTTTTAAAACAATTTGAATTTTGACTAGCGTTATAATAAAAAAAATGCGACAATTCCATTTTCAAAAGCGGCTTCATACACTGGATATATGCGATATTAGCTTTCTTTAGATTTTATTTAGTTTTTATTACACTCTTATTAAAAGTAATTCGTATTATTTGCAGGATCTTTGCAATAAAATTATTAGACTCATCTTTTAAACTCAACCCCTTATATTTTTTTTATCTAGCTTATTAATTTTTCATATTTGTGAAAAATATAATTATGTTATGTATGAGTATAATTTTTGGTTGCAAAGTTCTACTATATAATAGTTTTTTGTGGCACTTGTGTGTAATTAATATTGCACTTTGTATGTGTATGCCTATATACACACTGCATATTGCATGCAAACGTGTTAGCTTTATATGTTGCTTATATAGTTGGTAGCACTGCTTCATCACTAGACGCTCTTTGGGACCTCCATCCACATCGATTGAGCGAAGCTGGACTGAGCCGGCATTCAGGTAAATTGACCGCTTGTTAGAGCTAATATTTAACTATATTTTTGAAAAACAATACATTTCTGTTTATTTAATATAAATGCCTTATAATTATTACAAAAAAAAACATAAGACTAAAACTTGTAATTATCCTATATTTTTAAAAAATGTGTAAAACTGGAATTTGGATCTTTCAAAAAGTTTTCAAGATACATTGAAAAAATCATTAGAAAACTGTTTAGAACTCAAACCAAATAATCAACTCATTTAAAAATTTGTAGCAAAAGTAATAAAAAGTAAGGTTTTCAAAAAAATAGTTATAGGTTATGTAACAATATTTAGTGGTTTATTCTTAAAAAAAAAAAACAATAATTGTAATATATTCTTTAACAAAGAAATAATTGTGATATATTCCAAACCATAACTATAATATTAATATTTATATGATCTCTTAGGGAGTATTATTATTATTATACCCATTGCAATGAAATTTCCGATGCACGTCATCAATGATGAGAATTGAATGTCAAATTGAACAGATAAATCATTCCTATTAGTCATATTTGTTGCTTTTCAAGATTGAACTGGGCAATTGGTATACGTAACGGACAGTTCCTAAGCATTTAAATAGCTGTGTGAAAGAATTAGTGGGGGCTCTAATAAGATATTTTGAAGAAGAACTGCTTCTGAAAGCTTCTAAAATTGTACACAGGATGTCCCATTAGTGCCTAATTGTTCAATATTTCAATTTGTGTTATAGACACGCAAAAAAGTTTCAAATAAAAGTTATATGGGTTTGAAAAATATGTTTTCAAAAATATTTTTGTATATACAGGGTGTTGCGTTTTGTCTTGGCAAATAATGTATGTTCTTTAAAAAATTGAGAACATCGTTACTTCACATTTTGACACACCATATAACAAGATAGCAAATAAATGAAGTCTATTAAAATTGTTTGACGATGTGAAACCAAATATGTATAACTACCTGTAGGAGGTTTTGCTTTAAAAATGTATAAGTTTGATCAGCCCCTCGTTTATGGACCACCCTGTATATTTGAGAATATTTATTAAAAATACAATTTTTATATTTTTTTTTTTCGTATTTCCAATAATAAAACAGCTATCGATCAATGATGGGACACATATATGTGTTATTAGCTAACATATTGGTATCGTTAGATAGGTAAATTTATAAGGAATTTTATGCTAAATAATATACAGGGGTTGCATTTGAAAAAATTGAGTAAATTAAACCTAAAATTAACCATATTTAAGACATGTTTCAAAACACTATGTATAAAATAAACCAGTACTATCACCACTATTCGTTAGCTTAATATCTTATAAAACTGTATAATAAATAATTTTGCATCAATTTAAACCTACATAAATTATGATAATTTAATTTGGGGTCTGCATCATTCTCTAATTAATTTCTTGGCAACACTGTAATATTTTTTAAAAAAATTCTAGGGTGGATACAGTATTACCAAACCATTCTAAAAATAAAATACATGGTGTCCTATTTAAAAAAAACATGCATTTTTATTTGCCACCCTGTATATCAAAAAAAAAAATTAAATATGTATTTTTCAAATCTATATAACTTTTATTTGAAGCTTTTTTGCGTATAAAAATTGAAATATGGAACAATTATGCTCTAATAGATTTAATGAATGAATGATTTAGTGTCAAAAGATGGAGTTCAAATAGAGGAGTTTGCGCGCAAAACTTTACAAGTCCAGCATAACTAAAAAGTCAGAAAAGTGATATTACAGTAATTTCCTATTTAATTAAAATTTTGCTTTCAATAAAAATAGTTTTAGATTTATTCAGTTTTGTTGAACAACAGAAGTTTTATAGTACCTTTAGAATATGGTTTTGTAAAATGGTTGAGAACTTGTTGAGTTTTAGCATTTTAAAGCAATCTGCCGCATTTATCTCAGATGTTTTTATATATTAGATTTTTATGAAATGTTTCTTGAGATCCTCGAATTTTGTAGCAACGTGGCAACGTCTACTTTTATGAGTTTATGACGTGTATTGGAAATTTAATTGTATTTACTATAACTATCGATTATTTCAAATATACCTATGTACGTCTAAGTTTTACGTGAATATAGACAACTGTTATTAATTGAATGACTATGGGAAATTAAATATTTAAAATTGTTGGCTAACTTCTTACATAACAACTCGTAAACATATATCATTGTATTATCTACAATTATTTTTTTATATCACAATTATTGTCATGAAATAATCACTGGGAATCTAGAATCTACTAATCTACCTATTCATTAAATTTAAGTACCATACATAGTATAAATAAATACGTGCAAATTAATGAACGTATTTTAGATTGGTTTCGTGGTAATTGTTTAAAAACAATTAATGATTATAATTGCCAAATTGTTCAGGGTGTCTCAGTAATAAGTGAATTAACTACGTATACAACAAATTTTGTCAAATACATTTTTGTTCTAAAACCTTTTAGTTCTGAAGATAATGGGCCATGTTCACATGTGAGATATGCTGTTTTATAAATTATATTGTAATAGTTAGTCGCTATACAAGTTATTCTAAATAGTCAGTTCGTTAAAAAAGCTAAAAGTTTTTAAATTAAGCCCAATTCAAATTTAAAATTTGAAATTATACGTCATCGGGAATAGACCAATCATCTTGTGTCGAAGTTTTTTTTGTTATACAAAACCAAGCCAACGAACAAACCAACACACAGAATGTCGAAGTGAACGCACATCTAAGTGACATTAAAATTGACACCTCTAACCTTAGTTTTTTGTTTTGGTTTAATTTTATTATTAATATGAATCAGCTGGATTTATAAAAGTTGAATCAAGTGTTTTACCCATTGTAAACGAAAATATGATTACCGAGATGATTACTGCATTTTTTAACAATACTCAGTTTACAAAAGTCACAAAGGTAAGACTTTGTTAGTCACTTTGTTTTAATAGTAGGTAGTTACAGTTTATATGGAGCAAGTAAAACATATTTATCTCAGGTTTTATTTTTAGATCTGCCAAGCAAGTATATGTGGATAATTTCTTTTTCCATAAGAGAGAAGGAGACAAATTACACCTAAACATAAAGTACGGCAAAAACCTTCTGATGTGGTTGCATTGTAATTAACAAAAATGAAATTTTTAGTGCACAATATGCTAAGGATATGCTGCATGTCAAGGTTTGTAATATTTATTATGCTTTTTTGCTTTTATATTACATATAATAAACAGTTTATAAGGCCCTTTATTCCTATAAATATTTTTTTTCTAATTTTGACCTACAGACATTTTTTGTAATCGCAGCAAGTGTTAAAATAATCTAGAAACAGATTTTGTTAGTGAACCTAGTAATAATTATGATACCAAAGAATGCTGCAGAGCACCTATGAAATTTTGAGTTAAAAAATATGCCATATTTTTAGGCTATTTTTATACCCTTTTCAAAAATTTTATGCTCCTCGTTTTTTGCAAAACTTAAAATGCTCTATAGCTTCGAACAAAGTCAGCAAAGCACCTCTATTTTATAAAGTTTTTTCTGTAAAAACAGCAACACCATATATTTATGCACTTGAAATATTATATTTTTAAAAATACATGGTGCTTGCTAACCTTCGAAAGAAGCCAGCAGAGCAATTCGGTTTTTTAAAGCTTTTTTCTAAAAACCACACCCCATTTTTAGACTATTGAAATATTGTAAAACTTTACTAAAAAAATTGCTATTTTTAAATAATACAGGGTGCTTTGTTGGAACAAAGTCAGCAGGACACTTCAGTTTTTTAATTTTTTTTTTTTTATATATAAAAACAACTACTTATGACACATGTTTAGGCTGTTTTAAAATCCTAAAAATGTGGTAAGTACATTTGTTTTCAGAAAAAAACTTTGAAGTCAGCAAGGAATTGCGAATTTTTTTTAAAATGCCAAATTTCGAATATTTTATAATATTGTAGGAGCCAAAAAACGTGGTGTGGTTTAAAAAAAAACTGGGGTGCTCTGCTGGATTCGTTTGAAGCTAACAAAGCATCCCGTAATTTTTTATTTTATAATACTCAATAGCCTAAAATGAGACATAGCTGTTTAAACAAATTGTATTTTTAAAAATAGCAGTTTTTTTTCGAAAAGCTCTAATATTTCAAAAATGTGAAAATGTGGTGAGATTGTTTTTTTTTTAAGTTTTGAAAATCCGAGGTTCTTTACTGGATTCGTTCAGAGCTAGTAAAGCTCTGCTAGTCTTGTTACATAAAATAAAGGCATTTTGTAGCTGGTTATATAGTTATTTTGTAACTGCATATCTAACCCTTTTATTTTTTCAGTTGATTGTAAATATGTGGCTTCATAGAAGAAGTGATGAACTATTTGTAACATCTATTCAGTGTTATTGGAAAGGCTCTAATTTATCAAAATGCGTAAATATTGATGTACACTTGGCTAGATTGTTAAAGAAACCTCTTCATCCACTACAGGAAAATAAATCAGTACTTTTATATTCTTAGGATTTGTATATATATTTTTTATTTGTAAATAAATTGTTTTTTACTTCATTTTTCTCATTTTTTATTAAAAGATTAATAAATAAAATTTTCACAGATTTTTATATTTTTGTTTGTAAACAATAATTGAAGAGTTTTTATTAAAAATCACCAATGTTAATAATAATAACTTAAGTCAATATTATTCTTTCTCCTTTTTTAAAACTCTTATCAATAAAGGTATTACTTTAGCTTGACCTATGATCAATTTTTAATTTTGTGATATATTTGGTTGGACAGAAAAAAAATTATAACCCTTTGACATTGGTTGTTTTTACTTAGATTTTCATAAAAAATAAACGGAACTGCAAACATGTTTTACTATCGTAATAACGAATAGCAACATTAAATTTTTTTTTTACATTTATCACTGTTGTCATTTTCATAAAGGATTGATAAGAAGGCACACTTTCTGGTTTTTTGAAAAAGGTAGCAAGAATTGTGATATTTTTAAATTTATCACCAGTGATACCACATGTAGTTACCCGATTTATTGGAATAGGTATATAGACTTTGCTACCACATTCAACTGAACTTGGTTGTTTTTAATATTTATCACTGTGACATAAGCGTTTTTGTCAAAATGTTTCATTTTAAACTGCTGTAAATAGGTGCCTTTGTTTTGGTAGTTTTAGTCCCAAAAAAATCTATGCATATACAAGTACTCATTCCTCTTTGATTTGTTCGAAAAGTTAAAATTTTATAAAAAATTACATTGGCTGTTAAAAACTCATAATCCCTGAAAAGTGATAATTAGGTAAATTAAATTAAAAAAACAAACAAAAAAAATTTATTAAATTAATATTTACTCTTACAAAATAGGTTCTTGTAAGTTAACAAGCAATTATGCAGATATTACTAAGTAAATGTACTTGCTTAAAATTCACACACGAATGTGGTTTTAACTTGTTAAATTAACTAACCCTTCTTATAACTCTTTCCACATGTATTCTTAGAGATGCTATTCTTTTACTTAATTGTACATCTTCTGGAGAACTTTTTTCATTCTGTGATACACTAGGTGTGGCTTTACTAAAGTGCATCCCATGTTTTCAAGTAGCTAAATATTCTGCCATTATATGGGATCCAGGAACCAGTTTGTTTAAATACCCACATTTTTCTATTATTTCTTTATCACTAGTTCTTCCACAAAATGATGAATAAATTCGGTATCTTCAAAACTTTCAGGAGATTCTGCATTTTCTTCCAGAAGGGTTTTTAGGTTATACACCTAAGAATTTATAGAAGCGTCATTTTCAATTTCCTGAAGGGGACAATTAGCAGAAATTGCTGCTACATCTTGATAATCCGGTGTATTTTTATTAAAAAGTTTACGAGAAACATCGCTAGTAGAAGGTTGATTTTCTTCTTTCCAAATTTCTAGGAACACTAATAAATATTTTTGAAGATGAATGTGAATCATTATCACATTCTGGAACAAAACACTTTTTCGTAGTCATAATATTTATTTATAAAAAGTACAAAATAAACACTCAAATTCCAAATAAATTATTGATGGAGACACTATGACAGATGACATACAGTGCTGCCGTTTTGCCATTTTCTGAATTATTAAGTGACTTTTAAAACAATAAAACTTTAAATATAGTAAAAGTTTAAACAGAAACAATACTTTCAAAAAACATTTGATATTATATATTTAAAAGATATTTGTTTAACGATGTTTTAGAAGTCTAAAAGTAAGAAGGAGTACACAAACGAACGTACATCACTTCTCGTAAACCTTCTAGCCGGCAACGTTGTGCGCTAGCTCCTATTGGTCTATTCCCGGTGACGTCATAAATTTTAAAAAAAATCATAACTCCGGCAAATGAATAGATAAAAAAAAAATAAAAAAAATGTAGTTTTATTTTTAACTCTACTATTCATAAAAAAAATTTCAAAATTTTTGAACATGCCCCATTGTTTTTTTTTATTTATTTTAACTTCAAGAGTCTGCCATTGTTCTATATACAATTATTATAATAATAATGATAATAGGAGTAAATTAGCTCATATTACATGTTAAAAATGTTTATAATTGTCAAGAAATTTCTAAAGAAAAAAATTATAAAATAACTATTAACACACATAAAACAAAATTACATATAATGGCCACCTAGCTGCTCGTGTGTAAAGTTACAGGTGTTGAAAAAGAAAAATCATTCATGCTTTTCTTTAAGAAAATGTTTTTTTCAGTAGCTTTTCTTTAATATAATGATTAAATAATTTTAAAGTAGCAAAAGAAATTAGTTATTTTTTTAATTTGTCATTTTATTTCTTTTTAAAAATTTTTAGTTTAAGTGTATATAATTATTAATGAGAAACCCTGTAAATTGATATTGTTTAATTTTTTTATGTAATCATGAGTTAAATATAGATTGTATATATTAATCCATTTATAGATTAGATTTTTCAAAACATTTTTGACGACAGTTGTATTAAATTTGTTTTTAACTTAAATTCAATGAAAAGGAATGCCTACTAACCAACAACATCCTCTCTGTAAGTATAAAACCTTATTCTATTGTTTAATTTGTGTTATAATAATATTTACATTGTTTAAAATATAAGAAACGACGATGAATCATATCCTTTTCGTACTTATATAATTTAATTTATAATCTAAATTGTACCCACCTACGGAAATTTTACAAATTAATACATGTTTATTTAAAGAACGAGGAATTCACCAAATAGCGACCGTTTCCTTACAGAAAACGAATGTACATCTGGCTATACCATGACCAGGCATTGACTTAAATGTATAAGGAGACAGCAGATATGGAATAGTATATTTTATTTTACGAGTTACAAAATCATTTTTTTTTTTATTTGAAGTTAGAGAACAATTTTCGCGATCGAACTCTATTAGGCCGTGTTCTAAAATTTAAAAAAAATGCTTTATTTTGTGTTAGAACCAACATTTAACAACTACCATAAGACAACTAGATACAGATTGTGTTAAATTTCAAACTATTTTTATAAATAAATTTAATGAGTAGATATTATTAATAATTATAAGTTGTCAAACTTTATGGAAGTTTTTGCTAGAAGTATCCTGTATCCAAAAAATATCTTTTCGTAAGAAGGCGTATAAAAAAATATGTTTTAGACTGATTTTGATTTTGCTTACTAAGGAGAAAGTAATTCAATGCTTTTCGTGTTTCAGCTAAATAAGTATTTGTTTTCTGTCAGAAAACGGACGTGCATAAACATATTTTATGGCACTGACTTAAAAATTCTACGTTCTTTACATGTGTAGGTAACTATTTTGTCAGTCTCATTTAAGACAACTTTTGTAGATGCCTTAGTCATATAAGAACATGAAAAATATATGATTTTTGGCTTATAATTTTTTCCCGGAAAAATTGAAGATGGTAATGGTGATGGTAATGTTAACGAAAAAATTCTTCCCCATCACAATTTTTTCATCCTAATATTATTTTTTATTTGAAATTTAACCTACATATATTCTTGGAAACATATTTAACACACCTAATATCAATGTTGGTTATAACTATTTTACGGTGCAAGGTGCAAATTTAATGGTTCCATTAACAAAAATTGCTAACTCCTGTTAGAAACTATAAAGTGACTATTTAATACAGATTCAAGCAACGTCTTAACCGAAGATACCGACAGTTTCATAATTGGCCAAAGAGTTTGGGTTTCCGGTAACAAACCAGGACACATTGCCTTTATTGGCGAAACACAATTCGCTCCCGGCGATTGGGCTGGCATAGCTTTAGATGAACCAATTGGTAAGTACTTATTTTCATTAAAAACCATAGCACTAGTTCCCCAATACTTTATTATAAAAAATACGAAAAACAATTCTGTAAATTCATTTTCAATTTTGATTTGTCACAATAATTAACAGTTATGTTTCAGTCAGTTTGTTTTCTTTACTAGTTTATGAATTATAAACATATAACAATTACATCGTTTCATTGGGAAATTATATCACTATGCAATCGAATTGTGTGTAAGAGAGAATTTAACAAGTAAATTAAAAAATAAACCATCCTAATTCTTTCAGACAGCTAAACAGTCTTTAAGGCTCTTGGTTCAAACAGAATCAAGTCAAAGTTGGTCTGGAACTGCCTTGGAATACTTAATGATCTGGCAAGCCCTAATAAGGTAAAATGGCGTGGGCACCAGGATATAATGGTATTCAAGGAGGCTGATGAACTCGTTAAAGAGGGATCAGAACTACTATTCAAAAGACCAAAATATGTGCTCGACATGCAGTGAACAAGTGGATACACACTAAACACCAAATTCACTGGCAACAGACAAGAGGACACAGAATCAGTGAGCCAGTACTAAGAAGACCCATGCCACGCATGGCTGCTGAGGTACTACAGCTCGCAAGACCCTCGATATCCACCATTGTCGGATTACTAATAGGACGCTGCTTGCTGAAACACTTTCATGTGATGGGAATACGCAGTGATCCCACCAGATGTAGATTTTGCTTGGAAGAGGAGGAAATCTCATACCATGTCATCTTCGAAAGTGAAGCACTTGCTAGCCGCTTTAGAACCATGAAGAATGCCTCAGTAACACTTGATGGGGAATCTAGTAAAATTAACCAAACATGCAGGGTCATTCAGATATAAAGTTACTCTTCGGGCAACCACTATCAAACCAGAGGGCGACGAAGAAGAAATCACCCTTGAAAGCCTGAGAAAGGGACAGAAGAAAGACAATGATTTGAAGATTGTTCGAGAATGGCTCAAACATAAAGTTACACTTACTTGGCAAGAGATAGCCAAATACAGTGGAGCTATTAAAGGGTACTGGTCTCAGTGGGATTCCCTGTATCTTTACGATGGCCTATTGCACCGGAAGTGGGAAAGCCCTGATGGAGTACATGTAGTCCGCCAAGTGGTACTGCCGAAATCACATGTCAGAAGTGTGGAGCTTCATTGTAGCCGTTCGGAAGGACATTTTGGTATTAAAAGAATACTGGCACGAGTTCGGGAAAGATTTTATTGAGCCAATTGCCGACGGGATGTAGATTGGTGTAAAAACTGTGATGTATGCAATGGTAGGACAAAGGTCTACGGATTCGCTCGGCAACGGCAACCTGCATAACAATACTAAATATCAAAAAATATACTGAGTGATTCATTACTTATGGCCCTAGAAAGAAATGAATTAAATCGATAAAACACCCTGTATATCAGTTAAAAATACTGAAACACCCATTAAATGTTGTATATTTCCGTTTCCCAATGAAACACCCTGTATACGTGTTGAATTTATCACTTAATCCTCTAAGTGCTTTACCAGATAATTTAAGACAACAATTAATTACTGTTATGTTAACTATATACATTATTTAAATTTGCATTTTAGGTAAAAACGATGGATCCGTAGGTGGTATTAGGTATTTCCAATGTGAGCCCAAAAAGGGTATATTTTCGAGATTAACTCGATTGACTAGGGAACCATTAGAAGGTTTCAGTCCGGTTCACACACCTTCTCCCGTAAATATTATCAGGAGGAGTCCCACTTCACCAACTGGTAGTATCAAAAGTTTGGTGAGGTCGCCAGTATCAATAGGTAACTCTTTGTACTATTTTTGTATCCAACTATACTTTCGGCGTGACTTAAGAAAGCGTCACTAACTTTTTCAATAATCTCATACTGCCCAAATTGTAAAAAAAGTAAAAAATTATCTCTGACCGAAAGTATACTGCTTAGCCCTCATCTTTTATTTTTAATGAATTTTAAATTAATAAATATTTTTGTTTTAGCTGGTTCTAATACAAGTTTAGCCTCGGCAGCTTCACACGCAGTAGACTATAGGATTGGCGATAGAGTTATTATAAAAAGTGGCCAAGGTTCCAAAGTTGGTACCGTCAGATATATGGGTGCTACAGAATTTGCTGCTGGTGATTGGGTGGGTGTTGAATTGGACGATCCTAGGGGTAAAAACGATGGATCGGTTAATGGAAAAAGGTCAGTTAATGTTGCAATATATTTATTTAAAGACTATGTGACATTAAAAAATATATGGTATAGGTATAACTATCTTGCTAAGCTTTATTTTATACTTTTATACCTATTCGAATGTTTACTAAAGTCTATTCAAATTTAATTTACGCCTGATGTAAACAGAAGCAGGTGGACGCTAAAATTTAGCAGGGCAGTATTTTACTTTTCCGTCTTACAAAAATGTAAAATAAAAGAGTGTAATTGTGAAATTATTTTTTTATTACGATAAAAACATATTTTGTAAAGTAAAACTATAAAATAAATGCCATACACGGTCTCCCAGACTTTAGTGACATTTCTGGACGAAGATAGGTGAGCGACATAAACTGCGTTAACCTGCAATACAAATTAATAAATGTATTTGACTTTAAAAGAGATGGTTGCATTATATTTAGTTCATTACATATGTCTACTGTGATACAGAGCATTAAAACAATCCTATTATAAAATTATATTGTACAGGGTGTCCAAATAATTGCAAATTCTTTAATAGCTAATATATATCTACTAAAAGCATTAAAAAAACTTTAAATATAAGAGGTATTTGGTATTTGATTTAAAATTGTGCATCTTAAAAAGAAACCTTTTGTATTTTTAATAACTTTTGTTCTTTATTGTTCTTGTTCTACTAGTATTTAGATTAGACAACTTGTTCCCTGTATTATAGCTATCTTCATTAATCAAAATTACAAGTGGTTCTACCTGAACCTCTATAATATTATCCAACTCCCACATTTTTACTTCAACTTTTTGGCGAACATGGTCGATACACTTTTTCCATTTTTCTGGAGAAATTAATAATATTACTTCTTCAAAAAGAATTTTAATGTCTCCAGATTTAAATGTTGAGTTTTTATCTGCTACGTATTGTTTAAGGTCAACCTAGATTAATTCAATAGGGTTAAGTTCACAATGTTACGGAGACATGTGAAGTATTATGTTGTTTTGCTGCTTAGCCATTTCATCTATTACATACCTATCATAATGTTTATGTTGCTTACCAAGTTTTAGAAGTTGGATCTTAAGCATTTGGTAGTCGAATTCAATTTTTTTCCCTCATAGCCATTTTTAAATATCACCTTTTTTAGACGTCGTAGATATTTTTTCCAGCTTTCTCGAATAATAATGCAGTTATCTTCTAATTTTGGTAGGGTGTTTGAAAACCACTCTTTGAACGATTCTCCACACATTTCTTCATGGTAGTCACCGGATTTTTCAACTCAAATACATAAAGTGCATTAGAGACAAAGCCTTCTTCACTTCTAATATGGCATATAATGAGCTGTGTTTACGCACATACCTGATGGGTTTTTAAAACCAGTTAAAAGTTCATCCAAAAAGGCTTGTCTGGATGAAAAAACCGACATATCGAAACATACTTTTGATTTGGTGTGGCCTGCGTTAATCCAAGTCTCATCAAGATAATATATTTTTTGCTTTTCTTCTCTGTACCGTTTTATTTTTTGTGGCGTAGGACGAAACAATTTCATTTTTGTCTAAAAGCAAACTATTTTTTCTCGAGTTTTAAATTTAAAATTAAGGGTTTTGAAAAGCTTGTAAAATGTAGCTCGCTTAAAAGTAGACAAATATGGATCATCGTTGACTTTTTATAAAACCTTATCAATTGTTGGAAGTTAATTTCTAAAGAAGAATTGATGTACTTTGCGCCTTATTGCATTTTTATTAAAATCATCCACAGAGCCACTAATTTGTTTATAACGTAGCTTTCTTTTTGGTTCAGAAAATTTATGAATCTGCCTGTACTCCTTCATAACATTAAAAACGGTTTTAGCGCACATCCCTGTTTTATCAGCAACTCTCCTTTCAACATCATGTACCAACATATCAGGGTTCTATAAAATTTAATGCTTATAAATACTAAGAACCATTTCTTTAGTACGGATGACCAAATGTCCCTTTTTCAGTCGCTTTTTAGAAGGAGTAAAAACATTTTTCTGGACTTCATATGCTGTATCTGTGGAGGACATAGTGTCACGCAGCAATTACAAAATATAGTCAATTAAATGTCCATAAAATAGAGTAAAACATGTTCAAACTAACAACAACCACAAAAACAAAAAAAAAATAAATAACACAATATATGTATATCTAAACTATAATATAATGAATTATAATCAATCAAACATACAAAATGTCCAAACTAACCAACACGGTGAATGCTACCAAAACGCCGTTTATAATTATCCAAATTGAACTGAATTCGACTCTGACAAAAAATATTTGCGCGTCGTCTAAATGACTAACGACCGATTAATCAATAGAAGCGCAAAAAAATGTCACGTGAGCTGTTGCTGGATGGGAGAAATTGTTTTGACGCGGCGTAAATGAAATCTGAATAGACTTTAGTAGATTTATTTTTTACCCAACAAGATTCTTGTCTATAAGACTTATTTAAAATGAAAAATCGGAAACGAAAACTAAAATCCTTGGAAATACCCAAATTAATTGATCAAAATTTATGTTAGAGTAATAAAATAGAATTTAAAAAAAAAAATTTAACACCCACATCTATGTTATCCAATTTGTGCACATATTACAGAACGAATAAGCAGTATATTCATATCCATTCTAGTATGGCTATGAAATCCATCATTTACAGCTTATATTTAGTATCCCGACTGACTTATTTTGAATCATCAAAAAGGAAAAAGAAGACGAAACTCCAAAATATCTGAGACCTAGTTTTCTATTAATAAAGTACAATAATTCTTAACATTGAAATTCCTCCCTTCTCCCCTCCGATCAAGTTGAGAATTCACCATTAAAACTTTTTGTTATTTCTTAATTTTTACTAGTAACCAATATAAATATGTCATATCTAATATTATTTATTATTTCTTTAGTAAATATTGAAAACCCACACCGTTGCGTTCAAGTGTTTTATGAACAGCGATTTATTGCAGATATAAGATGTTTAAATTAAATTATCAATGTAAATTGATAAACAAATTTATTGTCAATTAATATTTATTCGTTGGTGAACCCACAATGGTTTTAGTTTTATGACTATTAACAAGCATTTTAAAGTTAAAATACTTCTTAAATAAACAATTTGTGTTAACAAAAAATTATATCCTACATCATACATATTTGTATACTAGAAACTGTGGATTTACTATTTATACACTCATACACAATGTTTCTTCTCATTTATAAATTATTTTTCCACTGAATCCGATTCCAATAGTTTTTTTAATGTCACAAAAACCTGAAAATACTAGATAAAATAACGAAATAATTTCATTTCCATGCTGATTGTAATCATCTTGGTATATTATACAAGTCAATTCACCCCAATTTAAAGAATAAATAAGAGTAAATTCTCAAAAATATAATAAAAGTATTACCCTCGAAAGTAGTATTTTTATAATATTGTTTATTTCCCTCATTTGTTATTTAATAAATACAGTATCATTTGAAAGTACATCCTGTAATGAGCTAAACAAATACAGGTTGCCATTTCCAAGTTGTCAACTTTAAACAGATTAGTTCTCGTAGATAATTACCCCCATCTGTTATTCAAATGAATCATATATTAAATTAAAGGTAATTTTATTCTCTACACAATAATACAGGGTTGCCGCGATTTGAAAAATCAGTAACAGCTGCTTAGGGTTAAAATATTGATAGGCAACCTAGTTACGATGTATTGTTTTTTTTTTTATATTAACAGTATAATCAAAATAACCGGATTTTAGACTAGTAAGGAAATATAATCAGTTTTCTGTTTTAGATATTTTGAATGCCGTCCGAATTTCGGTGTTTTCGTTCCGGTAACGAAAGTAAGCAAATCGCCTTCCAAAATTAGACCGGGCGCTTGTCAAATCCATAGTGGCGCTGGTTTGCCACCTAGCGGCATAAGACGCGCAAACTCGAAAGAATCTCTAGCGTCGAGTATATCTATTACGAGTGCCACTTCGACAGCTAGAAGGGTAAGGCTCGGGGTGACGTCACTAAGCCCAAAGGTAGGGAAGTGTTGAATTTCGGTAGGTAACGAACCATGCCAAATGTCTTTTTTGATTTTTTTTTATTTGCTCATTTTACGTTGGGTTTAAAGATTGGAAACTACTGAAAACAATAATGTATGAATGAGCGCGATATATAATCAAATATTGAATTCTAGTAAGAAAGGGTTCGTAGTTGTCAGATAGAATATTTGACATTTAAAAACTTTTCCTACTTCTATTCCTTTTGTTGAATTCACAAAATAATAAAATTTGTTCTTTTAAAGAAAAATAGCAAACTTATTATTATTTAGAGGAAAATACACTAAAAATTTTTAATGTTGAATGTTTTCTATAAATTAACTAAAAATTACTACTCCTAAGCCAAAAAGTGGTATCTCAGTTGAAGCGAGTTTCAAGAAAAAACACTTTTAAAAGTTGTTTTCGCGTTTTCTGGAGACGAAAAAAATAATTAAGGTACCGCTGGATTAATTTAAATCATTTTATGTTATTGAATATTATTTTTAAAGTTCTTGTGTCCTATATGGATATGGAGCCATTTAACTTACTAAAAGTGTCCCCAATGGTAAGTTTTTTTATAGCTTCTAGTACTAAACTAGGTAATAAAGTAATAGTAACACTTGAAAAATCTCAATCTCGAATATCCGTAGTACTGAGGAAAAAAGCAAGATTGTGACAAAATAGTGAATGCGCCGCGAAAAATTTTCGTCTGCAGCGCTGTGCTTACTGGCCTGCTGTATTTTTATACAATCGCTTCCCCTTCCAAAAATGTCACCGCACGCCACTATGTTTCAGCAAAATTAATTATGATACTTGCCTTTTCTGTTTCAGAAAATAACATTTTAATGTAAAAAGAATCACTTGAAACCTTAGTCTCTAAGCTAAACATCAATTTTGACATTTCTTGCAAACGTACCAAAGCCTACTATAAAATTATTGATGAGAGTTATTGTTAATTATTGTTTTTGCAAGCTTTTTCAGAAAATTTAATTGTTTAGTCATTTCTTCATCGATTTCAAAAACTTTATATCGCCAGATAGCTAAAAGGACTGGCTTTTGGAACATTAAAAAATATACGGGGTGTTCCATTAAAAAAATTAACAAATACGTGTTTAAAAAAACGCCATTTTGTTTTTCAGTAAAACGGAAGTGCTAAATAATTTTGGATTGACCGAAATAAAACTTGGAATAATTTGATACATTTCGCTGAAAACCGCATGTTTTTAAGTACTTTCGTTTAAAAGTTAAAAGTTTGCTAAATGTTGGAAAATATAATGGTACACCCGGTACATTGCCGTCGGGTTGCCTATAAAAATTTAGCCGCAATTACCGTTAATTAATTAATTTATTTTAGTAAATTCCAACAAAGAAAAGAAAATGATGTGAAGCGTAAAAAAAATGATTGCCAGCTCTTAATTAGCCGCAGCCACTAGGTTGTCAGGTGTGAACAGGTATGTTATTAATAATTATTAGCACTTAACGTGTTTTTCACAAAAATTATATACTAAATTGTAATTTAATTTTTGCTGAACAGGATAGTATATGGTTGCCTGTAAAAAAATGGCCGCAAATAGTGGTTGCCAATATTTGAATTATTTACTTGTTCTAAATGAAAGTGAACGACAGATCAGTAATGCGCACGCTGCTTCGGACGGAGCATAACACATTACTGCTATACAGTGTTGTCATTGATAGGGAAATTTCACTAAATCTGGGGATAATCTGCAATCAGTAGGTGAAAAGGGAAATTTTCTATAATTCAGAGAATTTTTATTCTTCTTTAATTTTGTGATATTTGTAAAAAATATATTAAGTAATTATTAAAAAACCATTTACCATTGGTAAAAATGCTATCTATCCTAAGTCCGATGTACTATTAACAGCTGAGAATCTCAGAGAGGTCGAATTTACTATAAACCTTACTCTCAAAATATAAACAAAGATAAACCTTGCAAGTAAATCTCCAGAACTCGGCTCGCTGCTATTTTATGGGGAATCATACAACGGGACTAGTATTGTATATACTAAAACTTTAATAAAACACAGCAAATATTTCAATTTCAAAATTCATACAGATTTAGTGGTTGGTAGTATATTTTTTACAAATATCACAAAATTAAAGAAATTTAAAAATTCTATGAATTATAGAAAATTCACCCTTTTCTATAGTGATTGCAGATTATCCCTAGATTTAGGGAAATTTCTCTATTACTGGCAACACTGTAAAGCAGTAACATTGTATTATGCTGTATTCTTCTATACCACACGAAGCAGCGCGCGCATTCCTCATATCTCGCTCACTCTCATTTAGAACAAGAGTAATAATTAAATCAAATACTGGCAACCACTATCTGCGGCCAGTTTTGACAGGCAACATAAACTATCGTGTTTAGCAAAAATTAAATTACAATTTAGTTTGAAAAATGCGATAAGTGCAAATCTGTGGATCCAAGGGTCCCAGGTTCGAATCCCACCGTTGGCCGGGATTTTTTTATTTAATTTAATTATTTAAAATTAATTCTGAAGCGTTGGTAGGATTCCCCACTCGACCATTCACTGTTGGGTTCTAATTAACAGTGCTGTTCCTAAAGTGGCGCTGGGAAACAGTAACAAAGCCTACACAGAACACGAGGCTAAAGACCTTAGTAATCGATGCCGATGACACCAAATAAAAAAAAATTAACACCTATTTACACCTGACAACCTAGTGACTGATTGAGAGCTGACAACCATTTTTTTACATGTTTCACATCATTTTCTTTCAAATTGCGTTTAATTCATTTAAAAAACATATTGCTGAAATTTACTAAAATAAATTAATTACAATTTAATTAATTAACGGTAATTGCGGCTAAATTTTGATAGGCAACCCGACGGCAATGTATTATATTGTTATCCATTAATTTAAATTAAGTTCGAAGTGAGACTTTGCTATTTTTCTTAGATCATCTGATGCAGAATTTTTCAAGCTATCGGATGCCTTAAAAAATAAAAAAAGTATTTTTATTTAGAATACCGCCTTTTGGCTTAGGAGGACAGTACGATTTGTATAATTTCACATAATTGTTTGTTAAAAAAAAAAGTTGACAGATTGTAATCATATTTCGTTTCACATTTTACTTCAGACTAAATTTTATCAAAAGTCACTACCCCCTCCAAATGATTACTTAAATTAAGCACATTAGTTTTCTTTAATAAAGAGTCACATTAATGTTTTAAGTAATAAACATGACTTGGCATGGTTTGTTTAAACAATATTATCCTATTATATTTTTAGAATATTCGACACCAACCAACCTATGTTCTTATAAAATGGTGAATGCATGAATTAAATAAGTTTAAGAAATAATTATCAGTAGTAAAAGTAATTTTACTAAAAGATCAGATCAATAACGTTACTCTGATTTTATGCACATCGATTTTTGACTATATTCATAAACATTTTTAAAATATTCATTACTTTGAATCTTTTAACACGTCATGATTACTTAAATTTTATAAAATAGTTTTTTATTTCTATATATCTTGATATGATTTGTTGGTAAATGTTAGATCTATTGCTTTGAGATTAATAGTATTTTGATTTTAAAATGGTGTGCATAATTTTAGATTGTTTACATAATATTGTCTATTTTATGACATTTTTGAACTAATCATTAATTTTTCTAACCTTTAATACATATTTTTATTATGTATTTTTATTTAATGATTTATTACTAATATACATAATACATAACACCAGCACACAAAAAAAAAGTTGTTTGTACATCAGACACAACCTACCTACCGGCATGTATTTTGACCCGCTGAATCCGAATTTCAAGTCACTTTGGGCCGTTCACCCTTCATTATCGAGTAAATTGTAAAAATAGTAAAAATGAGATAATTAGTAATAAAAAAAATTTATGAATCGAAACCAAGCATAATTCTTATGTATTTCGATCCGCTGAATACTGCAGAGGTCATTTGAAAACAAAAAAGTTTGATACCAACAAAAAACAGTTCAAAATCTGAGAAAATCTTTCGCCTCATTCAGTTCATACATCAGTTTTTAGAGATATTGCAAGGGTGGATATTGAAGGGTGGATATTGAAAGTGACTTGAAATTCGGATTCAGCGGGTCAAAATACATGCCGGTAGGTAGGTCGTGTCTGATGTACAAACAACTTTTTTTTGTGTGCTCGTGAATTAATAATTTTTGTTAACCATTTTTCCCACTTTTGAATTTTTTTAATTAACTTTTTTTAATTTTATACAGAAATAATTTTGACTAAATAAAATGTTTTTATAATAATTTTTATTTTATTAGGCATGTTGTTGGTTTGTGTATTAAACAAATAATTTTTAATCTGTTAATCAACATGGACTTTTGTTTTTTTTGTAAACTTTTTAAATAACAAATTTATATTAATAAAAGTAAATGTTGGTATTATCAGTTTACAAAATATATCACCTTGTTTATTACTGGTATGGTATACTCTGTAAATTAATAATAACTATAATAATATAATACACATTTTTTTAAAGAATCTATACAAATAATATTCTTTTTTTATTTTATTAGAAATCTCCACCAAAATCCAGTACTACTCCAATTCCAACAAGAACAGCCTTGCAGGTAACAACTTATTAAAAATAACCTCAGAAATTTAACAAAAAAAAATAGCAAAACCACATAACATTATTACGTTATCACTATGAAAAGTAATAACTGTTTTTATTAACTATTTTTTTAATGTTTTATTATTTTTTAACATTGCTTTTTTATAAAAAATAATAATTTGTTTTATTTATTTGTTACTATTGTAATAAAGTTTACTTACATTGTTGTTTTATTTATTATTAACCTTTCCTTGGAAGGAAATTGTAGATATAAAAAAATTATACTCTATGGTTAATAAATGTAAGAAATCAGGAAACCTAACAGAATAAGGATAAGCGAAGAAGAATGAAGGATTAAAAATAACTACATAATCACTTATTCTGATACGATGCCATTACATGTATAAGTATTTAAGAAATATTAAAACTAATGTTTAAAAAAAAAACGTTTTTTAATTATTGTTACCTCTAGCTCTATTTATTTAAAAACATATTTTTACATGAACATTATAAACCATGTTAAATACAGAGTGTTCCATTATGATATTCGAATATTTAAGGGTGTCAATCTACATGAAATATTAATGATAGTTTGCTTTATAATCTATGGTTCATAAATGTACCGTTACGAAAATACAGGTTGCTATTAAAAAAAAGGGGAAATTAATTAATATTTTCGTAACCGCTTGAGATATTTCAGTAATAGTTAATAATGCTGCATATTTTGCAATGCAAAAATAATTTATTTTTAGCTTTAATAGTGGCGTGCCTACGAACACTAGCCTCAATATTTTTGAAGAAAAAAATAGTACGCCAATGGTTTTTTCCCAAATAAAAATTATATTTAAATTCCCCATTCAATTTTAAACTCAAAGAATCTTTTGATTTGCTTTTCTGCGTTCCTCCGTTTTTGAGTAAAAAAATAAAAACGGCTGTGTTGTCCGAGAAAATTAATGTAATTACTGAAGAATGCAAAAAAAATTGACATTTGGACCATCTATGAAGACTAGAGATAGGACTATCCTACTTCCTACAAATATACAGGGTGTTTCAAAAAGGTATGTCATAAATTCATCCTCAGATAGATTACCAAAAAATAAGTGGATTTGGCTATATTTACCTATATCAAAAACTGGCTCCCAACAAAGTTACAAGGTGTTAAGAGCAAACATGACGGGCGCTCCTCCGCCAAAAATCAATTTTACATTTGAGGCAGTTAAAAAAAATTGTAAAAAAATGGTTCAGGCCAATCGTTGTAAAAATGAACCAAGAATTTCGCTAAACCGCGAAAAACTTATATTTTTAAAGAAAAACAACAAAAATTTCAACTTTTTAACAAATTTAATTTTTTGGCTCTTTACCGGCATTCTATAACAAATATCTTAACTATTTTCTAAATAACTTTTTTTCAAAAAGATTACCAATTTTAAACAGGACCGAAGATTAACATAGTTTTCATTCCGATACTAATTCTATTAAAACAATGATACCAGTGAATATGGCAACGCTGCTAGTCTATGAAGCCCGTGGTTAAAAGGGTAGCTGCTGTTTAGTTAAATTTGTTAATTCCTGTGTCGAAAAATAGGTAGTTGTTTTTGAAGAGGTGCGAAATTATTGTGATCGTCTTAGTTTGTTGTTGAGGCGTTGTTAGGTTTTTGTTTAATTTAGTTTTTAGTTAATTTATGAAATGAAAAATTCTGGAAGGCAAAAATGCACAGCTGACAAATTTCTATTTTATTTGTTTGCTGCCAGAATTAGTAAATACTAGAAAAATACGACATGTGCCAATTAGGGAAAAAAGATTGTCAAGAATTTTGCACGCTTAAAAAAATGTGTAATATACAGGGTGTTTCTAAATACATGCGACAAAATTCAGGAACTGATTGCTCGTATGAAATTAAGATGGGTCTTTCCTATAACAAAATTTCCTCAGCCCACCCCTTTTCGAGATATCACCCTTAAAAGGTGGTGACTAAAATTGAGTTTTTATTTTTTTTTCTAAAATTTCAGTGAAGCTAGAAACTTGAAATTCTGTAATCGCAAAGGACTAACCACGGGTATTTTTTCAATATTTCTGTTACATTATAGGGGGGTGAAATTAGCAACACTTACTTTATTTCATATCAAAACTTTTTTTCGAGATGAACTTTTATGAAATCCTTGTTTTATTTAATTTTTTTTTATTCTTTAATTTTTTTAATAAATTGAGTGGAAAACAGTGTAACGGGCTTGTAACTATCGTATCGTACACTCTGTCATTATTCGTTTCTTGCAATAATTTACACCAGAAGATAGCACTTAACGAAGCGTTTTAGCCACTAACTTTGGCGAATTTTAAGAAATCATGAAAATTTTTTTAATACAGACTTTAAAAAATTGTTATATTAATATACTTATTTAATTGTACTTATATTTGTTGTTCCTTTAATACAATTTACCTATCTCCAATTCATCACTTTCCGTATCCAAATACCTAGGGTCCGATTACAATTATAAAAACACCGCTAACTGTTATTTCCAATATACAGGGTGTCCCGAAATTAGACGGTCATATTTTAACAGCGTAATCTATATCCTACAAGTATTAGAAATTAAAAATTAAAAAAAACCGAATTCAAAAACGTGCAGATGCCGTCACCACATCTTAACCAAATTTATATAGGATCACCCCTGAGGTACCCCCTTACTACCAAAAAAATAATCATATAAATCGAACAAGGTGGTAAAGCATTATCGCTAAACATACATAAAAAATGAAGAGTTTGAGGATTTTCTCATGGGCCCAATTATTAGATTTTGACCAAATTTATATGGAACCACCCCTGAAGTACCCTCTTTCTAACAAAAAAAGAATCATTGAAATCGGACACCGTGTTAAAGAAGTATCGCTGAACATACATAAAAAATAATAAAAAAAATATTGCGACGAATTGAGAACCTCCCTCCTCCTTTTATGAAGTCTGTTAAAAATAGTAGTAAAAGTTTATATAAACATAGGTACGAAAACGTTTCGTTTTCGAGATACAGGGTATTACAAGTGAAGTCCAGATGAAATATTTTCTAAAATTTCTTTAGTTACCGGTTTTTCAAAGTTAAAAAAAAAATAAAATTTCTAATTCTACAGACCTACTAATTATTGTTTACACTTTTGAATAAGGTAACATGCTTTTCTCTTGAAAATGGCGCGTCCTAGCGAGATGCAACAAATGTAGCTTTATTATACAGAAAATATTGGTTTTCCAAATTTTATAGTCAAAAAATCTGATGTCTCCAACACATGACTTTCCTATCTAGTTATTATAGGCTTTTTCTGGTTATTTTGTACAACTTATTGCAGTACCTCTATAAATATTTAGAGGATAAACTAAATATATACATTTTCCACATACATCTATCTACCTCGAAACATTTTTCTATAGTTATTCATTGAAAACGAAAATACTGAAAAATTTAAATTTAGCAATTTTCCTACAATTTTTCCATTACGGTCCATTTTAGAAAAATCATGTATAAACAAAAATTGTAGAGATCGATATCGCAAACAACTTTTAGTTTAGTTTAGAATTTTGCACATTTTGTCAAATTTCTCGAATACGCACCATTTCAGGAAATTTTGACATAAAGCAAAAATTATAGATAATAATATTAGAAGTAACTTTTATTTGAATAATTTTCTTCTCCAAACATAAATAACAGATATATTCAATAAAATATAAAAACGGCCTCCCATAAAGTACCCCCCCAGATGTTCCGACTTTGTCCAAAATCTAATCATTTCACGTCAGGCCGAAAAAAAACTTAAGTTTAAAATTTAGTGTTTTTCTGTGTATCGGTTCATGAGTTATGGTGGATATAGACACACAGACACACACGGCAATTTTACCTTAAGCTCCCCCTAATTTACCCACCTAAGAAGATGATCAATAACTGGGGTTTAGTCCAATAAATGAAGCGTAAAAAGGTAAGTATTTGTAACAAATTTTACCTAATTATCTTTAAACGTTTAGAAAATATTTACAAAAGTGTGGTATCAGGACTTCACCTTTAACACCCTGTATCTCGGAAAAGAAAAGTTTTCGGTTCTATGTTTATATGAACTTTTACTACCATTTTAGGATGTAGATTACGCTGTTAAAATATGACCGTCTAATTTCGGGACACCCTGTATATCATCTATATCTATCAATAAATAAAAAAATATTTGAGTTGTTTGGTTTAAAAATAGTATTCCTACATTCGTATATTAACAAGCCACTAACCCCCAGTAGGCGGCGATAGCCAACGAATTATACCTGAATTGTAATCGGACCTACCCAATATGATTACCCTTCAGCGTACGACACACAACATTGCCAAATTTATGTAGCGAACAAGGTTCCAAATACTTTAAGGGGAGGTTGTGAGATTCGTGCGGTGTGACGTCAGAAGGGACTGGATTGCTCTTAAACTAACATTCAGAAAAACGTTTTAGTTGATGACTGTAATCTAGGTTTTAGATGCAGAACTTTTTATGAAGAATAACTTTTTCCTAATTAATAATAAAAAAGTTTTCCATATGATTCCAACTTAGGGGGACATACTGTATATGAAAGATAATATAAACTTGGGATTATAAAAATATAAAATTGGCATTCAAGGAAAATAAATGATTTGTCTCAAAACAAAACCAAACAACATGTAAAATTAATTAAAGATAATTTGCCTCTGGTACACAAATCGCTGCACAAAACTTTACACATTAAAGGGCTTCAGGACATCTTGTTCCTTCGGAGCATAAAAGCATGTATTACATATTACGTTGGATAATTCTTTAGCCAAATGTGAGCCATTGACTGGAAAGAAACCTAGTTGTTTGGTTTATTTCAATACGTTGTTCTATTTGAATATTTAGTTAAAACATTTAATACTTTTTAAAATGTTTAAGTAGGTAATTCTTTAAATTTGACTAATAATAACGCCAATTATTATAGAAAAATCGAATTGACTCAAGGTATTATTTTTACGAGTGCTGTTCTCTTTCCGCTACTAGGCGATGATTTTTGAAACAAATTTTGTCTGACAATTCTAATCTAGTTGTTTACAAGTTTAGTTAACGTAATATACAAGATTGTAAGTTACATAAATTTGAAGTATTCCTATCACCAATAAGAGATGGAAATGATCAAGGAGCATTATCAATTTATTTTGCGACTATCTGATTACATAGATTTTGGGCATAGTCGGAGCATCTGGGGGGTACTTTACACAGGACGTTTTTCTACTGTAAGGTATATTTCTATTATTTATGATTGGAGAAGAAAATTCTTTAAATAAGAATTGTTTGTAACGTTATTCTGTATAATTTTTATCATTTACATGATTTCTCTAACATAACCGTAATGGAGAAATTTGAGGAAACATGCAATATTCGATTTTTTTTAATATTTTCGTTTACAATGAAGACATGAAAAAAGATATTTGTACAGTTTTTATCCTTATTATTATTTGATTAGATAGGCCCTATTCTATATTTAATTTACTGGAAACAACAGAACATATCATATTTATATGAATATGGATAATTTCCTAACCGTAGCAGAATTTTATATAAATAAAAATTTCCTATATAAAAAACATGACCGAATAAACCTAGGAAATTTTTATTTATATCATATTTATACATCAAATATCATTAAAACAGTTTTGTTTTAATATAACTTGGTAAAACACAGTTTTCAACATAAGACATTGATTATGCTGTAATTTAGATATTAGAAAACTATTATAACAAAAGCTTGTGATATCTACAATGAATAGAAGATAAAAAAATATAATTTGCTGTATTGTTTTAAGTACCTGTGGTTTTGCTATTTTTTGATTTACCTAATCTAATTTACAAAAAAAAATATTTTCTATGTGCTAAACAAATATAATATAAATTGCAGGATGTACTAAAAGAAAAGCAACAACATATAGAGCAACTCCTAAAAGAACGGGAGGAAGCAGAGCACAAACTGACTCTTGTAGAACAAGAGTACAAAAAGGTGAGTTAGTAAAACATTGATTTCCTATACGGAAAAAGTAGATTTTTGTTCAAAATAAGGAGTAATCCACAAAAAAAATCACTTAAAAATAAGTGCAATAATTTAAAAGTATTTTATTCTTTTATTTATATTTTCCCTGTATACCACCTATATTTTACAAAATTTAATTTTTGATTATGGATTTCCAAGTGATGCAGAACCTTATATCAGGAATAATTGTGTTTTTTAACACACAACTTTTTTATGATGTTTATAAAAAATTTTGGGACCCGCTGTATAATAGAATACAATATCTGAATCAGGGTTCGGAGGATATATATCATGATATTTATACCTTGATAGATATCCGATATATTCGATAATTTTATTTATTAAATTAAAAATGTTTTCCACCATTCTATACATTCGAAAATGTCTCAATACGCCCCTGTTAGAAAAGTATAATAACTGTAGCGATTTATTCGTCTGTCACGCAAGCATCGCCATCTAACTTTGGGATTCCCAGCATCGTCACGATTTGTTTTGTTTTGCTGTGTAAGTGTATGAATCAAAATATAGACAAAAAGAAAACCAACCAGGGCATGGGAACCAGCCATATCTGAAAATTCTGAAGTTACTGTCGTCACTAATAGGAATAACATTATTGATATTAATAATTCATCAGATGAGGATATAGGTACCAATATCAATGTTAACAAAATAATATTAAAATCTGTTTTGAATTTATTTTATTTTTAATTAGAGTTATCTTATATATATATATAAAATTGTTTGTCCTGACTGACTGACTGATTGACTGACTGACCCATCAGCGTACAACCAAAACTACTAGGCCTAGAAAGCTGAAATTTGGAACATAGGTGTATTTTATAACGTAAGCATCCGCTAAGAAAGGATTTTTGGAAATTTTAACTTTAAAGGGGGGAAATGGGAGGAAATGGGGGGAGGGAGCTTTTAATGAAACTCTTTGTTCTTTAAAGTTAGAAACAGAAAAATTTAAATTACAGCTATTGAGCATAAATAAATAGTGACGTGTTTCAGGGTTTTTGGATTTTTTACATTTTAAGGGGGGAAAACGGGGGGTGAAAGTATGTAAGGGACTATCGATTTTTTTTTTGTTCTCTATTAAGGAGGTTCTTTCGCCACCAATGTTAAATAAAAAATATTAGATTATGACTAAAATTAATTTTTTTCTAATAGTAGATGTCCTTATTTATCTAATAGTGAACTTTTAACTATACCTTACCGTGCAAATTTTTGAGAATTTTTTTTTTAAATATGTGTTTGTACAGTGTCTTATGAGAAAGTAAGACTTCAACAACAATTTTCGAATTATAGTTACTTTTACTATTATTTATTGATTAGATGGAGTAGAAAAAAACTAAAAATAAGGTTTTTGAAATATTTAGGTTTTGTTTTTTACAATGTAATATAAAATTTTCTCTCATGTGTATAAAACTTTTTGGAACACACTGTATAATAGAGCGACAACGTGTATTCATATTGTTTTTAACCGCTATCTATTATACAGTGTGTCATAACAAATTTTATATGCATGAGAAAAAAAATATTCTTGATATAGGAATTATTGTTAACTATATTATACAGTGTCTTCTAAAAAGTTTTATACATATGAGAAATAGTATTTTGTTTTTTCAGAAAAACATTGTGTAATTGAGAAAAGTTTAAGTCCCAACAATTATTTTATAAGTTTTTAACACTTAAAAATCGATTAAACACAAATAAAAATTAAATTTAGTTACATAAATGACACTAGAAATATAACCTATAAAATTGACAAATTGTACTTCGTTCCCACTTTAGAAATATTTTTTTTGTGGATTACCTTTTATGAATTTGTGCTGCAATGAAATGTATTTAAGTATTATTAATTTTTAGTATCGAGATGAAAATGAGAGTAAAGCTGGAGAACCTGCAAAGTTATTAGCCAATTTACATCAAGAAATTAGTCAATTAACTTCCCAATTGGAAGAAGAGAAGCGGAAGAATGAAGATCTTCAGTTTAGATTAGAAGAAACTGTGATATTTAAGGATGATTTAGAAGTATTTATAAACAAACAATCAAAATTGAATCTTAACATAGTAAATATTTTTATGATTACAGACGAAACACGAAAATGAAAAAACGAAAATTAAAGAATTAGAAGCACAATTATCTCACGAAAAGCAAAAAATTGATAATTTAGAGGGTGATGCCAATAAACTATTCGAAGCAGAAGAAAATTTGATAAAATATAAGGAAGAAACTGAACTTTTAAAACAACAACTACAAGACGCAAAAAATAAAGAACTTTCGTTGGAAGGAAACCAAGCTAGCATCTCTGGTAAATTTATTATACAGTATGGTAAAAATGAAAAAGGTGTAAATTAATTATTTTGTTGATTTCTTATAAAATCCTGAAACCCATTGATAAACAAAAAAAAAAATATTCTAATATCTCAATTAATAACGAAGATAAGAGAGGTGGAACTTTTAAATGGCCCACCTTGTATACTCATCTGGCGGGTACTTGACACCGCCAGAATGGTCTGGCAGTTGTAATTATGTTAATAAAATAATACACAGAATATTTCCTGAAAGTTTTAACTTTGTAAAAACACGTTAATTTTAACAATTTTTTTGACACTTTCAAAATTTAAATGTCGCAACCGCGGTATCCCGGCCGGTTCATTATTTCCTTATTCGACTGGTATTAAATTAGCTCTTAGACTATATGTTGTCTATAGTTTTGTCTTTTTTATTAGACTTAGTAGCTTTGACAGGGAAGATCATTGGTGTATATTAAAAATAATAGAGGGTCTAATATAGATCCTTGTGGAACACCTTTTTTCAATATTAAAGGTTTACTGTTTATTTTTGTAAATAAGAAGCAATAATCTTATTTGCAGCTCTTCTAATGCCACATTCATCTAGTTTGTTGATTAACAATTTCTGACTTACACTGTCAAATGCGCTTTAGACATGTTATTCATTTGTAGTTGCTTTTTCATGTTTTAAACCATATTCTTCAACAGAAAACTGGTTGAAATTTTCAAATATCTATTCGACCATTATCACTAGAGGTACATAAGATTAATTTAAACGTAGCAATCTTGATTAAACAAAAAAAAAGTCTACCAAGAAACTAGTAATTTTTCCAGTAACGGCCTTTGCCCAATTTACTTTGTGATATTTATAAATAGTTAAAAATATAATAACGGTTTACGATCCTTAATTACTTCAAATTATTGATATGGTTGGATAGATCATTAAAGACAATTCAAATGATGTATCACATAACCCACATTTCTATTTATATAAATAAAATAATGGATAACTGATCACGCTAACGCAGATGACATCACGAATAAAAAGAATATATGTCAGAAAGCGCTATTAAATATAAAAATCGACGGGATTCAGGATTTTTTTAAAAATTCAACTAGTTACGAAATACTAAATTTAATCCTTTCATTTGCACTATACTTTATACCAAACGTATCATTTTTTTTTACATAAAATCCAAAATCTATCATTCTCTACTCTTTCAGTTTTATTAACCTCGTTGCATAAAGAGGTTGATCAATACAAAATAGATCTGGCAGAGAAAAATGATATGATCAATGTACTTAAGCAAGAAATTTCAACAGTTACAACCAACTTCAACAAACAGTTGGAAGACGTTTCAGGAAAATATTCCGAATTAGAAACATTAATTAGTGTGAAAGAAGGAGATTTAAATATTCTTAAAAAGGAGCTTGACCAAGCTCACAAAACAATTGAAGAAAAAACTACATCAATAGCAAATATGGCAAACGACAAACTATCTGTTGAAGCAAATTTAGAAAAGGAAATCGATAAACTAAAAATGGAACTGAGTGCAAAAATATTCGACTTAGAAAATTACGAAGAACGATTAAAAGGCCAAGAATCAGATTCAACTTCAAAAGGAACAGAATTGGAATCGCTACGTAAACTTTTAGAACAGAAAAATATCGAAAAAGAAGATCTCAGTAAACAGTTAATTATACATACTCAAAATTTAGAAGAACTGAATACTAATTTAAAATTAAAGGAAAAAGAATTGTTTGAAAATACAAACAATTATAATGAACTTAATGCTAAATTTCAAGCGTTATCAAACGAGTTAAGTAAAGTAAATGCTAAATTAAGTTCTAAAATTGAAGAGCACGAAAATATTCTGAAATCAAAAGATTCCGAGATAATTAACCTTACCGAAAATTTGAATCTCAAAAACGAAGAATATACGCAGCAGCTAAATACCCAAAACACATTAAAAACAGACAATGAAAAGTTATTAAACGAATTAAATTCATCAAAAACGAATTTGGAACAGCTACAAAAGCAATATCAAGAAAATTTAGAATTACAGGATACAAAATTAATAGATGCTTCAAACAAACTTGCCGAACGAGAAACAGAACTAGCAAACCAGTTATCCAATTTCGAAAATTTGAAACTTCAGCATGAAACTATTAATAAACAATTACAGACTTTACAATCTGAATTAACAGAAAAACAAAATCAATATGACACTGTAATATCAGAGACAAACTCAAGTTTAAAGAAGTTATCTGACACGCTTCAAGAAAAAGAAACCAGCTATGACAATCTCAAAAAAGAACTAGATGATACAAGTAAAAAAGTACAAGATACAGAGTCAGAATTACAAATCGTAAAGAAAGAACATGCCGAGTTATCTTTGGTAAAAGCTACAGAAATTGAATCTCTAGCTAAGAGTGTTAAAGAAAAAGAAGAGTACATACAGTCTTTACAAACCGAGCTACAAACCACAAAAATCGATTTAAAATCAGTAACAACTAATTTAGAGCAGTACCAGACCAATGTAAGCGACGTAGAAGCAAATTTGAAGAAAGAACGAGATGAAATAAAAGAAATGTTAAAAATCAAAATTAAGGAATTAGAAGATACTAAATCAGAATTTATCAACGTTACAACCGATCAGAATAAAGAATTTGAAAAAGTATCCACTGAATTAGCTAGTAAATTAAAAATTATTGAAAACCTCGAAACAGCAATTCAAAATTTAAAACAGGAAACCGAATTATCGACTAACTCTCTAATTCAATCTCATAAAACGGAGCTAGCTAATAAAGAAGAAAAAATTGAAAAGCTAATCTCCGATATTAAAATAAAAGAAAACGAAATTAGCAGCTGCACAAATAAATTAACAGACCTGGAAGTAACTATTAAACATAAAGACGAAGAAATTATAAATACACGCAAGGAATTAGAAGAATTTAATAAAAACATTGAAGTATCATCTCAAACTTCTTCGAAATTAATAAAAGAAATTGAATCTCTTACTAAAACCAATCAAGAGTATCATAATCAAAATGATGAATTACTCAAATTAATAGAAGAAAAAACAGAATCATTAAAACATGTAGATTCGGAATTATCTAATAAAAATTCGGAAGTATCTGATTTAACGGATCAATTGAATCAAAAAACGAATTTGATTGAAACGTTACAGACAGAATTGGCTTCGAAACAAAAAGATTTAGAAACTTCTTTAAACGATTTAAAAAAATACCAAGGCGATAGAAACGACATCGAATTAACTTTAACGAAAGATATTGAAGAACTAACTAATACTTTGAAAGCAAAAAATCAAGAAATTGAAACAATTACTGCAAGTTATAACGACAAAATATCTCACTTAGAAGGAAGCTTGGCCGAAGCTAATAGTAATATTTCGAAAAAATCCGAAGAAATAAATGTATTAAAAGAACAAATCAAAGAGGTTTGTTCTAATAACGATGCTGCTATTAAAGAACTTACAAATAAATATACGAAAGAATTTAGCGAATTTGAAATTCGCGTATCCGATTTATTAACAGATTTAGAAAATAGAGATGGTGAAATTGCTAAATTAAACGATACAATAAATGCTGGCCAAAAAAGCAACAGTGAAAAAGACAACGAACTTACTCAAATTAAAAAAGAAATTTCGATATCTCAAGAGCAACACCAAACAGATTTACAAACCATTGAAAGCTTAAAAGACAATATGAATAAACTGACTAACGAAAATGAAAGTTTTAAAAAAGAATTAAGTGAATCCAAGAATCAAATTGTGATATTATCCGAAGATAAGGAAAAATTAAATTCTGAAATTACCTCTTTATCTATGAACTCAGGAGATGCTAGTAAAAAAATAGCCGAGTTATCGGAAGCTATTAAAAATAAAGAAAACGTTCTAGAGACTGAAAAGACACAGAATCAAACTAAAATAGAGGAATTGCAAACTACTATTAAAGAGCTTCAAACGAGAAACGAAAATTTGAAGAATTCCTTTGAACTTCAAAAAACGGATTATGAAGATACGTGTCAAATACAAGGACAGTTAGAATCGGAAATTCAAAATATGACAGCTATATTGACGCAGAAATCTGCTAAACTCGAAGAAATGCAAAAAAGCCTTGACAAGGCTCTTTCTGCGATTTCAGAAAAGGAGATCCATCTCAGCTTACAAAGGAAAGAAACTACCAAACTGAAGGATGAATTAAACAAGGTATTGGCAATATTCTATAAATTTAACGAAAGTAATACAGGGCGTCCCCTTTTTAATTTTAAATGTATTGCTATTTCCTAACACAGAGTTGGTTCAATGGGGAAAAAATTGTATACTACGAAACCCAATCCGAGGACGCTTTGAAAACCAATATATCAGGGCTGGTTTGCGAGATATTCGATAAAAAACAAATTAGTTTCATTTAGTTTCAAAAATGGACAAAAACTCATTCTAAGTTTTTTGTTTTATATCAAGTTGTGCATATAATATCTTATATAAGTTATTCTCCTCTATTATTGGTTTCAATCTTTTGAGTAATTTTTCATATATTTCAATATTATTATCAATTTCAAAATTGTAATCTCCTTCGTTGATGAATGTACCCAATAAACACAGTTAATCGGCACCTTAACTGGGCCGAAAGAGGCTTGCCGGATGCTGGACTCGGTCCGATATACGGGTACAGCTTCGGCATATAGGTAGGACATGTCCGCCCAGCCGAATTTTGGCAGTTCACTACATTATAGTCGCGTTCATATATCTATATATAATTCGGCCCATGTCCGGCTAGCCAAATATTCACCGCGCTTGGCCCGTTTGCATCGTTAAAAAATATTTTTACAATAATTCGTATTGTATTCTAAATGAGGTGCCTTTCGTTTACAATTTAAACAACTTTTTTCTTCCGATTTCACCCTTTGCATCTCAATACAAATAAAGTACGTTGTGATGTTTAAACAGATTAAAGTTAGACTGGTGTCATGATTATAAATTTGAAATTGTTTAAAAGCTAATCTTCACAATACATGTTGAAATAATTACATATGGTTTAAAAAATGTAAAATATTTTTCAATTAAATTGTTTTTGTCATTAGTATTAGAATTAACTAAAACAAGGCTCAGGATGTGGAATATACTCCAGATTCTTAAACCTAAACATAAAATGTGCCAGTGTAGTTCAAACAAAGCTAACGGGGATTCTCATAGCAGCATAAGAAATAACCAGAGAGAATATCGCTGGAAGGAACATGCTCATCTATACAGATAGCAGACAAGCACTACTCACCCTAAACAGACCACGAATTTATTCAGGGTTAGGACTAGAATGTCACGAAGCTTTGGCCGAAGTATCCATCAACAATGTGGTCACCTTAAGATGGATCAAAGGTCACGCCACATCGAAAGGTAACCATCTTGCTGATTCACTAGCCAAGAAAACAGCCAATCAAATACTTTTTGGACCTGTCCCTTCTATTGGCCTGACAAAATCGGTAGTGACAGACGTAATTAAGAACATTCCCTTGTAAAATTCAAGGAAAGATGGGAAGAAACAAGAAACTACAGAGTTGCCAGGGAGCTCTTAAGTTATCCTGACAACACTGCAGCAAACAAATACTTGACTATGACTAGACAGAATGTGCGCCTAGTCACATTCATTCTGACTGGTCATTGCCAAGTACGGAAGCATCTCCATATCATGGGGCTGCCAGAATCCGCACTCTGCAGGGTGCGAACAAGAAGATGGGACCATCGAGCATATCCTTTACGATTGCTCGACGCTCTCATATATTAGAAGATTTGTATTCGGCGAGTATCGGGTAATACCGGCCGATATAAGAGAAGCACCTCTTGGCGACGTTGTCAACTACATTAAATCTGTAGGCTGGCTCACGAGCTAGGAAGTGCCTATCATCTTAGGAGGATGCACAATGGGCCTAATGAGGCCCAGATACAGAACTATAGAGAAATAAATGTGTGTTTTGCTTTCAAAATATAAATTCATTATATAAATTATACAGGTCCCTACTAGTAAACTTACCTGATGATGTTAAAATCTTTATCACAATATGTTTTTAGTATCTGATCGAAGGTTTTTATTTCGATTTCGGTCAGTTTCGGCAGAAAACTGGCCGAAACTGCAGCCGAAACCGAAACTACTTTTGTGTCATGTTTGGCGGCGTTCATCACGTATTCTTTTTCATAAAAAAAAATATTTTTTCATTTTTAATGGTTTTTATTGCTTTTGTTGGCAACTCCATAAATTCGTAATTATAATTCTATTTTTGTTACAAAAAATCTATTACCCACATAGCAGTTGCTATTTTGTAATTCACTTACTATTTTTAATTTCAAAAAGTAATAAAAAATAAATTAAAGGACTTTTTTAATCATATAAATAAATAGTTAATAAGTGTAGTTAAAATTTACAATAAAAGTGTCTGAAACTAGAATTACAATAACATATTCCAAAAATAAATTTCGTTAAAGGAAAGTTTCTGTTTCGGCCGAAACTAAGACAGTATCTGATATTCTGTTTCGATTGTAAAACCTTGTTTCGGTCAGACACTATATATTGTTACATCATTGTATTCAGCATTGAACTTGCATCAAAATGATCTGTCAAATAAAGAAGTTTATGATGGTCTTGCACTTACGAAACGTCGGATAAAAAAATTAAATGCGCTATCGAATATAAAACAAAAAACACTCAATGAGTTTTTGTCTATTTTTGAAAATAAATGTACTGCAGTGGAATAAAGAAATAGAACTAATTTGTTTTTTTATAAAAAAACAGCCTTGATATTTTAGTTTTCGAGAGAGCAATACAGTTCAATTAAAAAGTGGCCACCCTGTATATGTATCTATAGTATGTAACTGAAATAACTCTCATACCTTTAACAGTTGAGGAGTATAGTTTCAAAGTTTATAATCTCCATTTTTTAACAGGTACAAATGCAACAGAAATCTTCAAAATCTAATGGTTTTGTGGCTGCTTCAGGCGATTCTAATTCTGTAAGTTATTTACTGATTTTAACTTTCCAGCTTTACAAAATTTATATTATTTTTGCAAAACAACAACACTGATACTTCAAAAGTACTGTTTTTCGAGAATACTACAAATCTAGATGCAATTAAATATTGCTTTCTAATAAAATTTGTACATTCTTTTAATCATTATTTTAATCACATGTACATACATATTATTCTACAGGTTGTTCCTTAATGATACGTGAATATTTCAGGAAAAAATGATACTTTGCTTTATAAACTATGGTATAAAAATGTTCCATTACGAAAATAAATGATGGTAAAAAAAAGAAATTAATTAATATTTTCGAGATATTTCAGTGATATTTAGTACACAGTGACAGTTAATAAAGGACAACTAGATTTACTGCAAAATTGTATTCTTCTTTAATTACATTTATTTTCTCGGTTTTTATTTTTTTACTCAAAAATGGCGCATCCCAGGAAAACAACTCAAGAGAGCTCTTATGTTTTAAATTGAACGGAGAATTCAAAAATAATATTTGGGAAAAAACTTTCTTCAAAAATATCGAAGTCAGTATCCATACGCACGCCACTGTTGAAAGTGAAAATTATTTTTGCATTGAAAAATATGCACCTTCATTAACTATTACTGCGTACTCCACTGAAATAAATCGAGCGGTTTCGAAAATATTAATTTCCTTTTTTTTTGACCATAGTTTATATTAAATATTTTATTATTATTAAGGAACAACCTGTATGTGTTTATTCTGAAACCTCTTTTAAAATAATACCTATTTGCACAAAAACGTTCAAGCTGGCTTTTTATTATTGCTTTGCACTTGCATGTTCTTTTAATTTTCGACTAGGTACAAAGTAATAACAAAAATGACATCAAACAGCTGCTGGAGGAAAAATTGTTTGCCGAAAATCAAGTGACTTTCCTAAACTCTATTATTGCTGATATGCAAAAGAAAAGCGAAGAACAAAAGGCAAGGATTGAAATTTTGGAGATGGGCTACAGTTCTTCGGCGGCTGACGAATTAACTTCGTGAGTATATATTTTATAAATATCCAAGTACACTTTCTATACAGGTTTGGGAAAATTAGGGACGAGCGAAAGTGGAAGTGAGGTGGAAGTCGTACGTACCGTGCGTCAGACCACAGAATAGGTAATGCGCTGCTCAGTAGTCTTTTCTTTGTTTCAAACGTGGTCCTATCATACCTCATCCAATTCATTGTAAAATAGAGGGTCCTCTTTTAGATTTCCGTACCTGTATATTATTTTTTGTGCTCATTTTTTCTGAACCCCAACTTGTTTTTAATTTCAATCTTTTCGATTATTTTTAAAGTTGAAATTCGTCCCAGAACTCTTGTTTTTCTATAATTTGCCAACTGAAAGGGGTGTTTATAAAAATCTAATAGGTCAAACATGGTAAAAAATGGTAAATCCTATGGAGCATGTACTTTTGAAAATTATGAACTTCGAGCGGCTTTCAATTTTTAAAAATATTTAAGTTTCTGAGGTTTAACAAAAAAAGTTACTGAGTGGTCAAACATGGTGAATAGACCGTCAAACACATCCCGCTTTTAAAACTAAAATTTTCGAATTTCGGGCGGAGGGCAGCTTCACACAGCTATCAATGATACTTGTCAGATCACATGCAAAGTCGTGGCATAAAAATTTCAATACCTCTCTCGACTTTTTTCCGTTTGTTGCTAATACGCCATTTAAAAATGTAAATACTTATAGTTTGTGCAAAACAAAGTTGGATGCACGTTAGTAACGTCGTCTTATTTGCCAAGCATTGTGCCCGACTTGAAAAAAAAAATCACATAAAATAGATTAAGTTTAATGCCTACATAATTTAATTTATCAAGAGATGGTAGAAAATTTTAGAAAGCCGAATTAAATCATACAAGAAAAATATACGGGTGGCACAAAATTGATCGAAAACATTTGATCGAATACATTTGATCGAATGCATTTGATCGAAAAAACATTTTATCGAATAACAATTGATCGAAAAGAAAAATGATCGAACAGAAAAATAATCGAAAAGAATAATGATCGATAAGAAAATTGATCGAAAATAGATTTGATAGAAACAGCAATTAATCAAAAAACCAAATATTCATAAAATTATAGAATAAGAAACATGAAAACAAAAATTGCAACTAATTTACCTAACCTGTATAGCCTAGAATCATCGCTGGTTGCTTCGCAAAAACAAAAAATGAAAAAATAAAATAAACTTAAGTAACGTACCTAACTAACCTAACTTGTGCGGGAGCAATCAGTTAAATTTGAATAGCACAAGTTTGGTAATTTTTTTTTTTTTTATTTTTATAATTTTAAACCGCGACGTTTTCAGACTGGAGAACTGGAGAAATTTAACTAATTGCTCTGAGACAGGTCAGGTAAGTTAGTTAAGTTTTATAAAAATAAATAGAAATAAAGAAAACCTTACTAATTTACCTAACCTGTGCGGCCTGGGACAATTTAACTGATTGCTCTGACAGAGCTTAGTTAAATTAGTTAGGTTTTTTAAAAACTTAAGTAACTTACCTAAAACTTAACTAACTTACCTAACCTGTCTCAGAGCAATCAGTTAAATTGCTCCAGGCCGTACTGGATAGGTAAATAGGTTGAGTTTTCTTTATTTTTACCTTTTTTTTGTATATTTTTTTGCGAAGAAAAACCTCGAGGGCTCCAGGCCGCACAGGTTAGGTAATTAGTTAAAAATTTTGTTTGAATTTTTCTTATTTTTCTCTATTTTTTTGCGTGGCAAACCACGACGGCTCCAGGTCGCACAGGTTAGGTAAATTTATTAAATTTTTTATATAAAAAAACTTAAAATAATTTACCTAAAATATCCCATCGGGAGACAACTCGACCTTGTTGAAATACATATTTTTTGCGAATTAATCACATTATTTTAATCCAAATGAGCGTTTAATCCAACTAACCGTTTAGCTCTAAAATAATTAATTTTAAATTAACAGTATAAAATTTAAAATTTTCCATTAGTACCTAATTTTGATAGCCGCTTAGTTAAGTTTCCCTGGTAGTAGGGATTAGACGGACGGTTGAATGGTATCGTTTGATTTTTTGATATTTTACTATTTTTAATGTTGACTTTCGATATATTGTCCTTCTGATCTAATGAATTTTCAATCTATTGGCTTTTCGATAAAATGTTATTCGATAAAATATATCTTCGATCAAATGTTATTCGATCAAATGCCATTCGATAAAATATATTTTCAATTAAATTTCCATTTCGATCAATTTTGTGCCACCCAAAATATACATCTAACTTTGTTTTGCACAACCTATATACATTATATAAACACCTTATCTAACAACAGTTTTTTAGTACATGTTTGTAAGCAATTTTCTACACGTTGAACCAAAAAATAAGTAAAAAAACAATGTTTTGCAGACTTGGCTTCAAGCTTGATTCCAAACAACCAGCCCCAAGAATGTATTGTGATATTTGTGAAGAATTTGATATTCATGAAACAGAAGATTGCCCTACACAGGGAGATGATGATGAACCAATCAATAATAATCAAACTAAAAAAGATGCCAAAGAGAAACCACCTCCAAGACCTTACTGCACTTCATGTGAAGGTAATTAAATCATAATTTTTTGAATTTTATTTTTAAATAGTTTTTCGTTACTTATTTCTTTGATAGAGTTTGGATGTTTATTAAATAATGTTATCGACATATATGATGGATTTCTTTGTGTGTTAAAGGATGTATTTTTCTTTATTTTTGTACAAAGATATACAATCAAATATATACAGGGTGTGATCGAAAAAGGGAAAAATATTGCAAGAGGTCGTAGTACTCATAAAAATATAAAAAAAAAATGTATATGAACCTAAAAGGTATATTGTGGGAGATATAGGCTTTAGAAATGTAAATTTTAAAATTCGTTTTGGAGCTGTCCTTGAATTTTACTAAAAATCAAAATGATTGAAATCTAACAATAGTTGTCCAGCTGACATTTTTCTCCTTTTTTATGGAGTGGAAGAACTTTAGAAGATTTAAATTCCTGTGGAAAAGTGTCACTGTTAAAAATCGGATTAATTAAATAAGTAAGCAGTTTCAGAATAATTATGGGCAGTTTGTTTTAGGATAGTATTATTTAGCTCATTTGTATCAGAACAACTAGTTTTTTACACTTCAAATTGTATTTAAAATTTCTTCTTCACTTGAGGTAGGAAAAAAGAACTGCAAGGTGCTGAAAAATTTCTAAAATGTAGTAGATCACTATTAGAAATTACTGGTAAAGATTTAATATTATCTGCTATGCTTGTAAAGAAATCATTGAACATATTGGGAGTTGGTGAGGAAGCTGGATAACTACTTTTAAATTTGTTGCACTCAAAATTTATTATTTGCCAGCAAGCTTTAGATTTATTAATCGAGTTGAAAATATGATTATCATAAGCTAATTTTTTAGCTGAAATTTAGCCCTTTTTTTGAAGAGCTGCAGCACCCTGATCAAGATCTAACTCTACTAAACCTTCAAAGTAAAATCACCTTCATGAATTATGAAGTACTCTATAAAATACAATGATTAGTTATAACATTAATTTTAATCTGTATTTATATTTCAGTATTTGGGCATACAGATGAAGATTGCACTGAAGATCAGGAATTTTAGTATAAAATTTATTTATTACATAGGAAAAATTGTTACCTTATTAAACATGTAAAAACTGTTAAAGTTTTAGTAGTAAATAAAAACTTATATTTTGGTATACATTTATTTTCTTAATTACATCATTAAAATTACTTGTTTAATACTAATCTAAACCTTCTTTCTTCTCTTTAATTGCTTCCTGAAACAAAATTCATATTTAGATTCTTATTTTAAATAACCAACACAGTCTTCCAAAATATGAAAGGATTGAGGAAAAAATAAAAAATTTCATATTGAAGTTATTATATTAATATGAGAGGTATCGGGACTATCAATAATTGCATAGACTAATATACAAAATGTGTCAAAAATTAATTTGACTAGTCCGAAGGTTAAGTGAAATTTATTTAACAACAAGATGGTTTGTTTTTAATATTATGTGCATGCTAAGATTTGAAGTTGATTTAATTTATTAAGTTTAAATAAGTGATGAATGTAGGCACAATAATCGAGGTGAGGCTGAATAATTACTGTTATTTTGACTACAGATGACAAGTTATTCGCAATTATTGTAAAAAATATAATTTTATTTATTGAACAAAGTAAATAGAAAGAGTACTTAAAATAAGTGCAATGATTTAAACTTAAGCATATTTTTTAATTCCTAACATTTTCAGTTCATTTTTTCCTAAAAACCAATAATAAATATGCTAACGGCTTATACACACTATATATTAAAAGAATACTAATAAAAGTTTGTTTTTTATTAACTTACCTTAAATCTTTCTTCAAACAAGGACAACTCTGAGAGTAGATCAGTAATAGCATTCATTAAGGCATCTTGTGGTGAGTATTCAGAAGTCGTTTGAATTCGTAATACAAACTTATGTTCCAAAGGATGTGGTAACTTGTAACCAGCAAAAAGTACATTAGGATCTTTCAGAAGTTGGCTGAAATGAAATTAATATTGTTATAACCTAATATATATAAAGATAAAAGGTGTAAATAAATATTTACTTTCTGATCATATTGCCCAGAGTATGATCTTCTTTGTTAATTGTAAAAATTCCAGCATTTGGTACTTTGGTATCTTGTTCTCGAATAATCCTAGAACAAAAATAGCATAAAATCAACATCTTAAAATATTTAAAATACGTACTTCTTTTCTCCATCATACAATAAAAACGATTCGAATGTTGGTGGCGCATTCATTGTGCAAGAGAATTAAAAACAATCAAATCAAAACTTTCGGAAAAAATAAATTATACGAGGTTAAGTTACTTGCGTCAAATGTCAAGCTGACGTACGACAGCTTGGCATTTGTCAGTTTTCTATGGCACCAGTGCAGCCAACTTAAACTTATATAACGTAATGTGTATTGCCTATTTTTAGTGAAACATTTTTCTATAAAGATTATTAATAAAAAAAACATTTTGGAATTAAATTATATAAATAAATAATAATTCCTATGGCATACTTCGAATCATATCTTTCTTTATTCTCCGTCTTAGATTGTCTATATCAAATTATTTAACCGACTTCAAAAAATGAGGAGGTTCTCAATTCGTCGGAATATTTTTTATGTATGTTCACGTTCACTGATAATTCTTTACCACGTTGTCCGATTTCTATGATTCTTTTTTTTTTTAGAAAGGGAGTACTTCCGGGGTGGTTTCATATAAATTTGGTCAAAATCTAATGATTGGGTCCATGAGAAAATCATCACTCTTCATTTTTGATGTATTTTTAGCGATAATTCTTTACCACGTTTTCTCAGGAGGGTCCCATATAAATTTAGTCAAGATCTGGTGATGGGATCAATGAGAAAATCAGCAAACTAAATTTATAATGGCATCTACATGATTTTGGAGTCGATTTTTTAAAATTACTTTTATAACTTGTTTTATATAGACGATTTTATTTTCTTAACCAGTGCCTTGTTTGCCAGAACTCGAAGAATGTAGACTATGTAGTTATTTGGCAACCGCGTATTAGAGGAAAAGTTGCTTTTGAAAACGACCACAAAAACGTTTATTTGGTATACTGTAGGACTTGGTTCGCTATTATTTGAAAAGTACAAGAGTATAAATTATTAAACATCATCATATGGGGGTATGTACATATAGAAAACTGTACTGTTTTATTTATAGACTTGCCACGTGGGTACGCCTATGGAAATTTTGGATATACGCCAGCAAAAATTATTTTGCGATTTGACAGATGGACGCACTTCTAGTGACGGAAAAGTGTACTGAAAATGGCGACTTGAGTGGTACTTTGATTTCTTTGAAGTCAATAATTTGAAGACTTACGGAATGAAAATGATTGTATATCATTTAAATGAAGCTATTTAACAAAATTGACATTTATTTTCACTAAAACTGACTAGCTCCACTATCTCGAGTTGGACATATTTGACGCTTTAGCATCTCCTCTTTATTCTATCTCAATGATATATGTTAATAGGTCCAAAATAAATCTTAATATATCAATAACAAACTAAACATGTAATTTTTAACTTATTAAAAGATATCCACTATTAATCTAAGAAGGTCGAGGTTGGGGAGGCCACATGCCCCACAGTCATAATTAAATCTAACATATTGATTATTTTTTTTTTACTTTAAGGCTCTCTGTATCTTGAAAACGAAGCGTTTTAAACGTAGGTATGTGTTAAATTGAGCAAAATAAATAATGTCACCTATCACCCCTAAGAGTTTTTCGGTATATTTACGGGATCGGTGTATTCGCGATTCAAATTAATTTTCGCGCGCCTGTCATTTGTCACGTATAAGTAGGATGTTTGTTTATTTACGTGTTGTGGGATTTTGTATTTGTGATTTTTTAACTGTTTTTAGATAATATTCTTATTATAATAGTGTTTTTGAGTTTCATTTAGTGTTAATTTAAGTTTAGTTTTCGTGCTTTCGTTATAAATGTAATTTTTCATGTGTAGTACGAACTAATTTGTTGGAAATATTGACCTATTGGTTGCTACAAGAACATCTAGAAATATGTATTTACTAAACCCAGGACATGTTTTATTATGTGGTTTAAAGGACATATCAGGTACCAAACGTTTATTATTGATGAACTTCTTTAAAAATCTTACTATCCTTATTCTTATATCATGAAGTGAATTGTGTAGTACTTTGTATACATGTAAATGGTAATAAAACCGTCACAACTCATATTGGAGTTTGATTCTAAACAACGTTTTGCAAAATTTCAATATTGTGAATTTGTAGATACCCATTTATCGTAAGAAACAGAATTTTATGACTTGCACTTGAAAAATAATGAATACTCCAGTTTTGATTTTGACAATAACACCATACAGATTGCAATTTGCTGGAGGCTTTTTCGCAGATTTCATTTTTAATTTAAATACTATCACATACTATAAGAAATAAACAAATTTAAAGCTAAAAAGTAACAAAAAACTCTAATTGTAATTGATACAAATTAAAATGTAAACAATGAACACGAACGCCAATGTTGCCAAATGATGAACTGATTTTGTCTCTGACTGATTTTAAAACTAAAATTAATAAATGAACTGATATTTAAAAAAAAAAAATCAATATAATAAATCGATTTTAAAAAAAAATCCTTAAATAAATAGTATGATTACATATTACTAGACACAAATTTTGATTCTTAAATAAAAGGTCTTATCCATTTCTTCAAGAACTAAAATCCGACGACGTAACGAAATTTTGCTGCTTCTGGCAACACTGAACGTCATCCTACTTATAGGGACCTTTTACTAATTTCCTCCAGAGGGCGTATCACTTAGCTTGAATCGCGAATATCGGAATTTAACTCCTTAGTGCGATCCTGGCAAATATCAAATCCATATTATCAGGGGCGTGCGCTTTGTTCTGATTTCCCTGAAAATTTCTTTATTCTTGATTTTGTTTAATTAATAATTAAAGCCGAATGTCTGGTCGATTATTATTAAGAACAAATTACCTACCAAATATGAAAATAAATACGCAACAAAATTTATTTTTGTTGTTTTTCTAAAAACGGGACAATTAAGTGTGTCACTCTGTACTAAAATACTGCAGTTTGAGTTTTCAATACTTCGACCTCTTCCACCGTATATTTTGCCGATATTTTCTAATAAACCGTATGCGCGAGCAACGTGCTAGCGTTTCATTTCAGATTTTGATTTGATCATTTTGTTGTGTAGAGAGAGGTGGTTTGCGTGTGGTTTGTTTCTCCTATTCTCCTTCTCCTAAGTTCGCTGAAAATGGCGGAAGCCACAGGTGCGGCAAGTGTTAATCCGAATGCCGAGATTGTGAGGGGCCAGGTTTTTGAGGTAGGGCCCCGTTACACCAATTTAGCTTACATCGGAGAAGGAGCTTATGGAATGGTTGTGTAAGTTTAATTTTTGTTAAGTACCCTTTGAATGAAATTGTGAACATACGCCCTAAAACAACAGACAAATATCAAATTGAAAAATATGTGTGACAGTGTTTTTGCATGGCAAATGTGTTTTGCTAAATGTTTACACACGTTAAACTCTTATTATAAAAATTAAAAAATTGTTTTACTTTTTTTTTGAGGTTATGTTTAGACAATTAATTACTATTTGAACTGTGTCCAAATCGATTAATTACAAGTAATATTTCATTTTGATACCTACATGTCAAATAATTTCTGAAAACCCTCATTAGGTTTTTTAATTCACAAATTGAGACAAAATAATAAGATATAATCAATAAATGCAACAATTTAAAAAGAAACAAAATAATTTTCAAAATGTTATTGTCTTTTTTAATGTTTGAAGGTTGTTTCTTCATATTTTTGTTTTCCTACAGTTTACCTAAATGTTAGGTAATTTACCATATCTTTACCCTATTAAATTTTGCAACCTTTTATTTAGTTTACATGACACATCTCCACATACAAATTTTAAATAGGTTTATAATGTTAAAATTTCTATGTTGTCGAACGGAAAGTAAATATTTATATACATAGATAAAAATTAATTCAAGGTTAAGCATTGTCAGTTGGAGGTATCTAATAATTCTCCTCTTTAGATAAATGTATACTGAAAAATATGTATAGATCTTTACAAATTAAATTTTCGAATATAATTGACACTATTACAGTTTGAAATATCTATATCAGAAGCTTATATTTTACCATTTTATTTATTTATTTATTCAAGTCCAAATAAATTGTAAGTCCATTGTAGAATATGAACATATCCCTATATCAATTTATCATTTTTGACTAAATTCCCAATCTAATTTATGTCCTCTATTTAACTCTTTAACGACATGTAAATGTGGGCTGATGTTTATTATTTTGCTCAGCCTCTTCTAGCTAGTAAGTCTGCTTTCTCATTCCCTAACACTCCTTTAAGAACATCCACACAAAATGTACCTTAATGTTTTGCAGTAGGAGTAATTTTGAATGACAGGAATTGTTAAATAGACTAATTTCTTATCATCCAGAATAACCAAGTGGTTATTCGAGATTCAAATTAATTTTCCTGTGCTATGTAAGTAGATAAAACAGTCAGTGTTGTCATACAAATGTATTTATTTGAAATAGGTAAAGTTCCACCTAAAGATATTATTTCTAAGTTATCTGCTGTTACCATGGTTACCTTTGTGACTGAAATTGTTCCCCCAGAGTGCATATTGCTTAGTTTGAATCACCAATGGATGATATAAATTTAATTGTAACTATTTTAGCATTTAAGTTTCTGCTTTTAAGACATTATGGCATATCAGTAGCCAAACCATCTTTTTGATGTTACAGTTACTATCATACTAAATTACTATCTATTTGATATATTTACAGCTCTGCTATGGATCAAGTAACTAAAACCAAAGTGGCAATAAAGAAGATATCTCCATTTGAGCATCAGACTTATTGTCAAAGGACTCTCAGGGAAATCAAAATACTCACCAGGTTTAAGCATGAAAATGTAAGTAAGCATGAAAATGTAAGTAAACAAAATTATACACAATTAATATTTTTATTTTGTAACAATTACAGGCATGTAGTTGTACTATCTTTTATTAAATAATACATCAGCATTGTGCTCCTTAAATATTTAGTTATAATCTAGGCAATTATATTTTATCTTTTGTTAGTCACATTTAGAAATTTCCTGTCTTTTATTGCTCTTATTGGTAATTTTTTTTGTAATTGCTCTGTTAGTCACAATAATTCAATTATAAAGTTGATGATTTGTCCTCCTTCTCTACACATTTCAATGATCTTTGCTTTAATTAACTCTTCTTCATTATCCCACCACATCCACTTCAGCTTAGCATATCTAGAACTGACTAATTTGACCATTATTTTGTATCTAAAGTGGCTTTGTTGTAATTTTTAAACACATAATAAAGAGCCACCCTCTAAAACCCAATCAAGACTTGACCTTTTTTAATGCCTTTTTCCAATAATATTGTCAATTCTATACTAAAGTAGTTAATAATAATAATAATAATAATAATAATAGCACATGTATAGGTGAGGCCAAAGTATGTTGTCTATAGTTGAACAGGGTCCAATGTTAATTAATCTAAATTCCAATAATATTAGTGGTGACATAATTGGTTTTCCAAATGACAAAAATAAGGGTTATATGCATTCATTGATATTATATTTCTTGATATTTTCAAGTTTTTATTCATTTTCACCTCTGAGTAAAGTTACATGTAGGTTTACTTGACAGATTAACTAACAATCTAGTATATTTAAGTCGCAATCTGGTCTCAACTATGACAGCAAAATCAAAAAAGGTAAAATACTATCCGAAAATACAATTTCACATTTTTGTCATTATTTAACTATTAAGTTTTCATTTTTTCTATACAATGTTTAAAATTCATCTTCTGCTATACCAGAAAAACTTTTATACATAGGAGCGAGGGGCGAATCACTCTTTGTAAAAATTTCTGGGTGACTGCGGTGATTTCCATGTGAGTTCCTACAGAATTCTAGTTACTGCGGTGATTTCCACATGACTTTAATAGATTTCTCGTGACTGCGTTCATTTGTGTATTGACTGCGGCGATTTCCGTACTGATTGCGGCGATTTCCGTACTGATTGCGGCGTTTTCCGTATGGATTGCAGGTTTTTTTCGAAGGATTTCTACAACAATATATGGCTTTCCAGTTGGTTTCCAGTAAAAAACATTAGCTGGGTGTTATATCAGGAGAACTAAATTTTGTATAAAACATGTATGGGTCATACAAGAAAAAGAAACACTAAAGTTTGTATAAGACGTGAAAAAAAAAAACGTGAAAATTGTTTTATGATTCTTGTGAAGAATCTATAAATAAAAGCATTCATCAAGATATTCGAGTATATTTACAAATATTTTTTTTTGTTTTGTTTTTTAAAGTGTTTTTAATGTGTTTTTAATTTAATAAATTAATAAAAGACATCATCTATTTTTAAAAGTCATTTCATCTTAATTATCTCTAAATAAATTTTTTAAATTTTGTAAATTTTCGTTAGTGGGTAGTAAAAAAATATACTGTACAACTTGAGTGGATTGTCGTCCATTTTACATATGGCTATCATATCCACTCTTGTGGATCACTCTTTGTTTAAACATATAAAATTAAAACTCATACTAACACTGCACCTGCCAACTATTATTCTAAAGCTAAAGGGATGAATTAGGGTGTGTTTTTTATCCCTATAGTTTTTGTCTACTTTTTTTGTAAAACGTTATTCTTTCCACTTTTTTACATATAAATCTGATATGTCTTACACATGAGTTTCCTGCCTAGTCTAGTTACAAGCTTTTTCCGGCTATTTTGTACAACCTACTGTATCACCCCTGTAAATGTTTGTTTACAGAATTTCCACACACATCGTACTCCAAATATTTTTTACATGTATTTACGGTCCATTTTAAAAATATATCATGTATAGAACTTTTATTTGAATAATTTTTTTCTCCAATCGTACATAACAGATATTCCTTAAAGTAATAAATGACACACTATAAAAGTATCCCCCCCCCCCCCAGAGATTCGACTATGCCCAAAATTTAATCATCTCGCCGCAGGATTTATTAAAGCTTAAGTTTAAAATTTTGTATTCTTCTCTTTATCCGTTTTTGAGTAATTTCCAAATTAAAAATTTGCACTTTTCTTCAAATATCTCGAATACGGTTCATTTTAGAAAAATGATGTATAAAACAAAAAAATATAGAGAATGACAATCACAAGCAACTTTTATTTGAACAATTTTCTTAAAAATTCGAATTTTGTACTTTTTGTCAAATTTCTCGAATATAGACCATTTTTGGAAAATTATGTATAGTATAAAAATTATAGAAAATAATATCACAAGCAACTTTTAATTGAAGAATTTTCTTCTTCTAGTGTAAATAACATATATTTATTTATTGGACACTTTACAAACGCTATAAAAAATTAATAGTAATGTAGATTTAAGTAACAAGAAATTTAAAAACAAAAACAAAAATTAATATCTAATGAACATAATTTAGTACAGTCCTCAACTTTCTTAGGCTAACATTAAATATATCTACTTGGACCTCCCTAAGAAACTCATTGGTAACAGCCATCATCTTGTTAAAAGGAGATATGCTACTTGGATCTATACTAAATAATTCCATTAAATAGAAAAACGACCCTTTACAAAGTGCACTGACTATGCCCAAAATCTAATCAACACATTAGAGAATGGATCAAAGCTTAAGTTTACAATATTATGTTTTCTCTTTAACCGTTTTTGAGTTTTCACCATATTCGAAATTAGCACTTTTATTATAAAGAATGAGAGGCAAATTTTATTTGAACAATATTCTTAAAAATTCGAAATTTGCACTTTTTGTAAAATTTCTTTAATACGAAGTATTTTAGGAAAATTACGTACCTATACGATAAAATTATAGAGCAACTTTTATTTAAAGAATTTTCTTCTCCAAGCGTAAAAAAACGACCACCCCCCAAAACGTAAAAATCCGTAGAAAACTCGAGGTCGAAAAAATCATGATTTCTATACTTTTCTTATCTGTATACAGACAGGAAAGTAAAAAACGTATTCTGTCAATAAATTAATTTCTTTTTAAATAAAATACATTTTAATTAAAACATGTATAACCCCATATAAAATACAAACAATTTTATTATGCATTAAAAAAAAAAACAAGTGAAATGGAGACAATTCTGGACTACCTTGGAAATATTTTCTATACAAGTAGATCAGAAATTTGATGAACTGTGCCAAAAATAGCATTTTAAAATTAATAATATAATTGATGGAGTGACACTTTCAATAAACGTTAATTTTACACAAGATTGCTTAGATGGCCTAGTCCAAGCACCTACTTCGACAATGGCGAACAGGGGAAATGTCAATTGACTGCGCGCGATTTTTAACGATTGCTAGTGATTGCTGAGCGACTGCGGGAGATTTCGGGGAAACTGCGAGGGAATTCTGAACGACTGCGACGATTTTTTAGCGATTGCCACTGATTTTGATGGGACTGCGGCGATTTTCAATGAGATTGCGGACATTTTGTACATGTATTGTGGGAGTGATTCGCCCCTCGCATAAAACTATAATAAAAACTGTTAAAAATTGTTATAATCTAATGTACACCTTCATTGGTTATTTCTATTGAAGAACTGATATAGCCACATTTAAATAAATCACAAATAAATAAAAGATTAATTATAAATATGAAGATTAAAGATTTGTGCTTGATACACTTAAATTATAATATTATACTTTTCTGTAATAACTAGGTTTTATTTTTTCATCAGTGATTAATACTCAAACTTACTGATTAAGATAAGCATCATAATAAATTCTCCTACAGATAAAAATATTAAATTATTTGATATATTGTCTTTTGTTAAAAACATTTAAATTAGTACTAAGCATTTTTAAGAACGAATCATGCAAATTGATTAATTTAAAATTGTATGACAAGGCTACTTTAGGAACAACTCTGTTAATTAAAACCCAATAAAAAAGGTTGAGTGATAAATCCTACATTGACATTTAATCATTGCTTTCTAATTATTTAAAAGCTACTGGAATTTCAATGGTCATAAATTCTACACTCTTACCTCTGAGCCATCCCCTCTACACCTGAATTGAAAAAAAAAATATTTATAAATAAAATAATGACAGGTTACAAAATAAGAACAATTATGTAGTATTTTTGTATTGATTTTAGATAATCGATATTAGAGATATACTTCGTGCGGCTACTATAGACCAAATGAAAGATGTATACATTGTACAATGTTTAATGGAGACTGACTTGTATAAACTCCTCAAAACCCAGGTAATTTTAGTTATTGTAACTAGTGAAAGACTTAATTTTTTTCTTAATCTTATATTGTTCTACATTTTTTTAAGTAATATGGAAACTTTAATTTAATTATAACTAAGTATATAAATTTAATTTATTTGAGAGGGTTGTGAAGATGATGGATGAGCTGCAGCGCAGATGATCCATTTAGTTTGATGAAAGTTTAACTCATTTAATACAAGCTAATATTTTCAATTATGTTGCATCTAATAATTCTACATTATTTATTCCAGAGACTGAGTAACGATCACATATGTTACTTCCTTTATCAAATTCTCAGAGGATTGAAATATATACATTCGGCAAATGTACTTCATAGAGATTTAAAACCGAGTAATCTACTGCTAAATACTACCTGCGACCTCAAAGTAAGTGTTGAATCAGTTAATTAATCAGATATAATATGTAAACATTGAAAGGAAATTAATACTGCTCAAATTTTGTTTGTTTTTCAAATTATATCACTTAGAAATAATGTTGATCGCATTATATACATGGTGATCCAATTTTTATTGTCAGGATTTTGCCAGCTGAGAGTTTATTGGACAAAGTACTTTTATTCTTTGATAAACTATCAGCTGGTGAAATCCTAACTATATAAACTATGTATACAGGGTGTCCTAAAGGATTTTGAATCGTTTTGTGCACTATAAACAAAAAAAAAGACTAATGAATTAATCAATCATTCAAAGGCTTTATTATAACTGTACATATTTTTTTTATGCAGTGTTATAAATATTTGTCAATATTTTAAATGAATATTTTTATTATTATTTTAAATATTTTATAACGTCTGCTAGAACAGTATGAATAACAATTACAAGATGGTAAAACTTGATAAGTCAAATTTCCAAAAATAACAGATATGACGGCCTAAATGTGATAATATGTCAGAAGTTTACATTATAGTTGAAGCAATAACTTGATATGCATGCTTTCCTGTAAAGGTACCAAAACTCCACATCTCAAGTTTGCCTTCTTACCACAGATATAGTGACCAAGTATTAAAGACATAATTTAAAAATTTGATATCTGATGGTTGCATCCTATGTTTTAGACCATGCAGAACTTTTTAGGAAGAATAACTTTTTATTTGTAAAATGAATAATAAAAAAGATTTTCGAACTTACATAAGTAGACATTGTGTATATCTGTAAAAGATCGTACTCATTTCATTTAATTTATTAATGCACGGAGAGTTACAGCTAACTTTAAGACATTTAACCCATTTGTGCACACTGCAGGCATCCACTTAATTGTGAACCGCGCTGCAAGAAGGGGGCAGCTCCATTTTTATTAACTTTTGGAAAATATGAAAAATGTTTTATTAAAAATTTACTTGTTTTAAAAATAAAACATTCTAACCAAGGGGCGACATATTTAGATGTAAAAAGCTGCTTCCCTCTTACACCAAAGTTTAAAAAAAGAAGCTTTGCACTTATTATAAGGTAAAAACGTTTAATATTTTTTCCATTTATTGTCGCAACTGCTTGTTTCTTAAAATAATCAATTAAGCTTAATTTTTTACATAGAATATATATAAAATAACTAAACTTTTACCAAAAATGGAACTGTCCTCTTCTTGCAGTAAAGTCCTTAATTATTTTAATATTTTAAAATATATGCAAAAAAAATTCAACAATCAAGTGATTATGAATATTTTAATTATTTTTAGATTTGTGATTTTGGATTAGCAAGGGTTGCAGACCCAGAACATGATCATACTGGGTTTTTAACGGAATACGTAGCTACAAGATGGTATAGGGCGCCAGAAATTATGTTAAATTCCAAGGTAAATAAATTCAATAAGAAAATAACATCTCCAAATTAGAAAAAAAAAATATATTTTTGACATGCATTAATATTTATATTCACAAAGCATTTTTATTTTATTATATTTTATTTTAGAGAAAAAGTAGAGTTGGACGATTACGTGATTTTTCAATCATATTTTGAATTCTTACTGTGATTGGTAGTGTTAAACAACTCACTTAGTTTAAATGAGGCTGAATTTAAAACTACTTTTTGTCGTAAGCTAATCCTCTATTATTCAGTATATTATATAAATCCTTTATTTAGTCAAAATAACTAGTTTACATGGCAATACATAAATATCTAGTGAACATGCAAGTAAAATGATAAAACTAAGTCAACTTGACAAAACAGTGAAAAAAAATCAACTAGTTAACATAGTTTTCTTTTAAATATTGTTGTTTCAAGAGCATTCAGTATCTTCAGATAAATTATTAAAATCATGTAGGTACTTAAAAAAAAAAACTAAATTTTGTGTATATTTTTTCGTTGCCTTATATGAACGGTAAAATTTTGCTCGTTTCTTGTTGTTAAAAAAGGCGGCGCTCTGTCCGCCATTATGTATATCGATCATACTGCGACACTTGTATTATGTTAAAAACAGTAAATATTTTTTAAATTAGGTTATAAATGCACTTTTAATAGTGGATGAAACGAAATTAACATTTATGGTGCACTAGAAGCGTTACTAACTTTTAATGAATGGAATATTTTTTAGGGTTACACCAAATCGATTGATATCTGGTCAGTAGGGTGTATTCTAGCTGAGATGTTAGCGAATAGGCCGATATTTCCCGGTAAACATTACTTAGATCAATTAAATCATATTCTTGGAGTCCTAGGATCTCCGTCCCAAGAAGATCTCGATTGTATTATTAATGAAAAGGTAAAGTATTAATTAAAACTGGACTTTGGTTGTTTAAAAATGTTTTTATTTTAATTTTACTAGAATAGTGTAATAATTGGATGTGTGTGTTCTAGCCTTTTAATTAAACAATCGATAGGATCAATAAAACAGGATTATACATCTTTTAGATCTACAAATTTCTGAGAATTGTAAATGGAATCTTCACTTTAAAGAATTGTGCAAAAAAGCTGCATCAATATATTATAGATATCATAAAATATATCAACTCTTTTTATATGTTTTTCTGATCTTTTTTTGTTCTTATCAAGAATTTTCGAATTTGCTATAAAATGTGCCACACATGGTATTTAAAATTAAGAGGTTGAGGAAGTGGAAGACATATATCAGGAAAATATGTCTCCTTTGATTTTAAAATCATCCTGTTTCAGCAAGTAAATGTAAAAAAATTACGCTATTTAAACGACGAATTTTACTCAATATCATTTACGAATCTCTTTGTAGATTTGTCTATTGTTTTTCATATTCTTATAAAGAGCCGAGTTTCGCTCACCCAGTACAATGATTGTATTGAAATATTTTACCAAAAAGAGTAATATATTCCTATTTTGACTAAATTGTAGGCAAGGAGTTATTTACAATCTCTACCTTATAAACCAAAAGTTCCCTGGACGAAATTATATCCTAATGCTGATCCAAAAGCTCTCGATCTCCTAGACAAAATGTTGACGTTTAACCCTCACAAACGAATAGTCGTCGAAGAAGCCCTCGCACATCCATATCTCGAACAGTATTATGATCCAGCGGATGAGGTAAGGTTTTTTTTATTCTGATTACTAGGCCACATAGGAAACCACATTAATGTGTTTAAATTTAGTTTTTAGTATTATGTAACACAACACTGTTGATAAAAAGTATCATTTGAATTACAATTAACATTTGTAACAGTTCTTATCACTCATTGTGGTTAAATTAAAATTTCTTTGTGACAATAAACTCGGGATCAATTAATACCAATTGATAAACAGGTTGCCGAACATTTATTTTATTACGATTTAACTGTAAGATGATGAACAATTTTTATTATTAAATCGTTAATTTGAAAACGAAACAATCAATACAGGGTGAAAATGATAAAACCGTTTTTATATTTATGTATTTTAATATTGGGGTTGGCTATGGAAGTCAAACATGGCTGACTATAGTAATATTGTTAATGTTAAAGTTCTTCTTGTTTGCAAACTCCACCAAAAAATATAATGTTGCCGCGTCGCTTTACGATTTTCCTTAGATTTTTAAAACTGCTTAATTGATTCGCCCATTCTTTTATCTCTCCGCTGAACTTTAGAAAATTATTGCCTAGCTATAATTTTCATAAAATCTTTCTTCGTGACACTGACAACTGATTTGTCATCATAAAATATTGAAGCCTTTTTTCCATCTTTTTCGTGACCTAGAAGTTCAGTTACTTTAGAATCGTCACCAAATTTTTTTTTCAAAATTTGTAGGAGCAAAATATTTTTTATTATATAACCGAACACGTACCTGTAGGCCAGTTTCACATAAGCTAATGAAATTTTTTGTTTCTACCTCAACTTCCTCTATATATTTATCCTTAAGCTTAGCCTGTTTTGAATTCTTTTCCTTTTTCTTGCTGAAGTAATTTTGGTAATTCTTGGTCTGCTTTTACTTGTGCTTTTAACTTCTTTATTCTGTTGTCCCCAGTGCAGATCGTCTTGATGACGCTTCTTGCTGCTGACTAATCTCTCCACGACTTCAGGAAACCTTTCGATATTTAAATACCAGAAAGGGCCAAAAGCCGGGAAAATAGGGAAAAACAAAACGAAAATGAAAAACAGCACAGGAGCTGGGATCTACCATGTGAACTCAGGGAGAACAATTAGTCTGAACCTGGGGCCACTGACAACAGTCTTCCAGGCTGAAGTAACAGCAATAAATTCCTGCTCCAAAGTCATGCTAAATGACTCTTTTAGAGATAAGAGGGTCTTTATCATGACAGACAGTCAGACAGCCCTTAACGCACTGAAAAGGGTAGAAGTACAATCTAAATCAATACTTGATTGCCAACAGCCCCTCTAGGCCCTGGCAGAACATAACAAGGTCACCCTTGAATGGGTGCCAGGACATGAGGGAGTGTTTGGAAACGAGAAAGCAGACCTAGAGGAAGGGAGCGGAAAAAACTCTTATTGGACCAGAACCTACATGTGGTATCTCATACCAACATGTTAAATAGATGTTAAAGGAACAAATAAATAGAGAACACCATAGGCTCTGATTGGAACTTCCTGGACTTAGACAGTCCAAAAGATTCATAGAGCAGACAAAATCAACTGCTAAACCTTAACAGAAGCGAACTCAAGGCCGTAATAGGACTCCTTACGGGACACTGCGGCCTTAGAAGATACCTAAATCTCTTAGGGATATCTGATGACTCCCTATGTAGAATATGTAAAGAGGAGGACGAAACGCCTATTCACATAGTATGCCACTGTCGGAACCTAAAATGGGAACGGGAATGGTACTTCGGGGTACAATATCTGGAACCTGAAGAAATCGTGAAAGCGTCCATCAGACATTCTTGAATTCATCAAGAAAATCAATCTGATGGGATAGAAACTGTGAGGGGTACAATAAGCCAAGAGCTTCAGTACAAGTGGGCTTTGGACCACGCTCTAATTCAGATAGAATATCTCCATCTTATTTTGTTTCCATAGGCATATGGATCAGTTTTATTTTTGAAAGGACCAGAGAATGTTAGCTTTTAGAGAAAAAAAACATAACCTTATTTATGACTGATTCCCAACTCTCTTCTTGACATACAATCTCAAAACCATGGAAAACAAAACTTTATAAGAATATAAAATTAAAAGATGGATTTTTAGCATTTTTTGTGTATTTATTATATTTTAAGTAAGATTTGGATCAAGAAGATATAATAATTAGGTCTGAAGTTATTTTTTAGGAAGGGAGATCTTCAATATTAAATACATGTAGATATTAGAGCAGCTTATGTTTTAAACTCTAATTGAATGAGTTGAAGTTGATGACATATATAAATTTATGAAAACCGTGTCACCTAGGTTTCATCAATTTGACATCATTTTACTAAATTTTCTATAAACAGCATGTCTCTAACTTGTTTCATTATAAACCATGTCAAAATCTATTAAGCTTAGTTTCATCTTTGATCATCTCCAATTTCAAAATGGATAAAAATATCAGAATTCTGTTTTCAAATATCTATTTGTATATAATTTACCTACACTTTCTTCAAATGTCAAGTCAATAATAACTTGTCTCATTATAATATTTTGATTGTGAAATATTAATATTGTGAACATGATTATTAAACTTTCAGCTGTCATTACTTATTATTCATTAGTTCGGCAACCCACCTTACTTTGAAAGGCAACTTAATCCAGTGATTCACAAAAAAATGTTTGTTTTTTTTTTATTTGTTTCAGCCTGTAGCAGAAACGCCTTTTAGATTCGATACCGAATTGGATGATTTGCCAAAAGACCATCTGAAAAGATTAATATTTGAAGAGACTTTACTTTACAAACAACAACAATCGGATCCAAACAATAGATCATAGTTATTTGAAATATGTGTATAAAAAAGAATTTCCTATTTAATAATTTTGTTAACTTCCCTAAAAGCGAAGGTGGACATTTTAATAAAAAAAAGATATTTTAAAAGTATTGGAACTTTTTAGTATTTTATGTTTCAGAAGATTTGTTGTGGAGGTGGAAGAGCAGTGGATTATATTTTATTATAAAATTTATTTTATCAAAACTTTTTAAAATATTTTTTTATTTTTTTTGTTACCAAAAGTCTTTTTATTTTAATTACTTACTTTTTACAGATTAAATTAATACAAATCTTATGAAACACAAATTTTAAATAAATTCGTTTACCGAATTAGTTTTATTTGCTCTTTAGCTGATAAAATGTCTCCTGTTTCAATGTTTAATAATTTAAACTACGATTCCAAATAATAATTGTTTTTATTTTTATTCCAAATTATTTATAAAATTATATATATATTGATTTATTACTTTTTTAATAAGTTGTTATGAATATTTTTTTAAATCTATATAAGTACTAGGCTGGATCTGGATCTTTTTTATTTAAAAAAATTGACTGACATTATTGAAAAAGTTAATATTAAATTTAAATTTTAAATAGATCTTCTTGAACCATTTTATTTCGCGCAAAATCCCCTGATAAAATAATGTTTGGATTTAATAAAAATTGGAGCTTATTATTTTAGGCTCAATTAAAAAAAATAGATTATTCATATATAGTAGTTACAAAATTTTTAGTTTTTCTGGAATAACTTTCTGATTCGTTGGAAAATTCAGGAAACCAAAAAATTTTTCGCAATAAAAAAAAAGTTGGACCACATTCCCGAAGGAAAATTAAAATTTTTTTGACATGATTTGGAAGAGAATATTTTATAATAGACAGGCAGAACATACTTAGGTTCTTTTTATTATAATCTATATATAATTTTTTTTTCAATTCAAAATAATTTGTCTTTTCGATTTTTTGTGATTTGCTCTTAGATTATTAAATCCCAAACATACGAATGATCTTTTTTACTCAGTAAAGTATATCAGAATCCAACGAGAGCATGAATGTGTTGATATTAAGGAATATTGAAATAGGAAGATTGGTGCAAAATTGATATCAAGTGTATATTGATTAGTTTTATTAATTATAAGGTTTACAATTGGCCAAAACCAAGGTGTATGTGTTTGTGATAAAACTTTTATTTATAATAATATTTGAATAGTGTTACTTTTACTTTTTATAGTGTTCACATTTTAATTTCCATTCTGAATTTTTGCGTTTAACTAGAAACTGCAATAGAAATAAAAATACAAATGTAAAAAATATATTTTTTAATTATTTCCTTCATTTGTGAACGATTGTTGACAATATTTGGTTCAGTATTTAATTTAATTATTGTGTAAGACATATTTTAAATATTAGAACGTTGATTTGTAATGTGCCTCAATAATGTGTTGCAAGATTTATAACACCTTTATTATTGTAGACGGAATAAATATATCTAATATCTATTTTCATTTAGAATTTGATACGGTTTAATTTTTATTTACTCATTTGTTGGGTTTTCTACAATGGACCCCCCACGTTGGGCGCCAAAAATTTCACCATACCAGAGCTGTAGCAACAAAAGCGCTCGCGACTAGCTAACAGACAGAGAAGGGGTGGTTTTGTAAAAAAATATTTATTACCAAGGATCACGGCTCTGAGTCATAGATTCGGTGTAGTGGTACATTACATTAATTTTTGTGGATCACTATAACATTCCAATAAATTACAGTAATAAATAAAGGTGCTATTAGTATTCGCCTTGCACATTAATGGACCACCTTGCATTTTTGGATCACATTCTTTGTTGTTATTTTACTGGGAAACTGTAACTTTTTTTTTATAATGCCATGGACTATTTAAACTTTTGTCAACAATTGTATCATATAACTCTTTATTGTTATGTAATTAATGTGATGTGTAAATATCATTTCATTAGATTAATTTTTAGATTGTCAGAATTAGATTGTCAGTATCACTGATAAAAAAATAAAAATATCTATTTTTTGAAATACTAGATTTTCTAAATAATTAAATGATGGTTATATAGTCAATAAGATTTATTATTAATTTATTAAAAAATTAATGATGTGAGAGTTCAAGTATTCTCATTTTAAAGGTACTTGTAGATAATCTCGTCGTCTCGGAATAATATTCACTAAAATATATAGAAATTACATATTGGTTCGTAAAGCAATTTAATTTTCTTTCTCAAGTGAGTAGGTGCTCTCGAATACAACATTTATATTTAATATCTGTTTTGAAATCCAGACATCAAGGATTTTTCTGCTACGCTTCTGAGATGAAGGACTTATCCCACACTTATTTTAATATGACAAAGGTGTTTCCTTGTCTTAAAAAAAATAGTCATTATCTTTGAAGTTTTCGTGCACCAGCTTTATCAATGTGGTATGCTTCTCAATCCTTTGATACCTCGTCAAAATGACACGGGTATCCTCAGATGGAGATACAAAAATTTCAGACGTCAAGAGAGTACTCATTTCTAAGATTTTATGCAAAATGCCATACGTCAACATGGAACACTATTTTGAAAGACTGTGACTACTCACATTAGATAAATAAATCTATTCACCGACTGTTTTTCTCAGTTTATTTCGAGATTATTAAAATTCTTAGGTGTTTGGTCTTTTACTTCTTTAGTGTACCGCACACGAATATGAAAAATTAAAACTAAGCAGTTTTAACCAAATTGTTAACTGAGCCGTTGACTTAACGCAGCCTTATTGACCTCAAAGAAGATTAAATTGATAGACTAGTCAATCATTATCAAACAGTTAAAAAATAAGAAAACTATTTTGGTTTAATTTTACTGCATTTGTAACTCAAATTAAAATAATAGTTATGTCGATTATCTGAATTGCTTAAGCATTTATAAAATTTATCTATTTTGTGTGTTCTACTTAGAAGTTGTCAATTTTCAAAATAATTCACATTCCTAATGTAACAATATGTTTATAGGATAAAGTTTATATTTATTTCAAAATCATCTTTAATGATTAAATTACTATAAAAAAAAACGATAGATGTATTATGAGACAGGTGTTTAAACGAATTATGAAAGTCTGGGTCACTTTAAGTGTAGTTAGATAGATAGAAACATTTTTTAGGTGACTGTCACAATGAAAGTGTATCTTTTTTGGCTGCATTTACTTTACAGCCGCTTTATATAAACACAAATTATATCATACTTAAAATTGGTAATTTTGTACAAATTTTTGTTACTTAACAATAGTTTATTAGCTCAATAAAAAATTGAAACTATTGCATTTAAGTATCTTTTCAGGAACAAAAAAATAAAAAAAAATGTATCTACTCTATGAGACAATCGCCTAAAAAATTGTGTGCACCTCAGCCGGATGATCTTTTTTGGCCTTACCAGAAGTTGCAAATTTCTTATTCGGACAAAAAGACCAACTTTATGGCCTTGGTACACAAATAATTATTTCAGTTTCTAAAAAAATATTGAAACGATTTTATGTTCTGATTTCTACTACGTAAACTAAAGAAAAAATATTTAACGAAATATTGTGCCATAACAATGTAAAAATTCTAAAATCAAATTTTACTGGTTAAAATAATTGACATTATGTAGACAAGTGGAAAACAAGACAAAATTCATAAGTATTCATTTGTCAGCTTTTCTTCGCAATACGCAGCTAATAGTAAAATAACATGATACGAGAAATGTATCATTACTGTCGAGGGCTAATGTAGATAACTGAGGTGCTTGCGCCGAGACCGTGGCGAGCTATAGGCCAAGGTTTGAATACTATTTTATTCACAATCATTTAATTTTAAATCATAATAAAAAAATATATGGTAATTGTTGTTCTGCTATCTATATTAAAATATATTTGAATGTAACTTTCCACACTTGGGAGGAAACTAAAAGCCGTTATATCCTCCTTTTAAACTTATAAAAGGTTTGGAAATGAGTTCTTACATAATTATATGATTGTGAATAAACATTAATGAGTTAATACGATATTTGTGATTTTGTCTTACCTTTTACAATATGCAGTATACATGTTGGTAATTTTAGGTTTACATATTCTTAAATATCGCATACAAAAATGGAAAATTTTGGTAAAGTTTCAAGACCCTAATAAATTTTAAACTAAATTCAAAAAGGAATAATTAAAATTAGTCCAGTAATGTTATCTATTTCAACACTATTACTAATTACAAAAACAGAGAAGTCATGTGTTACGTTTTACTAAATTATGTATGGACAATAATGACGTTTTGCTGGACAGACTTTGAAAATGCTGTATGAATGGTCACCCTATTAATTAATAGCTTATTTTATATTTACTTTCAGAGATCTAGAATATATTCCAACAATCACAGAAACTAATTAACTAACCATACAGTTCAATAAATATGAAGAAAACTTAAGGGTATGGAAGGCATTATTTAATGATATGAATATCTAAACTATAACACCATTTTTGGCAAGCTTGTTATTGTACTAGGAATTAAATTTAACTACAGTCATTTTAAATAATTTAAAGTCACATAATAATAATTGGTACTTCCTATTTACGAGTACAAGGGAAGGACTTTTTTGTGTCTACACATGATTTTAACTTCTTCACGTTATCCAATTTATATGTCTTTCTAAATAATTATGTCATGTCGCACACATGTACAAATATATCAAAAATCATTATATAATTAGAGTAGAAATTTACATTTGAATGTAATAATATATCTGTGATTATCACTTAATTTTTAATGGTAATCTTGTTGTACCTTTTATAGTAGCATTAAGAGATATTTAATCTATTTATAAATGTGTCATCTTTACAAAATTGTCTATGTGTCATTGGTGTGAAAGATTATTTCGATTTTTCACTCATTCATTAAATTTCTGGTTTAAATAATTCAAATAGAACATCACTAATATTAAATATTTGTTAAAATAAATATCTGTGAGATCATCATTGAGAAAAACTTAGTGAATTTAAGAAAATTAATGGTGAATGGTTGTTATATAAATTATGGCCTAATTTTTTTCTATTAATGTTGTTAAAAATACTGTTACAGTATGTTACCTACATTATTATTAATGTCAAATATGTAGTTCTTATTATAGTGAAAATAAAATTATTCATGATATTTACTCCTGTTGTTTCTGTTAGATACAAACAAATGATCGACAAAAAACTATTTCTAAAGTAGGCCGTAACATATACAAAGACAGACACAAATTATGTCGGTGATAACCTCTAAATTAAATTAAAACTGCCATTTAAAGAAAAGAAGAATTAAATGTTCCGACATGCGTGATTTTTTCCATGGCCTACTTTAGAAACATTTTGTGGATCACTCCCTTAGATAAATGATCATTCCCTAGTTAACAAAATAAAACCTACAAAACAAGTTGGCATGGGTCAGGTCAAGTCGTAATCGGGCAGCCAACAAGTAAATAAAAAATTCAAAATATTAAGATGGTGCAGGGTCAAACCCCAATAAAGTGGCAAAAATGAAAAATTGACTTTTATATACCATCAAACACAGTTTTTAGAGCTCTATTCTCAACAGAACGTGAAATTCCGTAGTATTGTGTACAGATAATAGTGTTAAATAGCATTCCTAAAAACCGATATAAGTAAAGATCAATTTTTATTCAGGTAGAATCCTATAAACTCCTGTCATAGTTTCTGTGCAAGGCAAAAACAGATAACTCTGAAAATTTTTAAATTTTATTTTTTGATCAAAGTAATTAGGATACAAATTATAACTTCTCACATTTAAGTTTTTCAGGGCCTTTTATTAAATTAGAAATAAACAACCAGCCAGTGCGAGTTGGACTCGCGCATGAAGGGTTCCGCACCATCGTACAAGGTTTAATAATATTTACGTACTTTTTAAATACTTTATTAAAATCTAGCAAAAAAAGCCAAAAAGAAAACAATTTTCTAGTAGGTGAGTTCCCTTTAATTTTTATAGCTGTAAGAGAAATACACATTCTGTGAAAATTTCAAGTATCTACCTATTATGGATGAGATTCAGCCCGCTGACAGACGGGCGGACAGCCGAGGCTTAGTAATAGGGTCCCTTTGGTTCCTTCGGGTACGGAACCCTAAAAAGAAACCCTTTAATCGATATTTCTATAAATTGTCGCAGGCAAACTATCAAACGCATTTAATTTGTACCTAACAGAAGGGACAAAAGATTAAAAAAATCTTTAAACGTCAATGTCTTCATAACTAAATTTTATTACTTATCAGATTTTCACTCTGGACAATCAATATTTTAAACGGGTCTGGCATGTTTGCACAAGAGGTACGTTTTTCCAACAACTCATTAACCCTTTCTTTTATTCCGCCTGCTAATGTTTCATCTGCAATCGAATGAGAAATGGAAAAATTACTGCAGAGTTTTGGTCCGTGTTTGATCTAGTAAATTTTGGAAATCCATGAAGGTAAAATCTAGTGGAATCATGACAGGCATTTTGAAACACTTGTTGGGAAATCTCAGATTGGTGTCTAGATTTCTTGCGTGGCCATACATAAAAAGAAACTAGTTGCATTATATTTTATGTGGTACCGATTCGCAGTACTTTTTTACTATTCTGTGTAAGAAAACTTTAGTGCATCAAGAGGGTGTTAAGGATGTCTTAGGGAATACAAATGTCTCGTTCAAAATAAACCCTTTCAACAATTAATTATTTTTTATTTTCAAGAGTTAAACTAAGTACAACTGTAAAGTACGAAATACTTTAAAATAATATAAATACTGCTAATTTTCTAAAATATGAATTATTTATTTAAATAAACTTTTCTCCATTAATACTAATTAGTATAGTACCCAGCCAAATAATAACATTTTTAAGACTACTCAATTGATTCAATGTTTTCAAATTTTATCACTCAAATTATTTTCATATTTTTAAAATGAGCAATACTCACGGGGCTTGTCGCCGACCAGTACACGATTTGTCGCTGATAAATAATCAGAAACATTTGTGCACAACTGCAATTTTTATACCCTGACAAGAAGTCATCTCAAACGACTTGTGTACCAAAATGACTATCATAAAAATATAACTACAAATGAAAGTGAGACAGAAAACTGTGAATTGTGAAGACAGTTTTTAGAATAGACAGACACATTGTAAAAATTGTTTAATTCATTATTTGTTTGGACATTCAGTTAACATTAAAAACTAAGTAACTATTCGTCTTTGTTTTATTTCTTTTTTTCTCTTTGTGATCACTATTTTTGAAACATGTACTTACAACTCATGTCCTGACAAGTTGTCCATGCTGTTTGCTGATCGTTTTGACTTGTTGGTAACTTGTTGTATACAATAACAAGTGCCCTGCAAACGCTGGAAATTTTGCTAAAATCACTGATTTATGGCTCCACGAATGCTAAAAATCGAAATGCGCATGCTCATCTGTCGCGTACTGGACGAGAGGCTCCGTGAACAAAGTTATTATAATTTAAAGAGTTTTTAGCTATCGAAATAGTTCAAAATATTTTGAGTATACAAAATTTTGACATCATTTTCATTACATTGTTAAAATATGCAGTCTTGAGCTAGCGCTATATTAGGCAGAAGTTCAGCCATCGATAATGAACTGATATTTGCGTAGTAAATTCAAATACCAGGCGTCTCAATAAATCTTTTGCTCAATGTAGGAAAATGAATCTGTGTCTGCACCAGACTTTCTGCTGCTGAAGATTGGCAGTTCAACTGAGGGGTATAATGTATAAACCATTTTCAGGAGAGATAAAAAATGTTTCAAGGACAAAATATTTAACGTTTTTTTTTGTATTTTATTCTATGCACGAACGTTTTTATTTTTCTTGTTTGATGGCCTTTGCCGAAGTGTCAAATCAATGTCCATAAACTAGTCAAATTTCTGACTTGGCCTTTATATGCACAGTATCGAGAGGGTACTCAACCTACTATACATCAAAGTACGCTTAGTTATCGAGCTAGACAACTCGTTAATGCACAGTACGATTCAGAATTTAAAACTATGCAAGAACATATTAACTAATTTTTACAAAAACAAAAAATTGACTCGGCTGGTTTTGTGCATTGGACCCCTCAATTTCTGTCTAATATAGCGCTACCCTTAGTATCGCCTGTTAAAAAATACTATACTACTGTCCAAAATTATCGCACCATTCAATAATAGTAATTCTCTGTTGTCACAAAAAATATTCAGACTATTTTAGAAGGGGTAGGGGCATAGAGACATAGTCCCCCCCCCCAAATTTTATTGTGTTGAAACTCAAAAAATTAGATTTGTGTATAGTTTTATAAAAATAAATCCAAATAAACTTAAGTCTCGATCAGTAAAACAATGTTTCAGATCTTATACAAATTGAATGTAAAAGTGAGTTTCTGAACACTAAATTTTAAATATTTTCCAGATGAGGACCCTAGACTATTGGGATATTCTCTCGAACCCCTCGGAAATTTGTACACTCCCCAAAAATCAAGCCTGGCTACAATCACTTAAGTTCTAATATCTGATAAAACAATATTTATGAAGAAATAACAGTTGATGATAATACATTAGAAGTTCTGTATGTCTAGGTTTCCGAGTGTTGCAATAATTTTGAACAGCAGTATATAAAATAGAAAAATCCTTGAATTGACTTTATATTGTTCTATTTAAAAATTTTATTTATTGATTTTAGACAAAACAAAATAAACTTAAAACTATTTATAAATTTATAGTTCACTAAATTGACCTAACTACAAAATAAAATAACTAATACCCACTTTTAGGATTCCGAATTTCAAAAAAGAAAACTTTGAATTTTATAACCAATGACAGAATTTTTTGATTTATAGATAAAAAATTTACAATTAAAAAATGCTTTGCAAATAATTTGTTGTGGAAAATTGCCTGTATATTGGTTCATCCTTTTCTTTTTCATAAGATATTAATCCCTTAATTTGGAGATTTGAAGTTACAAATATTTGGGTGGTAAAAATGTTAGTAATCAAATTTTGGAACTCGCTTTACTTTACATTTAAAATATGTACAAATTATACTGGTTGTTCCATTGAAAACTTCTAGTTCTGTGAAGTTATCTACTTCACTATTGCATAAATGTAATTATTAATAGTAGATGAAATATACCATGTATCATTAAACAAAACATATTTTAGGCATTCTATAAAATTTTATAAGTTTTCAACAATCCAGTGAAGGTTTAAAAAAATACAATACACAAAAAAATATAAAATTAATTTAAAACAATACTGTATACAAAACTTAAATTGCAACAGATATCAAGAGCATCATTTTATACATTTTTAATAAAATTTGAAAAATAAATGTTGGAAATTTGAAAGTAATGGAATCTAAAATAAAGATTCTATATGTGATATATTTTAAGTACGTATCAATATTTCAGAAGGTTATTTCATAACCACATTTAAGCAGATAAGTTCCAGAGGGTTCCTAAACTCCTTCCCAAGGAAACCACATTCCAAGGACTCCTAAAAACACAATATAGATAGTTGACATATGTTTTACGAATATATAATTTCCAACAATTTACAATATTTTAAATTAATACCTGTGCAAAAAAAATCAAGATTATTTAGTGAAGTATGCATTGAGTTAGGACAAAATTTGTTTATACAAAACATAAAATAATTTAGAAAAGTTACATTTTATGATTAAAGTTTTAGTGTTTTAAGTAACAATTTGCTTATAATTGTTTTATTTCTGAATTAATTTATTCCTCAATACATATGTCTTAAAATGATGCTCTTGATACCTGAAGTTATCATTAATAAATATTACATCTAACCAGTCAAAATTGAGCTGTAAGACTTTAAAATAGTCATATAAAAATCACATTAAACCAATTTGATCACAGTTTGCATAAACAAAACAACAAAGGGATAAAGGCTCCTATTGCAATAAAAATAGGTAACATAAGTGAGGTATCATCCATACTGTATGGATCAGGCTGTTTTGGACCACTCGGTCTTCTAGTTTTTTGAATAGTTTCACTTTCTTCTTTGGCATCTTCAAGAGGACTTGGATCAATAGGTATTGGCGGTAATCTAGGAACATCTTCCAACTTACCTTTCACTACATACATTGCATTTATTTTTGGATTATCTTTGTAACCTTTTATAAATTCTACACGAATTCTTCCACCTCTTATATCGGACTCTTCCCCATTAACTTGCAGACGTCCTAGAGAAAAAATACAATTCTGTGATTAAATTTAAGTAACAAAAAATTAATTTCACATTATTATGAGAAGGGTTGTAATGTTGGACCAAGTTCAGGTGTATAGGTAAAATACATGACTAGGAATAAGTAAAGTAAGGATTAGAATTGGGAGTCTCTGTGTCAAGCAATAAATACTAAGCAATAAAAAGTCTATGTAAAGAAGATAAGGGATATGCCAAATTAAGGGTTTTCAAATACCTTTAGCAATTTTAAATGGTATATATTCATCATGTGCTACACCTCTTCCAACTTTCTCAAATATATCCAGATCTGCAACTACAGTATGGTCACCATTCAATACAACATCGAATACCTTTTGGTCGGGGGCATTAAAATAAACTTCACAGAATTTTAAAACTAAAACGTAATCTCCATCGGAATTAACTGGAATGTCATAGCCGAATGTATTTGTATGGTATCTTTCAGTCTGATAAAGAATATAGTCATTTGGTGGTACTCGTACGATTAGAAGGCGTTTGCCATAGTCGGAAGCAATACCAATGCGACCATGTAGAGGATCTCTTTCATATCGAATTCCAAACGTGTCCGTATGAGCTTCACCTCCACAATTTACAGCATAAATCAGCTGTCTGTTACACTCGATTCCAATAAAAAAGTAACTTAAACTAATTGAAAATGCTAATAATTTATGTGCAAAAGTGTTTATCTTTAAATTATAATTTTTCATATTGAAAATATATAAATTGTATCACCGGTTCATCTAGGCTTCCATAAATTCACATTCATCAATTTAACAGGTTAGGTTATGTTTTATGTTATGTCATGCAGAAATGTCACTTAGGCACCGTTCCCACGGCGCGATCTGTATCTTCGTCGCTAACGTTTATTTGCATATGTAAATCCACAGATTACTAACCAACTGTGAGTAAAATCAATTTTCAGCTTTGAATATAGTAAAAAAATAATTACTTACATTTTTACTTCAAGGCATAAGCTTATGGGGTCTATTCTGTAACAATTCCTTTATATTGTAACGGCCGTTAAAATATTGGAGGCCTTTAAAAATATTTTCGTATTTACTAAATTACTTCTGTCATTATTTAAACGGATTCCTTTAAAATAAATTAGGGCCGATTCCACCGCTGTGTTAAACGGAGATTAAAATGACATTGTTAATGTAAAAATGTCATTTTAAACTTCGTTTAACACAACTGTGGAATCGGTCCTTAGCACAGAGAACTATTATATAATTATATAATTGTATTTTACTTGCAAGATGAACAGGTTATTTCAAGAGGCGCTTTCGCTGACAGATCGTTTGTACGTTTACACAATTAATTTTCTCATGGGTGGTGCGTGCGTTTACACACTAATGAATTGTTAGTACATTTACGAAGTTTACGTAATGTTTCAGAGAAAATATAGTTCCTAATTTAATATTAATTTCTATGCATTGTAAACTTAAAAATATTTATTTTTAAATTTCAAAGTGTAGGGAAGCGGTGCTTCCCCCGCTTCCATGGACCGCACGCCCCTGCTCTTGGGAGAAATTAACTCTTGAGAACCCCATCACCACAAAATATATCCCCTGTATATTGTGCCTATCACTATTCCAAACAAAATGGTTGACCGTAGGTCGTTGTAGTTACGTTACACACCTTAAAAAAAAGAGAAGAATAGAAGAAGTACTAATGATTTTAAGGTTAGGTTAAGTTAAATCTGTCATGATTTATAAACTATTAGGGTCTATTTATACTCCCTTAGTATTAGTATTTGTATTAGTATTATGATTAAGCATTAAATTTGTTAAATCATTAAAAAAAGGTATTTATACTCGTTTTATAATTAGTATTAGTAATTCTTTTTTAAACCTAATACCTAATAAGATATAATTCTGCAGTCAACAAAATATATGGTTACTGAAGAAATGTGTAAGAGGCCGGTTGTGTTCTTTTAAGATATTTGAGTTTTAAATGTGTTTTTATTAATAGTTTTACTAGTTAATTTTATTTAAAAATATTAATATTCAAAAATAGGTTTAATTAAGGACATTTTAACGGATTTAAGTCTCAAATTTATAACAGATAAAAAGAAGCAGAAATATGATACAAATCAGACAGAAAAGAGGCCTTTGCTTCCTCGTGGTGACATGTCATTTGTCAACTTTATAATCGGTAAACACTGCTGATACACAAAAATTGTATACATAGCATGATTTGTACCGAAATATTATCGTTTTCGAGCTTGTTGGAACAAACATATAAACAACATAATCATGTGTGTATTGTCAATTATCCTTATCCGTTGTCTATTAAAAACAAAGGCCAAATACGCCATTGATTCATTTTATAGAAAAGAAGAAATTTAATATTTAATTTAAAAGTTGAATCTGTCAATTATTAAGCATAAATATTAATGCTAATACTAATCATAAATCGAGTATAAATGTCCCCATTACATTGTGAAGGTTCAACTTAATGCTTAATCATAATACTAATGCAAATACTAATAATAAGGGAGTATAAATAGACCCTTAAATTTGTGTATTTTACTAATAAACTACATAATTATTTATGTTGCCGTTGGAAAAGCGCTTTGTTAGTTTCATAACTTAAAATTAATTTAAACATTTTATAAGTAATTTAAGATGCCCAACACAATGTTAATAGATTACAATTTAGAAAAAAAGTGCAGAATGTGTTTACAATCTGCACCAGATATGGATTCGTTTTTCAACATTTACTTTGAAGATTTGAGTTTAGCCAAAGTTTTTAAAAATATAACTTCATATGAGGTAAGTTTTTGGTTATTATTGCATGTAAAATACGATAACAATTTGTACCTAAATTGCATATCAAATTAATATTTCTGCAATAAAAAAAATCCTCTAGATTTTTTATTATACTCATTAATGTTTAATCAAAGTAAAGCTTGCATATGAAATATATATAATATCAGTAACTATACCCAAAAATCATTTTGGTCATAAAGTAGATTTTAGATAAGTTATACTCCAATGTCATAAAGAAACCAATTCTTAATGTCTGCTACAGTTTTTCATACCTAGAATAGCCATACTTTAAAACAATCTTCTCCTGGATCTGTATTTGTAACTAAAACCATTTTTTTTAGATTATAGAGGATGACAGACTTCCTAAGAATATTTGCATTACTTGTAGAACAACCATAATAAATTTCAACAATATGATATCTGTTTTTCAAGAAACTGAATTATTTCTTAAAAAGAATTTGTTTAAAGATGAAGTCTTAGATGAAATAGATGACATTCCAAATGCTGAAAATGATGAATTAATTTTAAATGAATTGAATAATATGGAAAATGCTAGTGATGCAGATGAAAATGAACATTTTGACCAAGATGAAGTAGAAACCAATTTAAATTATCAACAAAATGTTGAACAGGAACCAGAAATTCAAAATCCAGAAATGTTAGAAGTTAAAAAACGACAAAGTTTTGTATGTCCAGAAACAATGTCAAGTAATGGTGAATACAAATATGTTCATTCTGTAAAATATACATGTGAATGTGGAGATTGTTTCTTATATAAATTGGGTTTTCGTCATCACATGCAATACAGACACAATACAATAATTGATGAAAGTGATTTACCTAAATATGCTGAAAATATCAAACTAACAATTCCTACTGGTTTTCCAAACTTTGTAGAATTTGTTTCTCCAAAAACAACACTAAAAAGAAACAAGTTACAATGTCGAATATGCTCAGACTCATTTTCTACAGAGGAAGAAGTCAAGGCACATGAAGAAATTCATAAAACACATGTGTGTGATCAATGTGGAGCTGCGTTTTTAAAAAAGGGATACCTTCAAGATCATCTTTTAATGCACTCAGAGGATAGGCGCTATCAGTGTAAAGTTTGTTCAAAGGCCTTTAAACATAGACACACGTTAAGTGTTCATAAAAAGATTCATGAGGATACTAAAAGTTTTGTATGTGAAATTTGTGGTACAGGATTTCGACAGAGAACCACACTTGTTACACATACTCTTCTTAAACATAGTGATGTTAAAAATTTCCCCTGTCCCAATTGTAATCTAAGATTTAACCTTAAATCCACACGTGATAAACACTATATCAGAAAACATACATTTAATAGAGAAAAGAGTTTTGTTTGTAACAAGTGTGGAGCAGCATATTTAAATAAAACTACCTTAACAAGGCACATGTCAGATAAACATTTAGGTAAAGCAAAATATTATCCTTGTACAATTTGTGAAAATAAAATGTATGTTATGAAAAAAGGGTTGAGAACACATATGATGAAAAAACATGGTATTTTTGAGTAAGAATCTATTCACATTGTTTTAATTATTTTCCAGTAAGTCAGTCTTACATAAGTAGTTTGTTAAAAATTCTACAATGGAAGATTGATTTGGAAAAGTTACAACTTGAGGTTACACAAATTAGTACTTATGCTATGAAAATCATAAAATGAGAAGGAATTAGTGCTTGGGTCTCTACCAAATATATAAATGCAGTTTGCCATGGAACATTGTAGTCCCATTTTGTTTAAATCGAAATTGTTTAAACAGTTCCTAAAAACAATGTTATTAAACAGGGCCATTTTGTTTTCATATTCTCTACTTTAATACAAATAAAAAGGTATTTTAATACAGTTAATATTTTAGAAGATATTAATTTTTAAAGTAAAAAAATCAAAGTTTAAAAAAAATATTTTAAGCATTTTTTTTCTTTATAATGTAGTTTGTAAACTAGATACATTATAACTCATAACATTAAAGAAATTATCAGATTACTTATTTTTATAGATTTATAAGCCTTTAAAATTCATCAAAATCTTGAATTTTAAAATTTTAATTCATCAAAAAAATCTATAGGACCTTTTTCATTTGTATTAAAGTAAAGAATATGAGAGAAATTTGACCCATTTAAAAATAACTTTTTTTTTATGAATCATGTAAACAATTTCGTTATTTCAAAAATGGGACCACATTGTCCCATGGAAAACTGCATTTATACAATATTTAGCATATTTTAAAAGGATTTTGCCAAAAAATAGACACTCATGTGCCGATTCCTCCTAGACTATATTTAATATCTGTCCAAAAGACATTAAAAATTAACCTAAACCACAATCCTTTTTTTGTTTTTAGTAAACATTTTAAAAATTATTTATATTTATTATGAAAATATGGTACAAATTGAATAACAGAGATTTTATACACAAGTTTGTCTAATAATTTGTAAAAATCTTCAAGTTGTTTAAAATCAATAAATATAAAAAAGTAAGTCGGTTTTTAATTACTTAATGGACAAAAGTACCCCATCTGTTTTAGCACTAACTTGACAAACTTGGTGCGGTGCAGGCCTTAGACAAGGAAAGAAAGAGGACACGTAACAAGTATATCAAGCACTCTGTGCCAATTATCAATTGGCCACCATTATTTTGTCGTTTCAGCAACACCAAAGCTTTTTACTCATGATTATTTGTGATTTTTGAATTAAATGACATTTGATAATCAGTTTGTCACAAATGGTTTGTTGTGTAGCATATCATAACGACAAGAAATAACCAGATATTAAGTTTAACAGGTAAAAAATAAACAATCATTTATACATACTTGATATATTTTCTCATATTCATTTTATTTGGTTATTATGAAGCTTGGTATTTATATATTGTGTACATGTCTCACTCCAGAGTAATAAATATTACCCGCCAAGTTTGTTTATTTTATTCTTTTCATTAATTTTTAAGAAATTTATATTAAAATGATCAAAAAAGCAATTTTTTCCAGTCACGTGTTGTACAAAATTAAATATTAACTGTTATAAAATACTATATTTACTGATGAATCTATTTTCCATAATAACGGATTTGTGAATAGACATAATTTTCAGTATTGCAGCACCGAAAATAAACATGAATTTCAAACTTTAGATTGACAAAACCGATAGTCATTAAACATTTATGGTGGAATGATAGGAAGACAGTTGGTGGGATCATTCTTTAATAATAATAATAATCCTTTTAGATCATATACATGATAGGATAAGTCATTTACATGTAAAGATGTACAATAGTATATGTTTACAAAACAGATATAAAATCTTTTTTGATAGGCATTTAAATGGAAGAAAATTTTTGAAGAACCTTCTAAAGGATGTTCCTTTGGATATTAGATGAAAAATGTGGCTGCAGCTAGATGGTGTTCCCGCCTATTTTTTGCATAATGTCAGGACAATTTAAACCAAAAATTTCCTGAGAAATGGATAGGAAGAAGAGGCCCTGCTAATTGCCCCCTAGATCACCCGACTAACCACTCTAGATTTTTTTTCTAGTGGGGATATGTTAAACACGTAGTTTATCAACTGCTGAAGAATGGAACAAGATTTCCTTCGACGTTACGAGTCCTCTCTTTATACTTAGTCTAAGGAGCATGTAAGGTGCAGGCTTAGATGGCACAGCCCAGTCATTTATACGCACACATCTCTGGTTTCTTTAAGCGTTGAATAAACTTTTAGTCAAAAATAAGACAAGATTTTGAGCAAAATTTTCGTATAATTTAAATTGAAAGACTTATTATATCTTGTCAATAGTCAAAACTTTATTTATCTATCCCTTTAAATAAATAAACCTTGTACTTAAGTATTTTGACTTCTGTCAGTTTTTATAACTCAAAAATATTTAAAATTCTTGTGTCTGTTAAAACCCGCAATAATGCGTGAAATAATACATATACAGCTTGGGCAAGCAGGAAATAATATAGGAAACAAAGTAAGTAGGAACTTTTTCTCGTAAAAGTTTGAATTTTTGTTCAGAGGAAATCCCATTAAACGCTCTTATATAAACTCAAAATTCCCGGTTGCGACAGGCTTTTTTTCAAATCTCCAAGTATTTGTTTTCACCTATAGGATTCGGGGATGAGACCATCCCTGAATCTCAAAAGTGAAAACAAATACTTGGATAATAATTCTAAGGGGATTTTTTCAGATTATTCAGCCACTTTTTTCAGATAGTTCTCGGATTTCGATTTGCGACTTTACAATAAATAAATTCACAATTTTCAAAATAATGAATTGATTCTTTTAAAAGAAAACACCTTGTTGCCAGACTTTTGTTAAACAAACCAATTATGTATTATTTTAAAATAATTGAAAATATATTTTTATAATCAAAAATAACTAAGGAAGTAAAACTTTGAAATTTAAATTCAATATCTCCTAATAGAGTAGAATATCAAAAATTGCTTGAAACAGGTAGATTTTTATTCTGTCATTATTAAAATACGTCATTCCCTTTTCTTCGACACTAACCAATTCAATTTAAATAGGGAAAGTACAAAGTATGACATCACAATAGACTGTTCATTGCGGTACTTTTGATTTTAGCGCCCTCTAGCGGGATAAAAACTTACGTATTGTAAAGTGTGATACTTTATTTGAAAGCTAATTTTATTAGCAAGAAATATCATGAATCAACAGTTATAAAATCACAGGTACCAAAATTTTGGTTGGAATGTGTTATGAACGTTGAATTTTTAGCCGATGATACGTAAAAGAAAACGGAATACAGAACTGTTAAAAAAACGGTTTTACTGAACTTTTACTAATAGGTCAATCAACGACACTATATTAATTAATTTCTACAGTTTTGGGAAAATATATGCGACGAACATGGTGTTGATCCTTGTGGAAAATGGCATGGAGAAACTGACCTTCAGCTAGAAAGAATAAATGTGTACTTTAACGAAGGGATACGTAATAGATTTATTCCACGTGCAGTTTGTGTGGATTTGGAATCGTCTGCAATGGAATGCCTTCGTTCAGGACCCTTTGCACGATTGTTTAAGTAAGTGACACTGGCGTTAATCGATAAGCATGGAGTGTGATCCACAAAAAAACTCGCGTGTCTGGGACAACACTAATAATTTGTAATTGATGTGGTGGGAGATGTTTGTGTGAATACGTCTTGTTTGTTTTCATTTACGCCGTGACTAGCAGTAGTATTTTATAAACCTTAGAAGCAAATTTCACATACATGAACAAATAATAATAATGCCGTGACAACAATAAGAAGACGAAGTAACGACTTATCGTAGGGTGGCGACTTCGCCGCCACCATAATATTTCAATCCATACCTGGCTACGCCGACCGGCATAAACACCAACGGCCTGGACACAGCTCATCTACTCTGTCAAAAGGAGACCGATGTACAACTAAAACGCGTACGACATGCGCACTACAAATGATTAGTGTTGTCCCCTATATGCGAGTACAAAAAATGGTTCTAAAGTAGACCATGGAAAAAATAACGTATGTTGGAGCGAACAATTCTTCTTTTTAAATGACAGTCTGGGTTTAATCTAGAGGCGTCCGTATAGTTATCACGGAAGTAACTCTTATCTCTGTCTTTGTCAGTCGCATTTTAGAATTTTTTTTATGGATCACTCACAAGAGATTCATTTTAGACCCGAAAGTTTTATATTTGATGGTCAAGGCGCTGGTAATAATTTTGCAAAGGGGAGATATACAGAAGGAGTAGAATTAATGGACACGGTTTTGGAGTATATACGAAAAGAAGCTGAAGCTTGTGATCTCTTACAGGTAAGTTATATTACTATACAATTAAATCAATATTGAGGTAATGAAAACGTAAAAATAATTTGTTGTATTCACATGCTCCAGTAAGCTGCAGGAGGCGGATATTATAAAATTGCCCTTACGAAATCCACTGATGTGAATTTAGCGAACAATTTTTAGCAACTAATTTTCCGAAAATTGCCGAACTGTCAGTGGCGTCGTAATTATTTTAGGAGGCATTCAAAAAACTGCATGCATCTACCACTAAGATTTGCAAATAAAATAATTAATTTAACAATATACCGCTTTATTATTTTAAACTTGGTAGGATACAACCTCGGATGCAACAGAGAAAATAGTCGCAATCAAATATATAGGTTCCTAGACATAAAACCATAAATATTTTCTAGCGTAAGATAGGAAAATATAACACTTTTAATAAGTGTTAAAGAGAACGACTTCCAAGATAAAATAGGGTGTTTATCAACCCCTAAGGGAAAATAGTCGCAATAAACTATCTCTGTTTCTATGCATAAAAATATATTTTCTAATACAAATTAAGTACAAATACAACTCATAATATACTTTAAAGAAAACCACTTGCAAGTTTAAATAGTTTTAGTTTAAATAGTCAATTAACCCCAAAGGGAACTTTCCGATTATTTAATATGAATCAAATATCTCATCTCCTAGACATAAAAACATTTTTTTTTTTTTTTAGCATAAGTTAAGTACAAATACCACTTTAACCTGTCCTAAAGAGAACGCCTTGCAATATCAATTAGGGTGTTTTTCAACCCCAAGGAGAAAAAAGTCGTAATCAAATATCTCGGTTCCTAGACATAAAAATATATTTATTTTCTAGCATAGTGTTCATAGGCATAAAAATATATTTATTATTTTCTAAAATAATTACGACGCCACTGACAGTTCGGCAACTTTCGGAAAATTAGTCGCTAAAAATTGTTAGCTAAGTTCACACCGGTACGAAATCCATATGTTTGAATTCAGTTATAAAATTAAATTGATTTAAGTAATTTAAGCATTCTAATATAACAGGCAATTTCTTTCAAATAATTTTGGAAAAACACTTAAAATAGAGATATTTGACGAAAATTAGCGATTATCTTTAGGATATTTTTTAAAAATAGGAAAAAAATTTGCAATTTTTAAGTTGGATGGAACCTATATATATTTTAGGGATTTCAAATAGTCCATTCTATAGGAGGTGGAACAGGTTCTGGAATGGGATCGTTGTTAATGGATAAACTGAAAGAGGAATATACAGATCGAATTATAAGTACTTTCACTATAGTTCCCAGCCCAAAAGTGTCTGACACGGTAGTAGAACCATATAATGCTACCCTGGCAATTACAAATCTTATACATAACTCTGACGAAACATACAATATTGATAATGAAGCTCTTCACGATATTTGTTTTAGGTAAAACCTATTTCATTATTAGAATATTATGGGTAGGTAAATACCGATTCAATATATTTATTATTTTATCGTTTTCAATCAGGGGAAAGTTGGGGAACATCGACCACCTAAGAAAAACAGAATGAGATGTATATTTTTATTCGATAAAAAACACAAGCAAATAAAATTTTGCACAGGGATTCTTATGTGCGAACTCGACACGTTACATGTCGAGTAGAAAGAGACATTACATAAGAATCGCAGTCTGTCGAACGGAGATAGGCTCCTCGTACATGTCGTATTGAAAGATAAGAATTTCACAGCTGATATATACTACATGATCGATATTGACCGCATGGTTAAAGGTACCATTTGGGTAGGCGCGTCAGGAGACAGGAGACCACCGAGGCGACCACAAGAACAACAGATGTATGAATGTTACGCTCCGTACATTTGGGAAGCAAGGAGATGGGTGGCTCGACAACCGCAGATAACCATTCGAGGGAACGATCAGCTTTGCCAGACCTATTGTTTTTAAGTGGATCCAATGTTTTTGTCTCTAGCAAATTTTGTTCTTAATTTATTAAGTTTGCCTCATTCTTCAGCAAATGGTTAAAGAATATTTTCTCTAGTAAATTTTCTGCAGTAAAAGCAGCGTAATAAGCAGCCACTATATTGTAGGTTTGTTTTTATTTAAAATGCAACAAAGAATTAATAGGGCATCATAAAAAGAACATGCATGCCAAACACTACGATTTTGAATTATCTGATTCAGACTGATCTAAAAGAAGGTACCTATTATTTTTCATTGGTTTTTTTTGTTTCCGAACGTTAAGTATATATATATATTAAAAATGTTATTATTTGTTTTTATTTTTTGTTTACTTTCTAATTTGGGTAGAAAAAAGTTTATTTTTCGTTTCTTATATACTTGTTTCTTTATTTACTACACTGCAAATTATAATTATTTCCCCCTGCATTAAAATCTACTGTTCAGATCTACTGTTTTTTTACCCATACTGTTCCAGCATCTGGCAACACTGCCTAGATTGAAAGAAATTACCAACCTAATCACCTCCAAATACAAGCGATGTCTGAGAACAGTAACCTCGAGTGCGACACGCAGTAATCGCTTTGCCCGGATACCGATCCAAAGTGTCGTCACAGAATAACCACTATTAATTAATATTATTCTGTGGTGTCGTCGAGAAGTGTCGTCAAAAAAGTGTCGCGCCTACCGAAATGGTACCTTAAAGGTGATATCTACCACTACTTCGGTTAATATCGATTAAATATTTGAACAAAATTGGTAGAAAATTTCCACACTTTCCGACATCTCCAACATCGAGGACCACAACGCAGGACCTCGTAACTAACATTTCCACTGAAAATTATATTTTATGATAATCTCGTTTAAAACATTTCGCTCCATCTACTGTATAGTTACAATTTTTGAACAAAACATTGGTAAATATTAGTCCTATTATAAAGTAAAATGGATTGTTCTCTACGTTAAACATTTTTTTCATCTGAACAATGTCGATTTTGCGGCTTACAAGGTACTGCCTTATGGCCCTCGATATATCATTATTTCTATCAAATTCATCACATACGGAACGTTTTTCGTCTTCATCGTGTTTAATTTTTTTGTTTACTTTTCTCGGGAAACTGAAATTTTTGCTTATTTACAATCATTTTGGACTTTTTCATTATATATTTATTTATTTTCATTTTCTTTTTTAAGTCAACGTCCCGAAGAGATGCAGCAATAAAACGACGTGATCAACATGTGTCGAGGGCTGGGCCCTCAAACCTCCTTTGACCAGGTTATAGACTATAGACCGTGCAGGTTTTCGAAGATTTTTGTGGGAGATGAACCGTGCATATTTGTAGTTATTTTAACATTGATAATAATAGATATATGGAATCCACACGTCGCGTTAAAACACATAAGTCTTTGCTGAAGAAAGTAAATCCAACTAATAAAAAACGAGAACGGTCGCACAGAAAACCGGTCCGCTTTGAACAGATAAACTAAAACACTCACCTAGTCGTTGGCTCGTCATCTATTGTTGACGATCTTCAGCCTGTAATTGTAATTCGACACTTATAGGCTGAAGTGTACATGAAGTGCACGTGATCGCTGCTTCTCTTCGGCGCCGCGAGTATAGTATGGTTTTCAAAGTGGTTAATTTTAATATATTGTTCTGTTTTCTAATTATCCCATAACCCTGAGAATTTTTGAAAACAAATTAAAGGAATTAAAGTTAATAATTTTTTTCAAGTATCAATTATTTTATTTAATTAAAAAGAAAAATCATCAATAAACGGAGGGCATATAAAAAAAAATTAAGCGAGTGATTAAACAATAATTATACGTAGACATATTTTATTTTCATTTCACCTAAATTAAAATCATATATCAATATACGTGAGATGCCGTGTGTTCTTCTGATTTAGTCCAGTAAAGATGAGCATATAATATGTACACCTAATTTACAGAACTTTGAAGTTGGCTGGTCCCTCATATGGTGATTTGAACCATGTTATTGCTGCTGCAATGGCTGGAATTACAACTTGTATGCGCTTTCCAGGACAGTTAAATACAGATTTAAGGAAAATTAAAGTGAATATGGTACCTTTTCCCAATTTACATTTTTTTGTGCCAGGCTTTGCCCCTCTAACATCTAGGTAACCATTATTTAAATGAAATAAATAATATGGACAAATGTATTCAAAATTGGGGCCGTTATATCATATTTTCGTTTACTAAAATAAAGTTTTTGATAAATCAACGTAGATATTTCCACTATATTCGAAATCACTGATATTTAATTCAAAAATAAATCAAACTGACAACTTAAGGATTTTGTTCTACCCATGATGATCACGACTATAATAATTTAAATACCTAATGTAATTAGCTTCTATAAAAACGTATGTTTTCAGGGGTAATCAGCCATATAAAGATATAACGGTGTCAGATATCATCCGCCAATTGTTTGATGCTAGAAATATGATGGCAGCTTGTGATCCTAGAAAAGGGAAATATCTTACAGTAACTTCAATACTTCGAGGAAAAATGTCCATGAAAGAAGTAGATGATAATATGCATAATATACAAGACAAAAATAGTGCTTCTTTTATTGAATGGATTCCTAATAACATTAAAACGGCAGTTTGCGATATTCCACCAAGGGGTTATAAATTAAGTGGTACATTCATTGCGAATAATACAGCAATTCATGAACTATTTAACAGAATCAGTAAGTTATCAAATTGAACCCGTCTTGTTCTCAGGAAACATATTTTAAATAAGGGAATTATTTTTCCAGTTACTGCTTTTTCGGCAATGTATCGCAGAAGAGCCTTTCTCCATTGGTACACTGGCGAAGGAATGGATGATATGGAATTTATAGAAGCCGAATCATGCGTGATCGACCTTATTTCAGAATATCAACGGTTTGAAATAAATGTACTTGATGAATTTTATCCAGAAGATGAGGATAATAATGATGATTATATTAATGAAACTTATTAATGCTCGAAGAAATTATTTTTATTGATTTACAAACAGACCATAGTTTAGTTTAAATGGTATTCTTAGACCTAACCCTAACAGAGATAACCAGTTTTTTTTTATTTCAAATTGATTTGTTCTTATTTAAAAGTTTTTCTTAATAACTAAAAAAATATGTAGCTACATCTACTCTTCTGTTTTTGTTGATTTAATCATTTTTTTTACTCTAAAATTCTAATAAAACTTTAATATCATATTGTTTCGTTCCAATTTTTCAGGAGGTTGTTAATTATATGGACAATTTTATGCTGAAAAGTTTAAAGGTATATCTTAAAAGTACATATTTCTTTATTTTTGAAAATATCGAAAAATGTTATTTAGAATAGTCATATTCTCTTGAATTTCTTCGAGCTACACTCTGTAGCTAGAATCCGATTGCAAGAATATAAGGCTTTGGTAACCATGTAACGATGACCTGAAATAAGGACGACCGACGGTCTGGATATATATGCCGCGTTTGAGAATCCACATCGGATGCATCTGAGATGTAAAAAATCTTTGATCACGTGATTCAGTATACGTAAATGTAATGGGACAGATGTGTCCGATGTGAATAAAAAAACGCTCGAGATGTAAAAAATGCATCCGATGTGGATTCTCAAACGCAGCAAAAAATTATCAGTTTCTGAAAATTATGCCTACTTTTTACTTTTATCATTACATTTGAAAACTAATAATACTACACTTGATTTTCTAAATTAAGTACCTCTAATTTACGCACTATTCGTTAAAATGAGAGAAATTCGCAGTTAGCTATTGAATATTCTCTTTTCTACCCTTTTATGAGAGTACGTCACTGGAAATAGGAAACACTTGTCCGCCATATTCGCAAATCACCACAATTTCCCTAGATTTTGAAATTACCGTATGGTTGGCAAACCTGCAAACTAGACTGAATTATTGTCATTTGTCATCGACTTCAGTTGTCATTTTCGCAATAATTATTTATGTCAAAAATGAAGATGGCTGATGGTTCTACAATTTTGCGAAGAAATAGACCAGGAACTAAAGCCAAAGTAAGATTATTTAACTGTTTGTTTTTACTAATTCTAAGTATATGAACTGATTATTTTTGGAGAGAAACTTTCCATTCAAAATCTTTATTTTTTTCAGGATTTCAGTCGTTGGCCAGATGAGCCCTTTGAGGAAATGGATAGTACCCTTGCGGTGCAGCAATATATCCAACAGCTCATACGTCGTGATCCCAATAACATAGATTTAATATTGAAAATGCCTGAATCGCAGGATGAAGGAGTCTGGAAATATGAACACTTGAGGTATGTTTGATATAACTAAAAATGCTTGCAATTGTTATTACACAATGGATATTATACCTAGTCATTTTTGCTATGAGCGTATTATTTATTTAAAGCAAACAGAGTGGCCTAATTTATTTTAATGAAAAAAGTTGTTTATTTAAATTTTGAAGTTACAAATAGTAAACAAATTAGAATTGAACTTTTTACTGCATTATTTTCATTACTTTTTTATTTTAAGCAGTTTATGTTATGGCAATATAATTCAGTAGGATAAAATGTGGTAAATGTCTAGTTTGAGCTCTTTTCGATTATGCAAAAACTAAGCATAGGTACTTGTAAGTATTGCTGTTGTAAACAAAAAACCCTTGTGCAAATGAATGACACAAATTTTTTTAAATAAAAATATGCCATTTTTTTCATTAATTTTATCAATTTTGTGGGATAGGGGTGCTGGGTGGATAAAATAAGGCCAATAGTTATATTAAATATTGTTAGGGCAAGGAAACTTATTAGAAATGAAATGATATACTTTACTTGAGATACTAAATAATTGAATGGTAAACTTTTTGTGCAACTTAGCAACAGTGTAAGATATAAAAGTAGCATCTCTGAGCTTTGAAATGATACAAAATTTGACATATTATCATTTAAAAAAATTAATTGTATCATTATTAAATTGCACAAGATATGGTCTTAAGATTTTTTGTTCAGAATAGTGATACCTACAAGTATGTTGCTTAGTATCTTCATAAGCGAAAATCGCTCAAACTAGGCAATAACCTAAAAGGTTATACATAGAAAACATTCAGAAGATAAATTGTCAAACACAAATAGCAAAAAAGCTTGTCCATGCAGTCTTTTTATCTACTTAATAATTGCTAAAAGACTATCTCATTTATCTCAAATATGGTCCAGTTACTCAATATGAATAATGAAACTAAATCTATTCGGCCTACCTCACTTGAATTAGCCTCTCACTAGGTGGCTCAATGAATCATCATTATTATTATTATGATATAATCGTTTTTACTTTATCTTAGTCTTCATTCAATATTAAGTTTTAAGTACCACATCTCTCATCTGACCAGTTTGTTAAGCTAAATATTTATTATATAAATACGTTGTCTGTCACCTTCAATTACAAACCATGGTTTCCAATTAATATTGAAATCATTTAATATGTAACTCACTTAAAAATTTTTGTAATCTTCCTATAATGTGGTAATTTTTTGTATTATAGTCCTGATTATGGTCATGATGGCTGAAATATATATATGGTATAGATTGAGTGTTTTATTATTCATATTGCCTTACTTAATAATTGTCAAAAATTATATATAAACTAATTTTTTAGACAATTCTGTATGGAATTAAATGGACTAGCAGTAAGATTGCAAGGAGAGTGTCATCCAGAAACATGTACACAAATGACTGCCACAGAACAATGGATATTCCTTTGTGCTGCACACAAAACACCAAAAGAGTGTCCTGCTATTGATTACACTAGGCACACTTTAGATGGCGCTGCTTGTCTATTAAACAGCAATAAATATTTTCCAAGTCGGTAAGTACCTACACTTATTAAAGTATCATAGAGATTGAGAAAATCTTATTTTCATATAAGAATGAATTGTATTTATATTGTTAATACAATAAATGTGTAAAATAGCACCTATGTTCTAATTATTGCACCTTTATGTACTTGTATAACAGAAAATTAACATTTCATTGAATAAAAATATTTGAATTATTAGGGTCAGTGAAAAACCTCAAGAAAGTCTGAGGATAGGTAAATTATCATTCATGCAGTTAATATGTGTTAAAAATTAATATATTTATGGGTGTAAAACTACAAACAAGGAAACAAATTCTGTCATCTCATTTTATTCATCTATGGTTGTAGCTAATTGTTTGTTTCTATTTCAGAGTTAGTATTAAGGAATCGTCTGTAGCTAAACTAGGATCGGTATGTAGAAGAGTTTACCGAATTTTCTCACACGCTTACTTTCATCATAGATCTATATTTGATGAATTCGAAAACGAAACGTGTTTATGCAAAAGGTTTACTCAATTTGTAACAAAGTACAATTTGATGTCCAAGGATAATCTTATTGTTCCAATTTTGGAAGAAGAAAATACGCCAGGAGAATCCGAAGCATAATTTTTCGAATATCATCAGTATAGAATACTCTATTCAAAAGAAAATATTTTCAGGTACAGATATAAAATAGGAAAAATATTTCTGTGAATAGTGTAATGTATTTTACTGACAATGAATTTAATTGTAATATTTATAACTACCATATTAATATTTAGAAATTGATTCTGACATCTGTTTGAAAAAAAAAAATTAAACAAATGTAGTGATTATAGAAAAGTTTAAAAAAAAGTTTCTGACAAACTTAAGAATGGAATTACTGAAATTTTATGATGTTGAGGATCAAGTGATAAAATAGATTAGTCATATTTTTACAAAAATTTCAAGAGTACAACATTCCAAGGCATTTATGTTACTAAGCGCCATTTGTACAGTTAGTTAAGATATACAAGTGCAGCTTAAAATGAAATTTTTATTAGGAATGCCATTTTAATCTTCACTTAATTCTTGACTAGCGATGCAAATTGCCCTTAGACTTTTGCTATGTAAATGGTAAATAAACAATATCTCAAGTGATTTCTGATTCACATGCTGTTCCATTCTTAAGTTTGTTATAACTCTATGAATGTCACATTTTTGTGGTTTAGCATAACACAAAATTTCTATGGATGGTTTATTAAACTGTACCTAATTCTAACTGAATCCAGTTAAAAACTATGACCTATTGAATTAAATCCTCATGTTTGTTTTAGTATATATATTTTTTGTATTTTTGTTGATTGAATAAAATCTCATTATTATTTAAAATTATGTAATGTCATCAAAACCATTATCATATTTGTATGTAAACTTAACAAAAAAATTGTATTGGTGATTGTTCATGTTTTTACCCAACTATTCATTATTTAGTTGAATATTAATGAATTACTGATTAGTTGAATTTAAATATAAAAATCGAATGCAGTTATGAATGTCTCTTATAATTTTATTATATAAAAAAATGCAACTTTATTTTTTATTTATGTGGAGCCAATATAGTCCCTCATCTGGGACATACGTGAAATTCTCTGAGTAGGAGACTGCGTAAACAAGTTTTCAATCCTGTACCGAATTTCGTTACAAAAAGAATATATCCTGTCGGAAGCCCTATGCCGGATGACAGAAAATGCATGCAAAAGCATTTTTTATTAGCTTTGTTCGCCTAGCCTATAATCGGAAACATTTGGATATCTTTAGAGCCAGATTTACTATTTTTGCGCCTGTATGCACACAGTAAATTTGTGCACTAGGAAAAAATAAAATAGTACTGATGTGTTTTTGTGTTCGTTTGTTTTCAATAGAAAATTGTTTGGTTTTAATGGATACATTAATGAAAACCTAAATTTGCATACATTAACCCTTTGAGCAAGAGTGGTTCCAACATGTAACCACTTATTTTAAACCGATTTGATATGTATGTATATTTCGAATTTTGGTTTAATATTTATGTTACCGATAGTTCCCTCCAGGGATGTTGCGGATGCTGATTTTTTCACATCCGCGGATGCGGATTTATGAAGGCTCACATCCGCGGATGCGGACGTTTAAGGTCCTATATAAAAATAGAATACGAAAACGAATGAAGAATTAAAACAATGATAAAGTATTTATTAACATTTTTATTAATGAAAATTAGTATTATGTTATATATGTAATGTATGTATTCTATGTATAATGCTCCTATTTTTTTTAACTTCACTTATTAATTTTCATATTAGTAAGTGAAGTCAAAAATAAGAACATTGTACTTAATAAAGAGTAACATTGCCACCTTTTCTGATTCAAGGCGGTTACGCAGAGGTTCGTAAATTAAACCCGCGCTAGGAACACTGCCTGGTGGAGTGGATACAAATCTTCGTGCTATCGGTGATAATATCTTGAATTCCTCTCGATGAACACTCCACCATTTAAGAGGATTTTCATCAGCATTGACTCTTTTTTTAGTGTGGTAAGAAAGTAATTCCTTTTTAAGTACAGCTTCAGGGCTACCATTTTCTGGTATTTCTTGACTCTCACCTTCACTTGACGAATCTAACATCGTAGCAAGGTCGTTTTTTAAGCTTGGCTTTCTGACGAAACTTGATGGTCCTGGTCCTAGTTGTTTCATATTCTTTTCCGTGGGATCAGTCATTCTCAGGAAACGCGTCGTGCGAACGGCACGCGTCAATCGCCGGCCCCACCCAATTTCTTTCTTGTCGCAACTCGCCATTTGTATTACATTCGCATCCGGATGAACATCCGTATTGCGGATGCAGATGCGGATGTTCAAATCTATGCGGATACTCCGCATTTGCGGATGCGAATATTCGCAACATCCCTGATTCCCTCTACTAACAGATATCAATAGTTTTGTTGTTTCTTATTCGACTTATTTGGAGTTACTCATAAAGGTATGTATCTGCCTAATGTAATAGTACAATCAAGTATTTTTGTCAATTTACACTTAAAAAAAATACTGGTGGTTTCACTATGAAACCACTATGACAGTAGTAGCTGGTGCGTTATATGCTGCATTTTTTGTTAACTTATGAAAAGAAGTTGAAAATAGTAAAAGAATTTTGAGAAGAATTTGACAAGATTACCTCTGGAACGGAATCTGAAGATATTAAGTAAGACCTGGATGATGTAGGGGATATTGAGGGAACTTATTTGATTGGCAAAAATAATTATGGCCAAGAATTGGTGATACAAATATTCCACCGAATGTAGATAATCACGACCATGAAAACTACATAGAAAATGGAGAGGTAGTTATTGCCGGCATTGTAGATGAAGAAGATAATTTAAATGTAGCTGTTTAATTTCTTTCCTATTCACTCACTCGTTCACCGTCATTCATTTTACGTCGTCGATGGTTAAAGGCACGTTCATTCATCGATGACGTGACCGGAGGTCTCTCCTATAAATGTGCTTAATTAGGCGGAAATCCAGGTTAGGAAGAGGGACGCCACTTTTTAAAATTGGAGTACACTGTAAAGTTGGTTTTGTCTTAATGAAAATAAAAATTGCTTCCTTATTTTTTTATTTAAAATGGGGTCTATTCTGTAACAATTCCTTTATATTTAACAATTTAACGGCCTTTAAAAATATTGGCGGCCTTTAAAAATATTTTCGTATTCGTTAATTTACTTTTGTCATTATTTAAACAGATATCTTTAAGATAATCCTCTAATGTATTTTAAAGATCCGTTTAAATAATGACAGAAGTAAAGAAGAAAATATTTTTAAAGGCCGTTAAATATAAAGGAATTGTTACAGAATAGACCCCAATAGCTGTTTAAAGATATCCTACATGGGAATGTTAGCCATACCGTCATAGTGGTTGCTGTCCAACCAATTTTTTTTGTAGAAAAAGATCAACAATTCAAAAATGGTTAAAGTACCTTTTTGGTAACATTTTATGCTTATATTAAAACTTTGAATCATTTTACAGTGGTTTTTCTTAATTCGTGATTCAAAGGGTTAACATTAGTATAATCACATCCCCAATCATTCATAAAAGTGTATTAATTTGTTGTGAAGCCAACACCAAAATCAAGCCATCCTTAAATAGGAGTGAGAGAACCAATTATGTCAACGTCAAAATTAAATCGCATCGTTTCATTTATGCCACGAGTTTGTCCGTGGGGCCTTTGGTTTCGATAATTTTATTTACAAAAGTTTCAATATTTCGTTATTTTATAAAAATATTTAATCAGTAAAGGAGGAAATTAAACAATGAACTGAAAATATAGACTGACTTGCGAGAGATGTTTAAATAGGTAGGTATTATAAACGTAAACTAAAGTGGTGCAAATAGTAGTTAATATTTAGTTTTTAAGGCTTTAATCTAATCATAAGCTTTTTTTAGACCATTGCTATGTTTGAATATCCAGATTCGATGCATTTTTTACCTCTAGACGGGCGTTTGTTTATCCACATCGGGCGCATCTGCTCCAACTACATTTATGTATCTTGAATCACGTGATCCAAGATTTACAACATGTCTGATGCATGTAGATAAACAAACGCAGGTACTGTCCATTGGAATAATCATACCATAAGGACAGATTGTGTAAATAATGGGGTTAATAAAAAAACAATTATAATATTGTATATTCTATAATTTGAGATCTTTTCCTAAAAAAAACCATTTACCACTCCAATGGTTTTCCTTCCCATGAATATAACAACCCATTATGTGTAGTCGAAAGATTTTTTAACAAATTAATTATACCATCAACAGAATCGTCTACCTCTATTGGAGCTTTAGGGCCGCCCAAATCAGTTTTGACCCAACCAGGATGAATCGCAGTGACGAGAATACCAATTTCTTTCAATTCAATGCTAAGTGATTTGGTAATCATGTTCAATGCAGCCTGAAAAAAGTTTATGCATATTGGAAAACTATTAATAACTATCTGCCCATGATACATGTTAAAATAAAGTAAAAAATACGAAAACGACCTCTGGCCGAAAAAATTTGCACCCTTCAAAGGAATAAAACTACAAAACGCCATTCAGTGGGTTGGATGTGTTAACTTTGTTCTGTTGTGCTTAAAATGTTGGATTTTTATGAATTATTATTAATCGTTTTAACGAGAAAGTTAAAATTGAATATTTTATTAATTCTGCTTCAAAACAGATATTAATTAACTAAAGGTATATACCATTTGGGAACGCGAGACCGAGGCAGGAAATACTGCCGTGTTAAAAGTGCTATCGCGTCTCTTTCATCGGTCGCGCTGTCCCAATGTGATAATTACATGTGTTCAGACGTAAAGAGACCATTTTCGGTCGCATGTTGCTGTCTCCTGTCGTCCTTCCCAAATGGTACTTTAATAAAATTTATTTTACCTTTGAACACCTATATGGATAAAGTCCACCGCTATCATTCATGGAAAGAGATCCTAAAATAGAACTCATGTTAATTACAGCTGATCTGTCAATCCCTAATGGCTGATCTTTGTTTAAAGTAGCAGCCTTCTTTAGTAATGGCAGCAGAGCCTGCAAAAAAATGGAAAATATCGATTGATACGTTCATAAGTAAATGTAAAAAAATCAATATTTTAAAATGGTTTTAATTATTTAGAGAAAAGTTAGTTTGTATTAGGGTTCAGCAGCAGCTATGGTAACATAATTTACTGCATTAAAAGAAAATGATCGAATATTGATACTATAGATGAATTGTATATTTCGATTAATAACTCTTGACTGGGTAAAAACTTTAATGCATAAAAATTAAAAAAAAAGAACATGACTTCTATTTTTAGTTCTTAACACACATGTTAAATTCTATTAAAATTATCTGAAAAATAATTATAACGACTCGTCTGAAAAACAGTTGAGTAATTGAAAATATAACAGATTAATGCAATGAATAATGAAATAGTTCGCTGTACTGCTGTAGAATTAAGTCGACGAGAACCAAAGTGGCCTAGTGGACTTACCCAATGCATTAGTGATGATGTAATTTGTATTCCAATGACAGACATTTGTTGATTGCGTTTTATTTACAACAAATTAAAAAAGGTCCATAGATTTTCATACAACTTTTACTGATTATTATACACACTTTGTTTATATATAGGGTAGCGAAAAAGTCTGGCTACAAAGTATTTTCTTTATCCTATCCCCTCCCTACAGCCACCCTTACAACATCGTTCAGAAGGACGCCAAGCTTAGCTTGTACTAGAATAAATTCTAAGATTCATCATTCGTTTCCCAGTGTTAAGGGCACAACTCGGAGGTTCCAGGTTCGATTCCTGGTGGCACTTATTATTTTTTCTTTGGATTGGGAATGTAGGAATATTTTTTAATTTCGTAAGGGCAAACATTTATAAACAGTGGATATTTCAGTTTTCGGATCTAAATCTACTCTAAAAGTGTTTACATTTACTTCAATGTTAGCAACTTTTTCATTACTTTCGAACAGTGTTACAATATTATGAATAGTCTATTTTTGAATCCAATAATGGACATATTTCAAATGATTTATTAATTTTAATTTGTTGAGCATATGTAAGACTAACCTTTGTTAGCATTAACGGTCCAACTGCGTTAATCGAAAATGTTTCCAGCATTTGTTCTGCTTTAACGAAATGAATTCTTGTTGCCTTTGGCGAATAAGCAGCATTGTTGAATAAAACGTTCAAACCATCATCTTTCACCAGTTGTTTAACATCTTTTGCAAAATTTTCAAAAGTATCTGTCTTTTCAACATCTGAAATACAAAAATATAGAAATTTAACTCAAAATGAAAATAAATTTTTAAATCAATATTTTATCATTTAATGTGGTAAAAATTATGCTCACTAAATTCCTAAATATAATTTTTTCGTACCCAGTTGAAGAATATGGACATTTTTATGTTCAGCTGCTATTTGTTGTAGTTCCTAAAAAATATATTAAGTTCATTAAAATCTATTTTTATATAGCCAACCTTCAGTCCATCGATACAAACTTTCAAATTGATTTTTAACTGACTTTAAAAAAGGAGGAAGTTCTCAATTCGTCGAAAATATTTTTTATGTATGTTCAGCGATAATTCTTTATTACGTTGTCCGATTTCCATTATTATTTTTTCAGAAAGAGGACACCTCAGAGGTCTAGATCTAATAATGGGTCTATAAGAAAATCATCAAACTCTTAATTTTTTAAGTATTTTCAGCAATAATTCTTTACCACGTTGCCCAATTTTTATGATTTTTTTTTGTTAGAAAGATGATACCTCAGGGGTAGTTCTATATACAATTAGTCGTTTTTTTAAAACAAAAAAAAATATTTTTGCAACTGGTAACATAATGAATTTTTCACAAAATTTTCAACATTGTCACTTTATACAGTGAGCATCATAAGTCTTACCCCCCTAACTAACTCGTTACTGGGGTCTTGTTAGGAAAATCGCCGAGACAGGTCGATTTTTGATTTCTACAATGTACATTGTTGCATGATTAGTTTACCCTTAATTTCATCCCTTACTGGAGGGTAGCAACCCTTTCGAAAAATTTAAATGGCATGGGGTGGTGAGTGATAGCTCATTTGAAAGGGGGTTTTATTCTCTATTCAACCGTGCAAAAAATTTTAAAATTTGCTTCATTACGTGTTGATTTATTAATGTTTAGAAATAACAAAACCTCACAAAATAGGAAAGCAACTGGACTAACAGTGACCTTCTAATGGCAAAAAGTCTTACTTCACGTCTGAACCAAAACCGAAATCATGCAGGGCCGAATTTTAATTCTAAGGATGAGTGCGCTACGTTAATTTCCGTTATTCTGAAACAACAATTAGTCGAGAATTAATAAAGCAAATTTCAATTTTTTTTACACGGTTGAATAGAGAATAAAACCCTCTTTCAAATGAGCTATCACTCACCACCCCATGCCATTTAAATTTTTCTAAGGGGTTGCTCCCCTCCAGTAAGGGATGAAATTAAGGGTAAACTATTTATACGAAAATGTACATTGTAGAAATCAAAAATCGACGTGTCTCGGCGATTTTCCTAACAAGACTCCAGTAACGAGTTAGATATAGGGGGGGTAAGACTTGTGGTGCTCACTGTATGTCAAAATTAGAAGAAAAAAAAATAATTGTTGCTTAACACTATATCATACTCAGGATCATTTGTCTCGGAGGTAAATTAAATATTTAAATTTGATGTACAGTTTTTAACTAATATTTCCCTTTCGTAGAAGGGTTGGTTAAAAAGAAAAACAAAACTATTGTGATCTGTTACCGTAAGCCAACGCCACTGATCTGTTTTAGAGAATGTCCATGAATTCAACGATACATTTTCTAATCCTATCATATTACGTTCTGAAGTATTTTATTGCCTCTACTAAAAGCTGAAAGAGACATATATAGGCACTACAAGTTGAACCAGACATGTTAGCTCGGATGACTGATCTAAAATGTTTTACATACATCTCGGGTCAGATTTTATTAAAAAAGGTTTGAATAAAAATTAATAAAATTATATTAGTGAACATTTTCCAGGTTATACATTAGATGAGGCGGCAAAATTTTCGTTATTGTAAGAAACACCTTGATAGAATTGTATTGGAAAAAGAGGATATCATTGTTTAGTGTAGAAAATGTAACTAAATACGGGATTGAAATCACCTCCAGGTAAAGGACGTCGTTTAATAATTACGTTTATTGCATGATACTGGGTTTGTTGAAGGATTAAAGTTTTTGAATCGGGAAGAGATCGAGATTATCACGAGAACATGGAATCTGACAAAACGGCACTAATAAAAGTAATATAGGTATTTTTGTTCTTAATATTCTCCCTTCTATTTGTAACACCACTGGCCAAAGTCAGACTTACAGGAATGAATTTCAGTAAAAAATCCCATGACAAAGCGTTCCACATTTGGGTTGCACCGACTGTAAATTTACAGAAAACGTCATGCCAAAAATTATAAAATTCAATTACATCCTACTCTTTTTATGTGCAATTTTTTTTTTTTTGAATTTTCATGCCCTTTATTAATACCAGATGATTTTGTTGGATTAAATCATCTTATTTTTATTCCAGGAGTCTATAGTTAAGCTATGTCAGAACTTTTGGAGACATCCTGTATATTAAGGATTGTCAAATTGAATAAATAATATTAAAATTTTAAAATGCCTTTTGTCGGAGACGTAGTCACTTCTGACGAAATGCATTTTTCAGGAATGCTACTTATATACTGAAATAAAATTTAAAAAATACTTTAGAATAATAATTTAGAAGGTTCGAGATTATTAAAGAATGACTTGTAAAATAAAGAATAATCACATCAATTATCTTATAAGTAGGGATACTATATAATAATTTGTAGATAGAAAGAATTTATCACTCATAAGTTAATTTTGCGCTGGCGCGGTACTTCCGTTTTTAGGTGTGTATATTTAACAATTTTGACGGAAGACGGACCTTATTAACGTGTTAATAACCGTAACCGCATCGAACATTTGCTTTCGGCTTCTTCAACGTAATTTTGACGGGATTTCTATTTGTTCAAAAAGTTTAAAGCTGTTTTTAAAATGCCACCAATAGAAGGTAAGTGAAATGAAAAAATATAGATCCAAATATTAACTTACCGTTGATTTTTCAAGGTTCCTACATGTTACCATTATACATTTTGGAGATATTTGGTCTTTCACTAACCTTTTAACAAGGCCTAAACCTATGCCCCTATTGCAACCTGTTATTAGTATTGACTTCATTTAAGATTAGTTACGCGATTTCAGACACGAATTATTGTGCGTTGGTGCTTTTCAAGGCCATTAAGTATCGATAATACAAATACAAGTGTTTCTTTTTTTTTCTGATTCCAGCCTTAGATTAGATTACAGATTAACCAATTAACCTCACTTCTGCTTAAATGGCGGCACTTTTTTGTTTTCGTAATGTAATTTTCCGAGGAGCAGTAAGGTCCAGAAATTGTAATACCTTTTTAAATGGTCAAAAAACGTTAGTTGCTAGCTTAGTTAGATATGCCTCTTCTAAATCTCCACAATATCTTGGACCTCAGGAGGACTGTAAGTTTAAATTTAATTATTTCAAGTACATATATTTTTTTAAATAAAGATGACGTAACTACATAACCTCTCTTTGACAAAAGAAAATATGCAACAAAAACAACTAAACAAAAATATTTCCATCAGTTCGGGATTTTTATGTTCTATTTAATCGACTTCCTGATTTAAGTACGAATTCATTAAATTATTTACATTAGTAATAGCTCCTAATTCTGAAAATTTAATATCTATTTTAGTCATGATTATGATAATTTTTATCTATCTATTCTATAATCTATGAATGATGATATGGATGAATTGCACTTTTTTGAGAGAGAGTGGCTGTGACTACGATCCCACCCTGCGGAAATATACTTTTTGATTTTATATTACTGCGTACTTCACGATGTTCAATCAACTTTTATACCTGCTCTAATCCTACACCGAGGCTACATACTCGAAATATAGGCTTTTCGCAGATTTTGTCGGTAATTTAGTCTACTCTTATAATCCAATGAGGTTACTTAATATAATTTGAATTTATAAATATTAGATTTAGTCACATACTTTTGCCGCGTTTGAGAATGCACATCGGATGCATTTTTTACATCTCGAGCGTTTTTTTATCCACATCGGACACATCTACTACATCTCCATCTGCGTTTGTTTATCCCAGATGTACCTGTTCAGATTACATTTTTTACATCTCGATTTGAAATGAGATGTGAATGAGATGTTCGTTCCATGCCAGAAAGTAAGTGTTCTGTGAAGCCAAGTTTGTCAATTTATCCTTTGTTTATGCTAGCATGAATATTAAAATGATTAGTTTGTGTAATTTTTGTTTAGATTTCAAATTTGGGTTGATTTGTAGTCTCAAAAGTCAAATTTAAAAAGTATAAACTTCTAACTTGTCATTGACATTTTATCACGTGACCAAATAAAGTCTAGAGCGTTTGTTTATTACATCTACATTCAGATCTAATTCTCTATCACGTGATAAAAAATTCACAACATCTCAGATGCATCCGATGTGGATTTTCAAACGCGGCATTTGATTACTATACGAGGCAAGAGAGGTCCGACACGCCCAACAAAGGGCGCGGCCATTTTGAACCCTGTGACACAGTTTACAGCTAAAGAATCAGATCGCTCACTCTGCGTCGGCACTTTTGATCTCAATGTTTCAGTTTATACACTGTGCAACTCGGATAATACAATATGACAACCGCCTATAATAAAACAGCAGTCTTCTGCGTATCCTGAATTTGTATCCCTGGAGTGGATGTTATTTTGGAACTTTCAACTGGTCCGAGTGAGCTAACTGATTCTTTAGCAATAAACTGTGACTTCAAAAATAATATTCTCTGACACTGACAGCAGCAAGCAAAATACCAGGTGCGTTTTAATCATCCGCTTCTGCTTCCGGAATTGTAGGTTTAGTCGTTTTAACCTGTCACATTAAAACAAGAAAACCGTTAATTCCGAAGCAGAAGCGGATGACTAAAACGCACCTATTAAAAATATTGCGCCAAGATTTAGGCAACACGTAATAAGGGTTCAAAATGGCGGAGTTTTCTATCAGGGCTGGTATATCTTAGATATACCAGCCCTGTTTTCTATCTCCTTTTAAAAGGCACTCAGAAAGCTGCGCAGTGCGACCATAGTAAAAGAAAATCAAAGTATGTGGATTTGGTGGAGAAGAGCTGTTTTCAGCAGGAGAACTTTGCAAAATTCGATTAAGCAGAACCGGACTTGCGTTTGTTCAAATCATGCACTTCTCCCCAACATTTGACAAGATAGAAGGAAATTATTCTAGACCAAAAAAATCATATTTTTAGAATACCTTATCCTGCTAAATTTTATATAAATTAAGCATTTTACCATTTGGTATTCAGTAACGCCATCTAGCGCTTATCCAACGATTCTCTAAATAATTACTATTTTTTGTGGTCATTTTAATTATTGCAATTTTTCCCAGAAGTTGTGTTACAAATGGTTCCTGAGATATGGCCAAAAGTTATAAACTTAGTTTTCTAAAAAAAAATCCATCATCTGCATGTTATATCTTTTTCATAAATAATTTATTAAACTTCTATTCAGTACTATTAGGGGTATTAAATACCATAGGTAAATAGTACTTAACATTCTTCCTTCCTTTATTTAAAAACAAAATTATTAGATCATTCAGAATAGGTTGCATGTATAGAAAATTCTCTTGTGATTTGGTATAATTGGGACTGAAATTATTAAAATAAATCATTCAAAACACTCATTTTCACTTATGTCAATTGAATTTTTTTTATTCTATTTTTATCGGATCTAGCTATATTTCAAGCCAATTAGTAATTTGTCTTTATGATATGCTCAGGCAAACTTAAGAAACACAACATACATTGCATTATATCAAAATGAAAATGATAGAAAATAATTTTTTTACCTGGACACTTTTTTGAAAACCCGCCCAGGCGCTCCCCGGAAGCCCTCCAAACTAAGATAAATCCGGGGAATGCAGACGGATGGCAGCCCTACTTACATACCAAGGTGTATTTACTGTTACCCTTAATATTTTGTTCTGAAAACGTATTAGTCCATACTGAATTCAGTACCTACTTGTACCTACGTGTTTAAAATTTAATTTTAGTGAGGTTTTATTTAAAAAAAATCACTGAACAATTCTTTAAAAACTATATTCAGATATAAATATTTAGTATCTAATAAAATTTAATGTTATTCACTTAAAAAAGAAATGGTGATTTCTCCAATAATAAATTTATATTTTTTATTTTTTTTTTATACATTTTTATGTATAACGATTATCGTGATAAATATATAAATTTTATATATAAAACGTTACAATGTACAGCTACAACCCACGGGTCTATTTAGATTTAGTTGATTTTCAGTTATATCTAATATGACTGCTACTATTAAACTACTATTTTTCTTTAATTTATTCTTGATTGGTATGTATTTTTTTCCATATACATCGATTCTTTTAATTATTAATACCATTATTCTATGTTCAAACAAAATATCTCATTATGTGTCTATTTTGAAACATCCAAATTCAAATAAAAATTTATTAATAATTTTATTTCTTCCAAATTTTGATCCTCTATAGATGTATATATAGTCAATGAAATAGGGCTAGAGATTGAATACCATGTAATCCTTTTTTTTATTTGGCTCTGGAAATTTAACACATTTCGCTCTAAAATATTACCTATTTTTTCTAATTTTGACATATGTGATTTTTTTTAAATAATCTATGTAACCAGATAAGTACATAAAGTTGAATATTATGTAACTGGTTACCAGTTGCGAAAATAAAACATATATAACTAAGGCCCGTATTTATAAACAAAACTCAGCTGAGTCGGACTTGGGTAAGTCGTCCTTGAACGAAAATCGAAGTTCGGTTATATCGCGTGAATTTAGAGATGGGTAGTAACAAATCCGTAAATGTACATAACAGTTACAGATTTGCTAATATCCATCTCTAAATTCCAGTTTAACACCAGAACTACCTGGAACTTTAAAGACGTTGTAACCGAACTTCGATTTTAGTTCAAGGACGACTTACCCAAGTCCGACTCACGTAAGTTCTGTTTATAAATACGGGCCTAAATATTTTTTTGGATTTAAAATTAATGTACTGAGTGTTTCATAAAGACCTGACCAACTCTCTGTTTCAGTCCCTATTTGCCATCCTAAATCTGCACCAAATAACCAAACCCTGTTTCACTCAATACGCAACAAAAACGCAACTTGAAAACTAACACGCTTTAAGGCTGTATGTCACGATACTGAATTAAGTACTAAATTTAGAACTAAATTAATGCATTTTTTAAGTACTAAAAAAATTCACGTTGCAAACAGCAAATTTAGTACTAAATTTAGTACTAAAAAAAAGTCATTAATTAATTAGATCTTGTTCTATTTTCTACTAAATTTAGTACTAAAAGTGCGCCGAAATGTTGCGCAGAGAAGTTATTCATAGAAAAAGTTGACACGACGGTATTTTCTGTACCCTTTTATTTTTAATTAGCGACAATTTCACATTATCGCCTTGAATAAAGTTCGCCTGTTTGATTTTGTAGGTTTTATTGTGTTTTTCCGTGGTTTTTATGCTGTATTTGGTTGTCAAGTCAACTAGTATCAAATTGATAATAAAAACACCATTTACTTCACTTGTCTGTTTTACACAGAATATTTCATTTCTCTACTAATTTCACGTATTAATACGTCAATGCGCGTGCGCCCATAGTAAATTTAGTACTAAAAATTGGTATCGTTGCAAACGGAAAAAAAATATTTTTAGTTCTAAATTTAGTACTAAATTAATGACTTAATTTAGTGCTAAATTTAGTACTTAATTTAGTATCGTGACATACAGCCTTTAACAAGTAAGAAAACCACCCGAAAAATAAGTGGTTGAGAATTATTATATGATTTTTCTAAGTAAATATGCCAATGAGAATGAAAATTATGCAACGAAAGTAATATCTGTTACATGGATAGACAATTTTATTCTAAATTCTTCAAGCAATAGAAAGCATGGCTTTGTTACTGTTTTTCATAGCCAATGTAGAAAGAGCATCCTTTATTATAACTAAAAAGTGATATAATTTAGTTTTCAATATTAAAAAACGAGAAATATTCAGAACTTTTAGTTTTAAAATAATTGTCTTTATTGTAATCTTTATCTTTAAGTTAAGAACACAATTTCAGAGATAAGGGAGATAAAGATAGGAAACGCCCCTAAGAAGCCAATGCTTAACAAGGACCAGCTTTATCGCAGTTAACATCTGACCCATTATGTGGCGCTTACATCGATATCAAACCACGCAACGGGAAATTAAAAAACCTGATAATAAAGGTTGCATAAATGTCGACTGGACTCTCATGTTCTTGTAAATAAACTTAAACAATGTAATTACGCTAAATTATTTATTAAAAAAATACTACATTAATTATTGTAAATCTATATTCATGACAAATATTTTTTTAATTTTTGATTGTTATTTGTAACACTGCATTTTTGTTTTTATTTTGGTATCTTATTTAAAAATGTTGAGTGCAAATTCAATAATGGGAATTTAAATATTTTTCTTCCTATATCAAATCTTCTTTCTAACGTTTTGAAGCCATTTTCTTGTTCTAAAACAATAAATAATACATAAACACCTACTTTGTGACAAAAATTGATTACTATTTGTGTTACTTACATGAATAGATCTTACCTACATTGGGGTTGTTAAATTTGTTCATGTGGCATGTATTACTAATGCAATACGTTCTCCGACTTATTGTAATATTACAAAATATAATTATTGTCCTTAAATTTCGCACAAAAACAGCCACAACTATTTCGCTTAGTTCATCTATACTCTGTTTTTAAACTAGGAGGAGCGAATTTAAACGACCCATTTACACAGGGAAAAGTAACTAGATTCCTTACTAAGAGCGTGTTCCGAAATATAGTAGTGTTCAAAATCTATTAAATACTTTTTATTATCGGCCCTAGTCGGCGAACAGCCAATGAGGAATTAAGAGCGAATAAATCTCATAGGAGTCGATTTTTTATTGGTCCCAAACATAGGCAGTAAATTTCACATTACTGTGATCTGAAACGTGTATCTAAAACGAACTGTCAAATAAAATTCAATATAGCCGTTGGTTTCTTTTTGTGAATAACTATGATCTTTTTAAAATGGAATTTGAATATTTAAGAAAATTTTTAAAACTCAAGTAAAAGTTAAATATTGGCTTGGACCCCTTTACCATATAATGCTCTTTATTCTCAGTAAATACCAACACAGTGACTGGAATTTCTCCTATAATATAGCTATTGTAGCTTATTTAGTGTTAACCCAGAATTGATACGCTAAAGAGTAAATGAAGATATTTAAAAGCTTACAGGCTATTGTGAGTCAGGATTTATTTTGAAAACTGGAACCATCATTTTCATAACACTACATGTTAACATTATTTTAAAAACTGTTTAATAATATTGTAGTTTCTTCTAACTCTAGTTGTATTTTTTATATTTTTTAATTTAAAGTTATACTTATTAATTTTAAGTAGATATTTTTGTTATGTTTGATAATTTGTTGTAGAAATATTGTTAGCTCATTATGCTAAATTAAGATTCTCTAATGTAGTAGTAGATGGTGTTTTAAATGCTCAATCACAGTTCTGTAAATGATTTATTTTCTAATAAATAAAGTTTACTTAAATGTTTAGTTACATTTTAATCATTTGGTAAGAAATTCATCAATTTTTAGTTTTAAAAATTCAGTAATAAGTTTATTTTTTTTTCTAAAATACTTCGGAATCCATGTCTTCATGGTAATATTTGCCTTCAAAAATCAATAATAAATCTACAAAACCTTCTTAAAAACCAGCATGTAAAATAATAAGGCGTCTTCCCTTTCTTGTAGGGCTTTTCGGGAACTGCTACCGGTATAGATGGACCCATAATCGTATAAATTCAGAACAATTGCTTACTTAAGTTCTGAAAACGACTGTTATTAACAAAAAAAGAGTAACAAACTAAGTAATAATGATGAGATATCAAAGGGGTGAAAGCAATAACAAAACTAAAAATTTGAAATGTCAGAACTGTCAATAATTGTCAGTAATTGCATTAGCTGCGATGTTAATGATAAAAAGTGATGTGTGAAACTGACTGCAATCTGACCAATCAGAAGTCTACAGAATTGCCAACTTAAATTCAAATCGCTCCTCCTAGTTTAAAAACGGAGTATAGAGAATAACACAATCATGAACTCAAAATTTAAAATTTAAATTCAGGATTCTTGGGTATACATAAAACTGACATTTAGGTATATTTACAAACTGTCTACTGCTGTCCACGTCTACTGTCTGTCTCAGTGTTGCCAACCGTACGATTTAACTCGTATTTATACGATTTTTTAACTCTGTACGATATACGATTGCATCAGTGAGATCGTAAGTAAAAATACGATCTTCACTTTTTTAGTATGTTTATTTAAATATCTGCAACAACTTCAGAACATAAAACAATAAAAATCAAAAACTACTTGCATATATTCATAGGCCGTTCGTAATTTCTAAAGGCAGTCATTTTCGTTCTGACTATTAGGGCATAAGAAAAGCTTGCATGCAAAATTTCAATCACTTTCAAGTGACAGTCATTGATTACTTTAAATGTGTTAATTTAAAGTTTCATGTATTTTCTTTAGTTTTTTTTTTTTTCATTGTAAACATTTTTATAAATAGATAAATAAATTATCATGCCAAAGTATTTTTGTATTTTTTTCATTCAACATAAGTTATATTATGCTATACATGTATCTATTGTACAATTTTTTTGTCGAAATACCATTTTTCTACTCTACTTGTACGATAAATAAAAAAATATTTGGCAACACAGGTCTCTCTACAAACGACGTAGACCTGTAGTTAACATCTGAGACGCTAGATGACGCCATCGTTGCTGCGGTCGTTGCGTTTCCAATCTTTATGTCCCTAATCTCTGTACAATTTATTATACTCTAGGTTTTATCCTTGTGTAAAAACAAATTGCTACAGCCCTGGGTAAAGGAATTAAAATTTAAAATAAGCTACTGTCATGGGAAACAAACTTTGACTGATTGTCCTTATTGATTTCAAAATTACATGAAATTGCTTGAAGAAATCAATGTAATGTCAAAGTCAAGTATTTTTATTTACTTTTTATATGGAAAATTAAAGTGTATATGTTTGTTCTAATGAAATGTTATTTGAAGGTATATATTATATTTAATTATTATTTTTAAGCCTCTTTTTATCGTTCATCAATTAATTAATCTTTTATTTAAAAAAATAGTTGTGTAGAATGTCTTTTGATTTTTTCATGGACTGTTCATAACTAAATGAGTTAATTATCTTTTTTTATGATAAAAAATATATTTGGAAAACTAAATGTCTACTTATTTAGAAATTATTTTAAAAACAATATATAAATTTTTTTATCTTTTGTTATAAAAGCATGAAAGTAGTAATCGTTTTTGGTATAGTTTTAAATATCTTTATGAATTTTTTTATAATCATGCAATTTTGTCCAAAATTCTACACACTATACCTCCATAAATCATCAGTCATCGAACAGAAAAAGTTCAGTATATTCGAAAATTTAATCAATATCATTAACAAATAATTTGAAAAGCGTAAATGTGACCCTTGTGATACTACTGGATTTGAAATGTAATTTTTTTTATTTTCACAAATTAAGATAACTAGATAACCAAATAATTATTTTAATTTGTGAATTAGAAGAGCATGATTTACCCTTGATTACCTAATTCAAATGAATGATGTCATTATGATTTATCATGCTGTTGATCAATTATATTTTTACAATGCTATGCAAATCTCCTGTGGAAATTTGTAGGCACTGTAGGAGTAGCAGCCAGTCCATCTAGATCTACAAAAAGATTGAGATGTGCCAGTTGTGGTTTCAATTGGAAATTCTGAGAAAAATTCACCCAATAAAATATGGAAAGAATAAATGCTAACCATGAATTTATTACTTGAGAGTAATTCATTAACAGATTAAAAATCATTATTCTATACCCTATACTGAGCAAAATATATATTATATAAACAAATTGGGATCGATCCCATGATGATTTCTGTGAATTAACACATTATTATTATATCTCCAAAATAGCTTGTAATTCCCACTTATATTCTAGTTCACAATTGATAATAGATACATATGTATAAGTCATTATAAAGATTTATTTAGAGATCCCAGACTAGAGAAGATAAGAAAATCGGCATGTAATCGAATATTTTTTACCTATATTATGTACTTGAACAGTTTTAAATTGTCTCTGATTAGATTGGGGAAATACTTTCATGAGGAATTTGCAAGATTTTTTTATTTTACAAAATTGAAGTGTATCTATGCGCAATGAATCCTATCAAACGGTAGAGTCAATGCTAAATGCTTAAGATTTGATAATTGTTTTTTTTTTTAACTTTTCTAAACAAGTTTTACATCAATTTTCCTTAAACAAAATATGGCAAAAGGTATATAGGATGATTTAATAGAGAAATTACGAGAAACGAGGCAATAAATAGTATTAAAAGGGTAACAAATTCTGAACATGCACACACGATCTCCTACGACTTCTAAAAAAGAATACCAACAATCTATATAACTCTGACCAAACAAACATCAAATAAAATTTTTATTGATAACGCTTCTAATAAATTCAAGGCAACTTGATAACTCATATATGCCAAGCTAGGTGAAACTACTAAAAAAAAAAAAAAAAATACCTTTAAATGATCTTAATGGATTCTTTATTAATTTAGCAAACAACATTACTATTTCAATGCAAAATAATTATCATGAATCAGTGGAAATGTAGTGCAAAAAGCATATTTCTCCTTTACATTCTTTCTTTATTCAGCCCACATGTGATTTACAAGTATACAGGGTAGTTAAAAAATTTAAAAACTCAGATAGTAAACATATAAACGGATTAAATGTAAGTACCAATAAATATATAGCTGTAGTTATTACACCTATTTTGACATGAACAACCGCGCCATTTTAGCCAAGACAGGTTTAGGTTTTTTGCTTACCGTTCTGGGTAAAAGAAATGTCCTGTTTGGTCCCGGTTTGTCCGGATTTTTACCTCATTTACGCGGGTCAAGCCAATTGGAGTGCCTCAGGGCTCAATACTAGGTCCAATATTCTTTCTGGTTTACATCAGTAATTTACTAGTAAACATCGGAATTAGTAACATTATATGCTGATTATGTATTTATTTTGTAACAGGAAATAATCCTAGATAATCTAGTGACGCAAAAGCATTGTTTAGATCTAATGGTTTAAAATTAAAAAAGAATAAGTCAGAATGACTAGTTTTTGCAAAGATACACAATATTGAGTCAGGCATGCCAAACTATTGGGTGTATTTATTGATGAAACACTGAATTGGAAATCTCGTATAGATAATTTGACAGGGAATTTAAATAAAGTGATGTTTCAAATAAGAAAGTTATTAAAACTGACATCTTTTGAAACTGCTCTAAATTTTTATGTTTGCAGTTTTATAAGCTATAAGCAATGGTTTATTATTATTATTATGGGGAAATTCGTTTGAATCACTTAGTATTTTTAAAATTAAAAAAGAATGTCAAGGATTTAATGGACAGTGCCAATAAAAGAACATTTGAACAATAATGTGTTCTGTTTATATGTAATTTTATAGTAGGTGTATGTACATTATGTAATTGTTATTTTCTTTTATAGAATAATATTTATACATGTATTTATGACAACCTTAAAAGTAATTTTTACAGGTTTGGGCAATAAATATTATTAAAAAAAAATATTTTTTTCCATTTATTTTTTAATTATAGTAAAAGTTACTCTACACATATTTAATAGCTATAAATATATCGATGAGCGAAAATAGTTCTAATTCCTATTTTTATTCCAGGGGAAAATTACGAGTATGATCTTATCGTTATCGGAGGTGGCTCAGGCGGTCTGGCAGCAGCCAAAGAAGCAGCCAATTTAGGCGCCAAAGTATGTGTATTAGATTATGTTACTCCCAGTCCGCGAGGCACAAAATGGGGTTTAGGAGGAACATGTGTTAACGTTGGATGCATTCCCAAAAAACTAATGCACCAAGCTGCCTTGTTAGGTGAAGCAATAGAAGTAAGTTTTTTTTTATTTTTCACAAACCAGTGTTTCTAATATTATATTTCAAATGGTATTAAAATAAAATCATATGAAATATGAGAAAATGTTTTAGATAAAAGTTATGGCGATTATTTTTTTTGCACATTTCTAAAGTACAGAGAAATATACAGGATATTATCTGGGGACAGCTTAAATGTTTTTAAATGACATCCTGTTAATTTTTTAAAATTTTATGCTCCAATACCAAGTTTTTTTTTTAATTCTGCGACGTTGTCAGTTTATGATAAAAATAAAAAAAAATACTGAAAAATTGTGTCATTACTTTGTTATTCACATTTAAAATTTTTGGTAAATACGAAGATAAGGGTTAACTGAAACGTCTGAATGGATCAAAAGTTTATTTTTATGTTCAGGCGATTTAAACATGGACATTAATTCGCTTATTTTTATACATCTTCGTTTTTTTCATATTGAACATCCAGTGTATTATTTTACTATTTGTTATTATAATATAGGCCTTAAAAGTGATAGTTTTTGACAAATTTTTATTTTAATTGATAAATTATAGATATAAAAGAAACATAGGACTTTCACGCACTAATGGGCCACCCTATATATGTACTTAACTGTCATGTACTTTTTTAAACTGTTTTGTTTAGCTGATAAGTAAATTGTTAATAAATGTCCAGTTTTAATTGTCTTAGGGCTAATTTGATAATGAATATTAAAAGATCCTTTATAAAATCGGCCCTTATTATAATAATTGTTGTATATCATACAGATAATAAATAAAACAACCTTAATAAATTTTACCTTTAATTTATTTTTCAGGATGCCAAGAGTTATGGATGGCAATTTCCTCAACCAGAAAATATTTCACATAATTGGGAAGCACTAAAAGATGCTATCCAAGGACACATTAAATCTGTCAATTGGGTAACAAGAGTCGAACTCAGGGATAAGTAAGTTCATATTTATATTTTATATCTTATTTACAGTCTACAATAGTCAGCAATAGTGTGCGCTGTATCACTGCATTGTCTTGATTTAAATAATCATCCGCCCCTTATATTTAATACATTTACCTTACCCTAAGAGGCAACAGCTCAATACATTTGATAAAATAAACCAACTAAAGAATGTAGGTACATTCGAAGAGATACATTTGGCAACATTGTATTAAAGACATCCAATTAAATTAGTCCGAATTTGGTGCAAGTTTAAAAAGTAATAGGTAAACTTTTAATTATTTTTCAGACGATAATAACTTTAGTATGGAAATTTATATCTGTGGAACTAGTTTATTGCACATATTATCGGATGTAGCTCACAAGTCTATAATAGTCTGGTTAAACTATAAATTGAATGGGTTATATATTTGTCCAATATTATGGATGTGATGATATTTCTATAAGAGTTATCCTAAACCTTCCTGATTCACTAATGTTAGTCCTAGCTAGTCTGAACAACCAAAGATTTGTTGGATCATATTTTCAGTCACTTCTTAAGACCAGTGTTATTGTTCGGATATATTAAGGTGGCAGTAATTTGGCATTCCAACGACCTGTCCAAATGGCTGCCTAAATATATTGATTGATTATTGTACTGAATAAATGATTTTATTTTTAGGAAAGTTGAATATATCAATGGTTTGGGAAGCTTTCTGGATGCCAATACCATTCACACAGTAGCCAAAGGTGGTGAACGCAAACTTACTGGTAAATACATTCTAGTTGCAGTCGGCGGAAGACCACGTTACCCAAACATTCCCGGCGCCTTAGAATACGGTATTAGTAGCGATGACATTTTCAGTTTGCAAAAACCGCCAGGCAAAACTCTAATCGTCGGTGCTGGTTACATTGGACTGGAATGTGCTGGATTTTTAAACGGTTTAGGATATAATGCGACAATCATGGTTAGGTCTATTCTACTTAGAGGTTTCGATCAACAGATGGCTCAGGTTATTGAAGCGGAAATGCGTTCGAAAGGTGTTAACTTTTTGCCCAAGTGAGTTGTATATACATATATTTGTTTTTATTTTTTACTTTCCTGTATCCAGTAAGATTTTTGTTTCAACAAGCTTGAAACTATATATAAATTAGTCCACAATTTATTGTCGACAACTTGTAGAGGATTGGAAATCAATTCGGAACTTGGGTCGAAATTAAGTTGCGAGAGAAGTTGTAGGGAATATACAGGAATAATACATTCTTCTATTGTTAAGTGGAAGCAGATCAAATCTTTGGAGTATTATACTATTGTCTGTACCCCACGGACGGTAAACTTATTTTCTGTATTTTACATATTTAAAGAGCTGTCGCTGAACATTTTCAATAGATTGGATGTGATTTATGTAAATATAAGACCAAACTAGACAGGCAAACGCATTAAACAATCTAATATAACTTTGTTTGTTTAGTTATCCATTATTCTCGATAATAAATATTTATCTAATCATATTTCATTTGTGAATTTGAATTAATTAGTTAATTACACATTTTTTTTTTAGATAACAATTTTAGATTTTAAATCTGATATTTAATTAAACTTTTAACATTTTTGTTATCTAGCAATTGACAAAATTACGAATGGTATTTACAATCTTATTTGATAACCATTAAGGTTTTATGCAAACTCAAATTTATGAAATAATACTTTTTTGGGCAGTTAATTTTAAATCACACCAATAAAATACCCTTAAACACTTTAATGTAGTCGTTCAGCTTTTTAATTAAAATTTAATTCGAATAATTTTCCAATGATAAATAACAGAAATTTACTTTAAAATAATAAACTCCCTCTTATAAAGTACCACTGATGCTCCGACTATGCCCAAAATCTAATCAGCTCATCGCAGGATGGATTAAACTTGTTTAAAATTTGGTGTTTTTCTCTTTGTTCGTTTTTGAGTTAACATGTATAAAGACATCATCGCGAAAATGGTCAAACCGGATTTTTTTATGGGGGACCCTAAAACATAAAGATCCGTTTACTTTTTACTAAAAAGTAAATATATCATTTAATAATTGCTTGCAGGTGTATTCCAAAGAAAGTAGAAAAATTAGATGATGAAAAATTAAAAGTCACTTGGCAGAACGATCAAAATCAGGAATTTAGTGACGTATTTGACACAGTTTTGTTTGCTATTGGTAGAAAAGCGTTGACGGAAGATCTTCACTTAGAAAAAGCCGGTGTAAAGGTGGCAGGAGATGGAGAAAAAATTGACGCAGTTAATGAACAATCCAACGTTCCTAATATTTACGCCGTTGGTGACGTTTTATATGTAAGTTGATTTTTTAACGAATTTTTAGATATTTGTTTGCCATTAAAAAATAGTGTAATTAAATATGTTTAATCTAATAAGTTTTCTTGACATAGATACCTTATGTTGAATGTAATTTTGATGAAATAAATCTGATGTATGACGGAAATTACTCATGCGCCAGTTTTAATATTGTGGTTTCCTACATAACTTTTCGATACAGCGTCAAAAAGACTCTGATGGTACCAGATAGAGATAATGAATATTCCAGAGGTTAAAATATCCTTGTCTCAAATTTCTTCAGAAGGCAGCAATAACAGGCTTTAATTGTTACTATTACAGTAAAGAATATCCGGATGTTGTGAAGCTGTACAATTGAATTCATCGCTAATCTTTTTATGTCATGACTTCATTTAATATGTACTATTTTTACATACATTCATTTTTTATATTTGAAAATATAATAATCCAATAATTACATTCAAGTTTTTGAGAGCTCAATTTCATTAATTGGTCTAAATTACAACAATTAACATTTTCATGCATTAAATAAAAAATCTGGAACCTACATTTTTGTCCTACAAAAAAAATTCCATATTCATTTTTGATGTGAAGGAGAAAATTATTTTAATAGATATTTCACATAAGTTGCTATTTTGCAACTAATTTTTTAATAGCAAATTATGCTCAAGGCTATTGTTTGTAACTTTTGGAATGTTGTTCATGACATGTTCAAGGATTTATTCTCAAAAGTTACAGCTAGCCATAATTTTTCTGAATATTGGGAGCCTATCTTTAAAAAATTAAATGAATACTTAACTAATAAAAAGTTGATTTAGTAAAATACATTTGTTTTAGAAAAAACCAGAATTAACGCCAGTTGCAATCCTTGCTGGTCGATTCTTAGCAAGGAGACTATTTGGAGGTGCAAAACAAAATATGGATTACGATAATGTAGCCACGACTGTATTCAGTCCTTTAGAATACGGTTGTGTGGGTCTTAGTGAAGAGGCAGCGATAGAAAAACACGGCGCCGACAACGTTGAAATTTACCATGGATATTATAAACCGACGGAATTTTTCATTCCCCAAAAGAATATCGCCAATTGCTATTTGAAAGTGGTGGCAAAAAGAGAAGACAATCAACGTGTTCTTGGTTTGCATTTCATTGGACCGAACGCGGGAGAAATCATTCAAGGATTTGCTGCTGCTATAAGGTAAGTTTTGGTTTTTCTAATTTTTGTAAAATTATCCCATTCCCATTTTATCTTGTAGTAATATATAATTTTTAATTTTAAGACTCAACTTGACAGTCAAAGATTTGATGGATACTGTCGGAATTCACCCAACCATCGCAGAGGAATTTACAAGAATAAATGTAACTAAAAGGTCTGGCAAGGACCCTAATCCTGCATCATGCTGCAGTTAAATTATTAAATACATTTTAAATAAATATCTTATTTTTGTATGTGAATAAACTAAGTAGATGTTTAACAACTGTTTGGTCACATCGTTTTACTAATTTTATTATTTCAGTTCGTGGCACTACTTACACTATTAAGTAGATGATAAAGCATGCAGGGTACAGACCGTTAATCTCTATAACATTTTTCCAATGAGGTATTATTTTTCATTTTATATTAAATTATCTTGTTAAGTTACAATGAAAAAATACATAGTTCCGCTAATATATGTGATTTTTTTAATCCCCTAACGACTTTAGCCAGGACCAACAACTCGATGTCTCAAAGAAATACTGCCACAACTAAAATACTATTGTTTCGAGAAATTTCATTTTGAAATTTTGTAAGTCTATTATCATTATTTTGTTTTTGAAATAAAATTTTTATATTTTATTTAAAAGCTACGACATTTTGCTGTTAAAATTAACGATTAAGATTATAAAAGCGCCCTAACTCGAGTTATTGCATAGTTTGTAAAAAATTTGGGTGTTTTTGCAGAAAATAACTCGAATTGACACAGATTTTAAACGATTTTCTAGCATCTAAGGATGTTTTTGTTTGTGGCGGTATTTAAAATAAAAACCTAATGATATTTTCCATCCATTGAACCTAGTAATTTTCTTTGTTTTTTGACTTGTGGCGGTTTATGATTGAGCCATTGAACTGATAATGTATTTTTATTAACATTAATTCATTTATGGAAAAATAAAGGGCAACAAATTATTGTTTGTATTATTAGCTTTGTAACTCTCGTTTTCTAACTCATCGTCAAGAAAGTTTTACTTACAGTCCTTGCCCAGAAACTTTGAGGTAAGATCTGCAACTCGAATGGGTTTATTACGTACGTGGAGGGGTTCCTCAGGGAAGGGTTGAAATCGGAAAACAATGAAATTCATTTCCTGTGGCAAATTCGCGACTCTGATTTACAGAATGGCTTAGGCTTGTGAATACCTGCGTAATTAAATCGACTACGGTAGCACGTAGGTGTCTACGGCGTCGCATTCATTTGCGAGCTAATTTTCTGGTAAAACGAGACACGGTTTCAGATCCTACGGAAGACCATGTGAATTTATTTGCATGGTTCTCTATAGGATTTGATGGATGCCTTATTAACAAAATTTAATTTCTGTTGATATGACATCCAGATTATTAAAACTCACCATGCGTTACCGTTTTCAATGATGGTGGGTGGGGTTTTTCGGGTTTTCCTCGCCTGTAAGTCAAATTGCACCATCAAATTTCAAATTTTTTTACACGGTTGAATAGAGAATAAAACCCTCTTTCAAATGAGCTATCACTCACCACCCCATGCCATTTAAATTTTTCGAAAGGGTTGCTCCCCTCCAGTAAGGGATGAAATTAAGGGTAAACTATTCATACAAAAATGTACATTGTAGAAATTAAAAATCGACGTGTCTCGGCGATTTTCCTAACAAGACTCCAGTAACGAGTTAGATAGGGGGGGGTAAGACTTATGGTGCTCACTGTATAATATAACATTGTCTCTGAACATAACCTTGTAGACAACGATTGAAATGTCAGACACAATTAGGCATTCCAACGACCTGTCAAACAATAGGTGCCAGTGGGAAATTCTTGTATATTTAAGGGGGTAGCGACATAGTTTTGCAACTTGGACGCTATTTTTATTCGAAGTAGTACTCGCCAAGCCTGCCAATTTATGAAGAAATGTATAGGTGGGTTTTTTAAATATTATTTTTATTGTGTTTGACATAAAATATTTAAATGTAATCCATTATTCATGATTTTACGTAAAGTAGATAGAATACACCATATGTCGCCACTCTTAGATATACCAAACCTGCCCACTGGTAATTCATTTGTTTGGAATGCCTAATTTGTTACAAAAATATCATCGCCTACTAGGTAAGCACAGCGAAAAGAGAACAGCCCTCGTATAATCTAATTATTGTTTTTGAATAAAAAAAAATGTAAATTTTATTGCTCTATTAATTTTTTATTACCTTAGTTTTATAGAGAGGCGAAATGACAAAAGAATAATTACGAATATAAATACGTAATGAATTAAATTTAAGATCTTATGAAAACCATTCCATGATTTTATTGTCATTTTCTGAACATCCAAACCATATCATCGGAGTAGGCATTGGAGATTCTTCTGTTACCATTATCCAGTTGTTGTCAAATTTCCAGAATAGTCCACCCCTAAAGAAATACGTGATTCCTGAAACATTAAAATTGTTCCGTATTGATGTATTTTTGAAGTCAGATTAATGGAAATAAATTTCCAATGTTCCAATAGTCATTGTCAACTTGTATAGTAAACTAAAAGTCAGCGACCACCAGACCTACATTTTTAGTAGTTTGAAGGTTAAGATTTTTTTGTGTGTGCACTGTGCACATTATAGTAGTTAATAACGTTTGGGTGTTATGAATCTTGATTACAGGTGGGTTTGGTACTTTTGGTAGATACCAGGTCCTCAAGGTACCAAAAAATGTCAAAAAAATACTTATAGTATGAAAAGTTTTTTATAAAGTGCAGATAGTTTTCAACACCTTGAAAGCGCCTGGCAGACGTTACTCCCCCTTTCAAAATTATTTACATATATTAAAAAAGCTAAAGTAATTAAACCTATTTTATTGCAACTAACCCAAAAAATTTTGAATCAGTAGTTATATTAAATTTAACTAAATTATGTGTAATTTCACTAAATTAGATGTAATAATTTTCAATAAATTCCAAAACCTACTTATGTTAGGTTGGAAGTGGTAACAGGGCTTACACCGGCATGGATATTTACGTTGTTTATTATAAGCGCACAGCGACTTAAACATTTATTCATTGATAAAAATAACTTGTATCTGCGTAAAATTCTTCTCTTTATCCCTTCTTCTACTTCTCACCTTTCGTCGCCTCGCTCCGCGTCTACAAATAGAGTGTATCGATTGTCGAATTAATGTTGGCATCGTGAATATTATATTTTATCAATGAATGATTATATCTCTGTTATCTCTGGTTATTTATTACCTAACTACTATAATGTGCACACACATGGAACATCTTAACTTACATACTATAAAGTAGGCTATGACGTTAGGAAGAATTTAAATCTCCGAAATGCGTGTTATTTTTATGGTCTATTTTAGGAGCATTTTTTTGTGGATAACTTTATATTTTTAGTTATGATGAAAGTTTGATTTTTTTTTAAATTAATTCTCTCATAAAATAATGATACTATATAGTGTATGCGAATGAAAAGGTTAATAAATATACCATCTTTCCATGTTGTTGCAGCATCTAAATATGTTGGCACTCCTCTCCATCTTTGCATGTGTAAGGGGTATCCTGGGTCCATTTGTTTAGAAGTTTCATTATATCTCCAAAAACGATCGTTTTTATAAAAATACGTTTTTCCTACAAATAATAACTATAAATAGGTACTACAATTTTAATTGGGTTAATGTATTTTTAAAAGGTACATTGGTATTTGTAAAATATTACGCTATATTAAGTACCAATCTGTTTTGTGGTAGCAAAACATTCAAAATTTGATTTCTGGGAATTCATATTTAAACATGTTTAGGAACTTGGATAAAAAACAGGACAAAGGTCGGAGAAATTCAAAATAAAAAGATAATTTAGGCCTATTACTTGTGAAATTGTGAAATAATTAAGAAAGAAGGGGCGAAATTAAACACAGTACCTATTTGGATACAGAAATCTACGAGATGTACCATTAAGTAATCTTCATAGGCAAATGATGTAGTATTGATCGCAAATACAAAAACAAAATGCAAAACATAATAAGAATATCAGTATTAACCTATGCCTGCGAAAACTGAGTAATACGCAAAAAAATAAAATAAAAATGAATGCTATAAAAATTAAACTCCAAGGAAGACATAAAAATTAATTATATAGAAATGAAACACTTAAGGTATGACGAAAATATTAGTAAAATAACTAGAAATAATAATAAAAAAACAGTAGAAACAACAAAACTGATATTGATACTTGTTTTAAGAATACAGGCATAATAACAAGATCAATTTCAGAATTATGAAAAACCAGCTAAGAAACGAAGAGGAAAACCAAGAATAAAATGGATACACCAAATTAAAGAAATAGAAATGGAAAAATGAAAACATTAGCAAGAGAAAGAAAGGCTTGGAAAAGATAATTTACGTGAAGCAACTCACTATTTAAACTCCAGGTCTGAACAGCATCTAATTCAGTTAGATATTCCGGAAGACCATAATGCGTTAAAGGTTCGGGACTGCTTTCCAAAAACTTTTCGCCATCGTGTACCCAGAAAACGTTTCCTGAAATATAGCAACTTTTTACAGAATTATTCTTTTTGAGTAGTAATGTGTATAAAGATCAATATTACCGGTAAATAGAACTATCATTCCATCTGGTCGCTGATATGCAGCATTGATTTTTTTAATATGGTTTGGCAGCGTTGGAAACATATCTTGTAATTTAACTGGATATCCTTCTAATAATCTTCTCATGTCTTTGAACCGCCATATATACTAAAATATATTTATTCATTCATTATTTTATACTTATACCCAAAGGGCGTCGCTATATTTCTGATATAGGTAATTGAAAATGAAAATGCGGAAAATATTAATATTAATTGATACAGACACAGCAATGTGAAAAAATTTAAAACTTTACAAGTTCAGATAGAATGGTAAAATGTGGCGTTCCGCAATGTACTGTTCTGGGACCTATACTTTCTATGGTTTATACAAACAGTAATTAACCATGAAGCAGGTGGATGGAGAAATATTAAGCTTTGCAGATGGCACAGTTATTTTCTACTTATTAAATTCATAGACCGAAGTTAAACAAAAAAATTGAAGTGGACACTAATCAAATTATAGACTGATTTAATCATAAATTACTGACAATAAACTTCGAGAAAACCATGTTTTGTCTATAAACAGTTATATAAATTAGTTGCCAAATTATAAACAATTAGAAATAAATAACCATAATAATATAAAAATTAGTGCTGCTCAAAAAGTAAATTATGTAGGAGTGATTTAGATTTACATTTAAGGTGGACTGAAAATATAACTATCATTGCTTGGAAAATTTAGGTTTTTGAGTAAAATATACTAAGCCTACCAGTTTTAAAAATTCTTTATTACACAAAAAGTGGTTTAAATTGCTTTTAAAATGTTTGTATGACTTTCAAATAAGAGAATTGCCCTTGCAAGCATTTTTTATTCAGTAGTTCTACCCCATTCAACCTTTGTTATATTTTGTTCCTGTAAAGCAAGTAAATTGCGGCGACTATTTTGACATTTTTTTCTCGAAACTCCGGGTCAATAAAAGGCCGAACATTTTCAGATCTAACTCTGGATTTTATCTGATACCACATGTGTTCTATATAGGATTAAATGTACAATAATAAGGGCGAAGCCGTAGTGGCCCTATACAGTGTGGCCCAAATTCTGCCTACATGTATGGAGATCTTGAAAACTATATAGAGAAATGGTTATTATGATAACCCAAGTCAGCCATGAATTTTCACATGTCAAATTAATACGGCACGTTTTCCATGTTGACGACGCAACGCCGACGATTAGCACATTAGCGCGCAATATCTATGAAAACATTTGACGTCGTTTCCATAACAACACAAGTGAAACACTGCAAAATTATTATTGTTGTCAACTTGCCAAAACGGGAATAGTTTTGTTTATTTTTATACTAAAACAGTTCAGATTTGTTAAATATTGATGGAATACGAAGATTTAGAGTTTGAAAATACACCTCCAGATATTGTTCAAAATCTTTGTTACCAAGCACATCAAGACAAAAATATGAAATTGCTTACAGTAACTTTATGGATTGGAGAATGTCCAAGGTGAATGATTTTTCTGAAAATACTTAGTTTATTTTGAAAAGTTATCAAGAAAATTAAAAGCATCAACCATAATTATTAAAAACTGTGTTAATATATTAAAATTACGTAAAACTACGCGCATTTTTGAAATGAAAATCAGAAAAATATATTCCAAAACAGTCAAAAACCTTAACTCCTGAAGAGATTCAACAATTTCTAAAAGATGCACCTGATTTGCTGGTAAAAGTTTAATTAAAAAAAAAAGTTCTTATGGAAGATTGGATTTTTGGTTCTAATTTCAGACTGCTTTAGCTATTGGCCTTACAGAGAGAGCCATGCCGTTGTGATGAACTTCGAAAATTAAAAATTGATGACATGCAAGATTTCAATTCGGCCCTTTTAATAAAATTACCCGATAATAAACCCAAGTTCCTTAAAATCACACAATCACAGGAGAATTCTACCAAATTTACAAAAAATATGCAAACCAAAATGGCAAATGTACAAAACAGCCCGTGGGAATAAATAAATTTGGCACCATGGCGAAAGATATATGGAAATATTTTTGCAATTACCGAATCCGGAATTATATACTGGCCACTGTTTCCGAAGGTAATTTGCGACTATTTTAGTTAATGCAGGAGCAGACCTTTTAACTCTAAAACACCATGCGGGTTGGAAATCCAGCAATGTTGCTGAATCCTATGGGTGAGATTACAGAAAATGCAACACGTCTGCAACTTTGCAGATCTGCAAATATGGCGGACTTACAGATGCAAGATACAAGCAAGGATACTTAACTTCAGTATTAGAATTGAATCCCATCTAGTATATAGGTTCACTGAGTTACGTCATTGCCGGACCAGAAATTTATAAATTCTTGTGTTGTTCATACGTTTGGCTATAATGTATGGTGTGGTATGTATGGTGTGGTATGTATGGTGTGGTATGTATGGTAAGTAATTAAGTAATTTCACCTTCAATAGCAGGTATTAAGCCAACTTTACTTGGTTTCAACAAGACGGATGTTGTATAGAGAAAGTAAAAGTTGAAAAGTCTTTTGGTAGGTAGAGAGGGGGTAAACGTCAAACCACGTCGGGCGGCTCCGAGAATTTTACAGTAATGTTTACCTGCCAGTGTCGTTTCATAGAATAAGTAATTTTAAATTGTTATCGGCGGAACCGGACAATCGCATGTATTTATGGATTATAAATAATTATTAAACATGTATTATAATATTCAAATTATAATTTTACAAAATTTCAACAGCTATTCACAATTTATTAAACTATTTACTCGAAATTGTTATTAACATCTATAAAATAATTTTGTACGCCAATGTATCGCGACCACTTCGGTGAGATCCGCTGCCAACCTGTCAATTTATGTGTATAAAGTGGGAGAACTGGCAAAAGCATTTTCAACTTTTACTTCCGTTTTACATAATGTTCGGGCAATTTAAACTCTTAAGACAGACATTTGATAATAAAGTAATTTCAAATGGCGGATCAGTTAACTGACCTGCCAGATCCCCCGATATAACTTCTCTAGATTTTTATTTCTGGGGTTGTGTAAAAACTGAAGTATATGAGTTTAAACCTTCTGAAATCGTACAAGGAAAATTAGAAAAGAGATTGAGGTGTGTTTGTAAATATAAATAGCAACAATGTTCGCAGGATCACCAACATTGTGTTGAAAAAGTGACAAAAATGTATTAATAAAAACGGCCAACATGACGTGATATAAGTATTAGTAAGTGTTGCGAAAATAAATTTTCTTGTTTTTTAAATTAAATTCTTTTATTTACTAATAAGTGATACATTGTTGTAAAGCTGACATCAATAGCTATCTTCTTAGCTACCATTTGGGAACGCTAGAACGTCAGACAGCAGCAAGGCGGCAAATATTGCCTTACTAAAAGTGCTGCCGTCTGTCGCGCCTTCACAAATGTGTTTCATATAATTACATGACGTGAAGAGACCGCTTTCGGTCAACTTCGCTGTCGCTTTGCGCTTGAAGTCGGTCTTGGTCGCGTCTTCCCAAATTGTACCGTCAAGTATAAAATACAATATAGCGTCCATAAGAGAAAATGAACCTGATAATGGTATAAAATAACTGAAACGTCGTGTTTAAAATCCAATTGTAGAACTTAAACCTAAATAAAAAGTTATTTCAATTTTTTTTACAGATTGCCAAAATAGTGAACAATATAAAAGCTACAGTATAATTTCGAAAATGCAACTTTATGGTTTTTTAAAATATCTCAAAAACAAAAAGATAGAATCACGTACTAAGCGGCTTTAAATTGCAAATATATTCGTATACAAATTTTCCCATTTAACCGTTTCTCTATATTCTATGGTTTTCAAGATCCCCATACATATGGCCCAATTTATGCCACACTGTATAGTTATTTTCTACTTATCTCGAATTTATAGAAATTTTGTTTCTGTCTCATTCTTTCTACAAACTTTCAAGTCCATCAGATTCAATACTAGATACCCTCGTGTGCTAATACGAGCCCAAACACAAAAATGTTCGGACATCAACTGATTTTGCGAAAAAGTTTGAAAATTTCCTTAAGGAACCATTTGGGTAGGCGCGTCAAGAGACAATCGACCACTGAAGCGACCCCAAGGTCGAGTAGGACAACAGATGCATAAATGTTACGCTTGGTACATTTCGCAAGCTTGAGAAGTGTCGCGCGACACTTACAGGATACCCATTCGAGGGAACGATCAGCGTTGCCAGACCTACTGTTTTTGTCTCTAGCAAATTTTGTTCTTAATTTATTAAGTTTGCCTCATTCTTCAGCAAATGGTTAAAGAATATTTTCTCTAGTAAATTTTCTGCAGTAAAAGCAGCGTAATAAGCATCCACTACTCTAGGTTGGCTCCATAAAAAAAAACATCAAGATAATCATTGTTTTTATTTAAAATGAAACAAAGAATTAATAGGGCATCATAAAAAGAACATGCACACTACGATTTTGAATTATCTGATTCAGACTGATCTAAAAGAAGTAGGTACCTATTATTTTCGTACGTTAAGTATATATTAAAAATGTTATTATTTGTTTTTATTCTTTGTTTACCTTCTAAATTGGGTCGACAAAAAGTGTATTTTTCGTTTCTTATGTACTTGTTTTTTTATTTACTACACTGCAAATTTTAATTATTTCCCCCTGTATTAAAATCTACTCATCAGATCTACGGTTTTTTTTTACCCATACTGTTTTAAAATCTGGCAACGCTGCCTAGATCGAAAGAAATTTCCAACCGAATCACCCCCAAAAAAAAGCGATGCCGAGGACAGTGACCTCGAGTGCGATACGCAGCAAAGCTTTGCACCGAGAAGTGTCTCCAGGAAGTGTCGTCTTGACGACACTTCTCGTGTCGCGCCGTGCGAAATGTGTTTTATATAATTGTATGTATTTTAGATGTGAAGCGACACTTCTCGGTCGCGTCGGCGGGCGTATGTCGCATCGGCGGTCGTCTGTCGCGCCTACTGAAATGGTACACCTTGTTTTTCATTTATAAGACATAATATGTATTGTTTACATCATATTTATGAAATTGTTTTCAATTAAACTAATATTGATTAATAAAACTAAACTAATGTTGATAAAAATGCAATATTTGCTGACACAAATGTTCGGACACGTTAATAAAACAAATAATAGCAAGCCATGGAAACAAAAAAAAGTGTTTCTATTTTGACATTTTAACTTGAGAATTAATTCGATTATCAATTGGCTCCAAAATGTCGGCGTGGTAAAGCAACAAATGGTGCAATTAGAGAATTATTAGTAAAACCTTTCGGGATATTGCTAAACAAATAAATGTTGCAAAGTCCACGGTGTCAGATATTGTGAAAAAATATGGAGAAACGGTCAACTCAAATTTCAAGACATGGTGCTGGTCGGCCACGCAAAGTCACTTCCCGAATGCAAATATCTCTTGTTCGGATTTGTAAAACTGATCGCCGAAGTACTGTAAGGGAAATAACAGCAAAATGGAATGAAGAAATAATTGGAAATGTTTCACGAGAAACGTGTCGTCGCTGGATCCATAAGTCTGGTTTACATTTTTATAAGTTACGTAGGTTACGTTTAAGGAAAATCTCATATTTATGCAGTGAAATCATTGGTTTAGGCAAAAGAGAAGCCGTTGCTGACGGAAAAACAAAAGAAAAGACGATTAGCGTGGGCAAAGGAACGGGCAATGTGGACTTTTGAAGACTGGAAAAGAATCATTTTTAGCGATGAATCAAAATTTGATGTTTGCGTGGGTGATTATCGATCACGTGTTATAAGAAACAAAAATAAAGCTTTTCACAAAGACTGCCTAAAGAGAAAAATAAAATGTCCATCAGGTGTTATGGTATGGGGAAGCATGTCTAGTTTCAGTGTTGGAAAACTGCACTTTATAGACGGAATTGTAAACGCAGAAAAATATCAGAACATTCTTGAAACCAATTTGTTAGTGTCAATTCCAATTTTATCACCTGATGGAAACTTTACTTTTCAACAAGATGGCGCTTCCTGCCATACAGCCAAGACCACAAGAAAGTGGCTGCAGGACAACAATATTTCCGTCCTTGACTGGCCCTCCAGCAGCCCTGATCTAAATATAATCGAAACTGTATGGCACAAGATGAAGCAGCAATTAAGAAATTATCCATAGCGCAACATTTCTGATTTTCGGGTAAAATTGCAAAATATATGGGATTATTTTACCGCGGAAGATTGCGAAAAGCTTGTTAAAACTATGCCTGATAGAATAGAAGCTGTTATTAAGGCAAAGTGAGATACAACCAGTTATTGATGTTATTTGTCCGAACATTTATGTGTCAATAAATATGCATTATTATCAACATTAGCTTAGTTTTATTGATCAATATCAGTTTATTTGAAAACAATATAAATATGATGTAAAACAATACATATTATGTCTTATAAATGAAAAACATGATATTGAATCCCTTAAGGAAATTTTCAAACTTTTGCGAAAAATCAGTTGATGTCCGAACATTTTTGTGTTAGGGCTCGTATAACCTTAATTTCGTTAATAAATAAATACAATTCAAATTCCCCTTTTGATTAAGAAAAAATCGATGTTTTGATGTAAATGTTTTTATTTTATTCTCAACAAACTTACTTGATCTCGAAAAACGAACAATTCATCTCTTAGTGTTGCTATCGAATCTACATGACCGTCACATATATCTGGAAAACTCGGTGCATTGTTTTTTGGTATTCCATGGGTTTGATCGTGCTTTTTATGTACTTCAACCGATTCATCATCACCTGAATATGTAACCGTAGCATCTTCTTGTTCATGCCAATAAATAGTGGAAATGTCTGTATAGCTGTCCGTAACTGTGGTCGCAGAACTTGTCGAATATGGAGAATATTCCGTTGGTGACGAGCTAAAAAAATATATGAATCCAGAACATTTATAAAAGTGAACTGAATTATTTAAGACTATGATACATCAACCAATGACACTCCTCTTTTATTTCAATACTTGCCAATCAAAACAGACTGTATCTGAAAACACTGGATTGTGCAGTGTTTTTACTCAAACCCGCGACACGTAAATGTGAAGTTTCTCAAATAGGTGACGAAAAATATATGTACATTGTAAATAAAGAATCAACATCACTTTCGACTTCATCTTACGAAAACAAAGCAATTGTTGTTTATATTGTCAAATAATCTTTTTAAATACCACACAAACTGATAATTTTTTTGGGAACATTTTATTGTTTCCTAGGAAATTTGCATAATTTGTTTAAAAGTCCCACCTCTTGTGGTAGGTAAGGTTATATTTTTAACAATTTTATTTCATTTATATCTATTTTTGGCTGAACCGTTTATTTTGTTATCAAAAAATCCAATAAATCCTGCATATTCTGGTTAAAAAAAGAATAAAATATATTATATTATGTCGTCTACAATAAAATCCAAATAGTCGAAATGCACACTCTTGAGTGATATTCAAATTTAAAAATTATATAACGGGCCATGTTCACATGTGAGATATGCTGTTTTATAAACTATATTGTAATAGTTAGTCGCTATACAAGTTATTCTAAATAATCAGTTCGTTAAAAAAGCTAAAAGTTTTTAAATTAAGCCCAATTGAAATTTAAAATTTGAAATTATACGTCATCGGGAATAGACCAATCAGCTTGTGTCGAAGTTTTTTTTGTTTTACAAAACCAAGCCAACGAACAAACCTACATACAGAATGTCGAAGTGAACGCACATCTAAGTGACATTTAAAAATTGACAGCACCTAACAACTAACCTTAGTTTTTTGTTTTGGTTTAATTTTATTATTAATCTGAATTTATCTGGGTAAATTATCCTGTGGGATATAGGATATATAAAGGAAGAAGAATATGAATTTATCAGCTGTATTTATAAAAGTTGAATCAAGTATTTTTCCCATTGTAAACGAAAATATGATTACCGAGATGATTACTGCATTTTTTAACAATACTCAGTTTCCAAAAGATAGAAAGGTAAAACTTTATTTATAAATTGTTTTAATGGTAGGTAGTTACAGCTTATATGAAGCAGTACACTTTATAGTAAAACATATTTATCTCAGGTTTTATTTTTAGATCTGCCAAGCAAGAATATGGAGATATTTACTTTTTCCATAAGAGAGAAGGAGACAAATTACACCTAAACATAAAGTACAGCAAAAACCTTATGATGTGGCTGTTTTTTAGTGCACAATGCTTAGGATATGTTGAATCTCAAGGTTTGTAATATTTATTATGCTTTTTTGTTTTTATATCACATATAATAAACAGTATATAAGGCCCTTTATTCTTATAAATATTTTTTTTTCTAATTTTGACATAAAGAGACATTTTTTGTAATCGCAGCAAGTGTTAAAATAATCTAGAAATAGATTTTGTTAGTGAACCTAGTAATAATTATGATACCAAAGAATGCTGAGTTAAAACATGCCATATTTTTAGGCTATTTTTATACCCTTTTCAAAAATTTTATGCTCCTCGTTTTATGCAAAACTTAAAATGCTCTTATAGCTTCGAACGAAGTCAGCAAAGCACCTCTGTTTTATAGTTTTTTCTGTAAAAACAGCAACACCATATATTTATGCACTTGAAATATTATATTTTTAAAAAATACATGGTGCTTGCTAACCTTCGAAAGAAGCCAGCACACCCCATTTTTAGACTCTTGAAATATTGTAAAACTTTACTAAAAAAATTGCTATTTTTAAATAATACAGGGTGCTTTGTTGGAACAAAGTCAGCAGGACACTTCAGTTTTTTAATATATAAAAACAACTACTTATGACACATGTTTAGGCTGTTTTAAAATCCTAAAAATGTGGTAAGTATATTTGTTTTCAGAAAAAAAACTTTGAAGTCAGCAAGGAATTGCGAATTTTTTTTAAAAATGTCAAATTTCGAATATTTTATAATATTGTAGGAGCCAAAAAATGTGGTGTGGTTTAAAAAAAAACTGGGGTGCTCTGCTGGATTCGTTTGAAGCTAACAAAGCATCCCGTAATTTTTTATTTTATAATACTCAATAGCCTAAAATGAGACATAGCTGTTTAAACAAAAATGGTACTTTTAAAAATAGCAGTTTTTTTCGAAAAGCTCTATAATATTTCAAAAATGTGAAAATGTGGTGAGCTTGTTTTTTTTAAGTTTTGAAAATCAGAGGTTCTTTACTGGATTCGTTCAGAGCTAGTAAAGTGCTCGTCTTGTTACATAAAATAAGGCATTTTGTAGCTGGTTGTATAGTTATTTTGTAACTGCATATCTAACCCTTTTATTTTTTTCAGGAGGTTGTAAACATGTGGCTTCATAGAAGAAGTGAGGAACCATCTGTAACATCTACTCAGTGTTATTGATAATGATGTACACTTGGCTAGATTGTTAAAGAAACCTCTTCATCCACTACAGGAAAATAAATCAGTACTTTTATATTCTTAGGATTTGTATATATTTTTTATTTGTAAATAAATTGTTTTTTTACTTCATTTTTCTCATTTTTTATTAAAAGGTTAATAAATAAAATTTTCACAGATTTTTATATTTTTGTTTGTAAACAATAATTGAAGTTTTTATTAAAAATCACCAATGTTAATAATAATAACTTAAGTCAATATTATTCTTTCTCCTTTTTTAAAGCCACTATTAATAAAGGTATTACTTTAGCTTGACCTATGATCAATTTTTAATTTTGTGATATATTTGGTTTGACAGAAAAAAAATTAAAACCCTTTGACATTGGTTGTTTTTACTTAGATTTTCATAAAAAATAAACGGAACTGCAAACATGTTTTACTATCGTAATAACGAATAGCATCATGAAATTTTTTTTTCACATTTATCACTGTTGTCATTTTCATAAGAAGGCACACTTTCTGGTTTTTTGAAAAAGGTGGCAAGCATTGTGATATTTTTAAATTTATCACCAGTGATACCACATGTAGTTACCCGATTTATTGGAATATATAGACTTTGCTACCACATTCAACTGAACTTGGTTTTTAATATTTATCACTGTGACATCGTTTTTGTTAAAATGTTTCATTTTAAACTGCTGTAAATAGGTGCCTTTGTTTTGGTAGTTTTAGTCCCAAAAAAATCTATGCATATACAGGTACTCATTCCTCTTCGATTTGCTCGAAAAGTTAAATTTTTATCAAAAATTACATTGGCTGTTTAAAAACTCATTATAATCCCTGAAATGTGATAATTAGGTAAATTAAATTAAAAAACAAACAAAAAAGTTTATTAAATTAATATTTACTCTTACAAAATAGGTTCTTGTAAGTTAACAAGCAATTATGCAGATATTACTAAGTAAATGTACTTGCTTAAAATTCACACACAAATGTGGTTTTAACATGTTAAATTAACTAACCCTTCTTATAACTCTTTCCACATGTATTCTTAGAGATGCTAATCTTTTACTTAATTGTACATCTTCTGGAGAAGTTTTTTCATTCTGTGATACACTAGGTGTGGCTTTACTAAAGTGTATCCCATGTTTTCAAGTAGCTGATTATTCTGAAACCCCTATCTGCCATTATATGGGATCCAGGAACCAGTTTGTTTAAATACCCACATTTTTCCATTATTTCTTTATCACTAGTTCTTCCACAAAATGATGAATAAATTCGGTATCTTCAAAACTTTCAGGAGATTCTGCATTTTCTTCCAGAAGGGTTTTTAGGTTATACACCTAAGAATTTATAGTAGCCTTATTTTCAATTTCCTGAAGGGGACAATTAGCAGAAATTGCTGCTACATCTTGATAATCCGGTGTATTTTTATTAAAAAGTTCACGAGAAACATCGCTAGTGTAGAAGGTTGATTTTCTTCTTTCCAAATTTCTAGGAACACTAATAAATATTTTTGAAGATGAATGTGAATCATTATCACATTCTGGAACAAAACACTTTTTCGTAGTCATAATATTTATAAAAAGTACAAAATTAAACAATCAAATTCCAAATAAATTCTTGATGGAGACACTATGATGACAGATGCCATACACAGTGCTGCCATTTTGCCATTTTCTGAATTATTAAGTGACTTTTAAAACAATGAAACTTTAAATATGGTAAAAGTTTAAACAGAAATAATACTTTAAAAAAACATTTGATATTATATATTTAAAAGATATTTGTTTAACGATGTTTTAGAAGTCTAAAAGTAAGAAGGAGTACACAAACGAACGTACATCACTTCTCGTAAACCTTCTAGCCGGCAACGTTGTGCGCTAGCTCCTATTGGTCTATTCCCGGTGACGTCATAAATTTTAAAAAAATTCATAACTCCGGCAAATGAATAGATAAAAAAAAAAATAAAAAAAATGTAATTTTATTTTCAACTCTATTATTCATAAAAAAAATTTCAAAATTTTTGAACATGCCCCATTATTACCTTACCTAGTCGGATCAGTTTCTACTGTCGACTGTTCTGATGAAGACTCAGTTTCATCATACGACGTAGTAACTGTTGAGTATTCGTCACTGTCATTATTGCTTAAAGCTTTTACTTTATCTTCTTTCAAAATTCTTCGTACTAAAATAATTGTAACTTTTAGAATATTTTGGAGCTTTTATAATTTTATACTTACTATACATATCATACATCGCTAAAATATCATCGTAGCCCAACTGAACACCTGATTCAGGATCTTGATAATAGGGAAACATGATTGAACTTTGTACTGGGGAATGTGCTAGACCTAAGGAATGACCTAGTTCGTGAAGGGCCACCGTATAAAAATCTGTTCCTTCTGATAAATCGCCTGCAACCGATTTATCAACCCAATTTTCATCTGCATCAAAATGGATATCGCCTCCTTGATCATCTTGTTGGTGAGGAAAGAAAGCGTGTGCAAGTATACTACCGGGTCCATCAAACGGATTACTAATTAAATTAAATAAAGATAACTTAATTACCATAAATAAAATTTATGGGAGAGTCGGTGAATCCAGGACTGTATTAGTACACTCATAGAGTTTGTGCGTTCTTCCCGACTCACCCTGTAGATAAAAATTAAATAGAGTGTCTACTCACTTGTCTCCATGATATCCTTGAGCAAATGCAACTATAATATCTGCGTCCTGAGAATATTTTCGATTAAATTGAAGCCTTCCGTAACCACCCCAAACATCAAGGGCTTTCTGAATATTTTTTTGGACTAATTCTTCTCCGAGATTCGGCGACCAATTTGCTAGGCTAAAAATCTTTAAGGACTTAGTTATTCACATCCTAAGCATAATACTTAATATTTCAGATAGGTATTCGTTTTTAAAGCAGATACCCAAAGGAAAATTACATTGTAGATGAAGTATAAATTAAATTTGTATATCAGAAGAACTGATCAGGCATGGATTTTGTCTTATCTTCATAAAAAAATCGGTGCATAATGAAATACGCTGGTTTAAACACATTAACAAATTTTATTTATTTGAAAAACATTAAACTTTGATTATTCTTATGACAGAATATGAAATGTATAACTTTCTATTTAGTGATGTATACAACGACCATTTCAAGTCTGATTGGCTAGAACTTTAACAGTAAAAAATACTTTGTTGCAACACCTGATTGAGAGGCATTGCTTTAATAAAGAGACACAAGATAGTATTATCCTTTTTTTCATGTCTGTGTGATTCACATCGCATTCAGATGTTTTTAATTCGTGTTGTAGGTTTACCTTGCAATTTGCTGTTACAAACTTGGTATGCGACAAGTCTGGTTTATGTTTCTTAAGTGTTTAAATGCAAACGAAGTTGTATTTAAACAGTTTGACTATTAACCCTACTAGAAGTAGATCTAATAGTCAATCTTAAGCATTCTCTTATAATACTTACAAGTAACTAAGATTTCTCTTCTCCCACCCTTCCGGGCCAAGTATATATCTTCTTTTTCGGTTTGATTTAATTATATCAGGAACTCCGCAGCGAGGTAAAGTGATCAGCTGGAAAAGTCAATAAAATTAAAAATGAAACAATAATAATAGGTATACTTTATTGCCAGAGAAATAATACAAGATTCCATAGACAAAGTTTAATAATAACTAGTCTTCAGTTCGCCTATAGTGGTTAAAATTCGACCATAATCATTATTGAAAATTTAAGGAAAACATATATGCAATATTTTCATGTGTCTAATATTCGTTCATTGTATATCTGAGACCATAAACTTTTATAATTATGTACAAAATAAATTTAATAAAAAAACAGTAACTCACAATTTAAAAACCATTACTTTTTAATTATCTATACGTCAAATATCTTAAAATACCCGAATTATAAAAAAAAAATTCGCCTCCTTCTAAAACTTAGGGGGGGGGGGCAAAGTGACTTGTCCTTCAGGGAATCATAATGGTCCCTTCCAAAGAACGTCCAGACAATATAATACCGTTTTAATCATTAATGTCCTCTATTACATTTATAATGAAAGACGGACCTCAGAAAGATTCATTAGAATTCTTAGAGTAGTTGCCGACATTCTGAATCAGCTACCAAATAATAATTTTTGGTACCAGTTGGATGTTGCCCCAGCACATTCAATATCGAGAAATTACAGCATTATTTGAAGACCGATAGATAAGTCGAAATGGTCCTTGGCTTTGATCTGCAAGATCGCCAGATCTAACTCCTGTAAAATTTTTTATGCTGTCATATTAAAAATTTTATATACTCTATCCAAATAAATACAAGAGAAGGATTAGAGCAGATAGTTCGGAATGCGTTTAACGAGGTAGATGGTGAAATTATTCGTAAAGCAACAACTAATCATGTTGAAAAAAGATTGTTGAAATGCCCGGAATCTAATGGGGGGCATTTTAAACACTTGCTAAATGATTTTTTCTATACCCACATGGATATTAGCTTATCTACGCACATATTACAAAACGAAAAAGTATGCTACCCAGCAAACACACTTACGTACATAAGACGTACTATGTACGTACTGATGGGACGTAAAGTACGTACCATGTACGTACTTTACTGTACGAAGTACGTACATAATACGTACATTTTCCAAACGACGGTACGTACCTAGTACGTACTTAAAGTACGTACTCTGTACGTACCTAATGTACGTACTCTGTACGTACATAATGTACGTACTCTGTACGTACTCTGTACGTACCTCATGTACGTACTGTGTACGTACTATGTTTGTACTTATTCCAATAGAGTATATATTTTAAACGTACTTTACATCCTTATTGGTACTTACTTATGATGTATAATGTACGTATTAGTGCAATAAAAAGAAAAGTAAACAAGTTAATTTGTATTTATTTAATTTTTTACATTAAAAGAATAATTTAAAAAGTTTTGCTATCTTTTTGAAAGTTTTTAGGCTATCATCAGCTCCTCTTAGCCATCTCACAATTTCCTGTTCTACAAACTTCTTCTCTTTGTATTTGTTACTTTTTATAGCACCTTCTGCAAAGAAATAATATCAAATTAGAAACTTAACTTTGGTACTTTTTATAATAAACAATATAATAAAAACAATACAACAAAAAGATGTAGAGTAAAGTAAGCGATAGTTTCTACAGCTAAAAATTATCATTGTCAATATACTCCTGGATCTAAACCTCTCTTATTTGTATCCACCTGTTTTGGCCTTATGCCTTTGAAATCCAATTCGTTCCTGCCACTGTTCTATAATATCGGAACGCCTTTTGTTAAGCTAGATCTCCATCAGTTTTAAAGTTCAATGGTTGGAAGTACACAATTTCATTAGATACAAAAATAATTGTGATTAGATAGATGGGTTTTAATGCAACGACTTTATGAAAACTGGCATGCAAAAATAAAAAATTAAAACAACTTACCCACTTCAACTGCAGCCAATTATAATTTGTTGCCAGCTTATTAGTTATTAAGGCACCAGCAATAGTCCTTTTGACAAAATCCAAAATTAAATTATTAGGGTCTGTAAAATATCACTTCTTTTGTCTAAAATATTAGATACCTCCTGTTTATTCATTTCCTTAAACTTTTTTAATTGTTTTGTAGCATTTTTGTAATGTTTACTATGGGATGGGATGACATCTATAAATTATATTTATTACAGATAATTTTTTAAAATTAAAATGAAACCACTCACCAGAATAAAATGACGAAACTACGTACTTATAACACGCACTAAAAAGTCTAAATAATTGTCTTGTTCAATTATAATAAATTATACACAACTATTTGTTTAATGAAACACTTAATAGTTAAATCCTAAACATGAAAAACTAACAAAAACGAGCGAGTTTAGTTTAGAGTTTAGGTTAGGTTAAATAAATTGGAATTCGTCTTTTTTCTGTGCATTTTTTGGCCTACGGTCAACAGAAATTTGGTAAAAACATAGGTTTTTTAATAAAATAGGTATGCAACCAGGATTACGTACACTTAGGTACGTACTTAGTACGTACTTTTCTGTACGTACTGGTACGTACTGTTGTGTACGTACTTAAAACGTACATTTTACGTCCTGTACGTACAGTACCAAAACTGTACGTACTTAAGACGTACTGTGCTGTTTGGGTATTGCCTTCAACTGAACGAATATATTTTATCTCCATTCTAGGTGGTGAGAAACTGCAAAAAAATGAAATCCACCAACCATAGTTCATATTTTGGACACCCAACTACTATTATTTTTAAAATTTTAAATAAGTTACAATCCTGTCAAACTAATTGTCAGTATATTTTTTAATTAAGATTAAATATACATTAAAATGAGTTATTTTTGTGTAAAATCGATAAATAATCGTAAATAATAGCATTTCTATTTTTATTTGAACCATATTTAAAAAAAAATTTAATCAAACTATTTGAAACTATTTTAAATACGAGTGTTAAAACCAAAATCGTGGTCGTAGAGGCATGGACAGAGTGCTTGACTTCCACGCGAAAAGCCGGTTTTTTTATATTTATTTTATTTTAAAAATCAGTAAAATTCAATTATTTTAATTATTTTGTCTCAATAACCTAAAATATTTTTTTTAATTTGTAGATTTCCGTTAGTGGGTCGCAGAAAAAATATACTGTACAACTCAACCCAGGCAACACACCAAATCCCAGAGATATCCACAGAATATCTTTTGTGGATATCCAATGCATCCACAGGATATCAGAAATATCCCGTGGATCTAATATGGATTTCCAAATGTACGTCTATATCCAGAATATAGAAGATATCCTATGGATATTTAACAAAATATCTAATGTGTATCTCCCAGACAATGCAAGAAATCCCAGAGATATCCACAGAATATATTTTGTGGATATCCAATATATCCAGTGGATCTAATATGGATATCCAAATGTCCGTCTATATCCCAGGATATAGAAGATATTCTATGGATATTCAGCAAAATATTTTATGGGTATCTTTAGTAGAGGTTCATAAGTAACCAATGATTATTGAATAACGTCGAAAGAAAATAGCAGAGATAGATAATATTTTTAACACTCTGCCTTTGATTTTGCCCACTAAGGAGAAAGTCATCCTTATTAGGACTCTTCAGCAATAAATAGAAATTCTCGACTCCAGTCTCTAATTGAATCTGGTTGCAATACCAATTTCGATCGAACACAATTACGGCGGGTTGAGCATGAGTAGATATTCAACGAGCATAAGTGGTATCGCCATCTATACTTAGTAAGCAAAATCAAAGGTCGCTGTAGTACCTAGTTCAAAGACTAGGTGGAATAAAAGCCAGGCGGGCTATTCTTAAAAAAGGAAATAATTCTAGTCCTTATAAGAACGAAACCGGTCCAAGAATGACTTTCTTCTTAGTGGGCAAAATCAAAAATTATATCTAGTGGATATCCACCATGGTTTGCGTTCGCGCATTGACTTTGATATATTTAGTGGATGTCCATGGGATATTGAATACACCTTAAACAAATTAATTTTAAATATCTGAACGGTACTATTAGCCACAATGACGAGCACAATGGCGTAATTTGCTATATAATTACTATTATTTATGGACATATGCATGTCTATAAATTACATCTCATGGATATAAAATAGATATCCACCATGGACTGGACATTCAGTGGATATTGTGATGTCCAGTAGATATCCAAAGGATTTGGTGTGCTGTCTGTGGAGTGGTTTTTCCATATCCACTCTTGTTGCACAAACTACTATTAAAAAGTACATCCCTCTTGTTAAAATATTAAGTATCTGATAAAAATAGTACCTGAGATAGACGGCTTTAAGAAAATGTCTAACAGCGACTAAAAATTTTAAAAAAATTGGCAAATGAGGTATCATTTTTTACAGAATTATATGCTGAATATCAAATTTAAAAAAAATATAGGGTATTCCATTTAAAATAACGAAGTTAGTGCTCACTTCCGGTATGACATAGTTCATTTTATTTTAATTTAAGAGAGCATATATTCGATTGTGTATAACCAGATATTGGCGGAAATACAAATTAATTTATTCTCCATAAAGTTGTAATGCCCGCTTTACGTGGGACACGGTGTATAGATAATAATTATAATTATAAAACTTTGAAAGTTATTGAGTTTTGTTTCAAAACGAGATAAGTACTCTTGGAAATGTATTCGAAGGTTTTGGATGTGATTCCATCCATCATTAGGGAGAACTTAGTGATAATGTTAAAAATTATTATATAAATATAACTAGAATTAAATACAGAACAGTAGGAACATGCTTCACGATATGACGATACAAAATGAACGAGTAGATGTATAGTAATTTTTTTAACCATATTAATTGACTGACAGATATTTAGATGTCTCTAAAAAGTCAATTAACCTAATGTAATAGGCTGTTTAAAATATTTTCGCAAATTGTGTTTGAATAGAAATGTTCCTATAAATCATAATGTCATAAATAGAGCCTTTGTTTTTAAATACAGGGATTGATTTGGACATTTTGAAGTCTTTAACAAAAGATTTGTTAATTAATAGACAAATAATCGGAGATATTAAATGTGCTACAAATTTTACCACTTCGCCACTAATCTCATTAATACCGGCACATGTTTTTTTGTAGGTACTGGTTTTAATTAAGATATTTTCACTATGGATATGAGGAACTTTGTGTATACTCTTATTAGGGGATACCAGTAACTTACCTTCTGTGTAGCTTCATCAAAAACACCAGTTTCGTTTATTCCTCCAAATCTTTGCATCACTTTAATTATTTCTGATATACCACCTTCAGTATATAACGCCTCAGAATGACCATCATCCATTTGTAGGTAACCATATTTTTTCATAAAATCTAACTAAAAACATAAAATTATTACTTGCTATATTATATCTTAAATAAGATTGCCATTTAGAAAAGATTTTCAACTTAAAAGTTTTAGAAGAAAATAAACATATCAATCTGAGAAATCCTACTAATATTATTAGAACTGTTTTAAAAAACAAAAAGAGATCTAAATTTTTAGGGGGTGTCCATCATGTGTTTTCAGTCGATGAAGAACTTAGAAAAGATAGGGAAGGTAGGAAAATTGTTTTAAATAAAGTCCAAAAAAAGGAAGAGTTATTATGTAACGTGCAAAGAAGAGCGATAAAGTACTTAGCAAAATCAATAGGTAGAGGTTAGATGGAATGAGTTAACTTGACTACCATTGGATAAAATTGAATGGAAGAAAATTAAGACGACTCAACTCAAAAGTAAGAGAGGTATGAATGGTAATAGCTGCAAGCGAGTCCATTCTCTAGTGACAGCGATTCATTTCTTGCCAAATATTGGTAAGCAAAGTTCGTAGATATTGGGGTCTATTCTGTAAAACATCCGTTAAAATTTGAAGGCGTTTTTTAAATGCAATGTAGAATTTTACCACCTAAATACATGGATACAAATCAATACATTTCATTATTAAATACTCTTACCGCTTTAATGGAAGGGATTTGATGATTTTTATTTTGACTTGGAGCACTGTAACCATAATTCACGAAATCAACAAGCACCAAATAACACAAAAATTCAACGAACATTGTAAAACAAAAAGCAATGAACATTACAAAACTAAACAGTAGAACTTGAAATGCCAATGAGATTTAACAGAAATGTGACTCAAATTAGTTTCTATTGAAACATTGTTTGTTTTACGACACATTGATAAGCCGATTAAAACAATTATTTAACATTTTTACAGTGGTCAAATGATTAAAAAGAGTTATATATTTGTCATCGTATCTAAGAAAATATTTAAATGTTTTCAAGGCTATTATTGAAATAGTATGAAATACTATAAAATTTAGTATAAATAAGATCTCATTTGTATGCTAATTAATGAAATATGGTAAATAAGATCAATAAAATGCTCATATCATATAATCGAAAAGCACGTTTAATCTTTCTTTAGAGGATAGTTATGTGGTTAGATGACAAACCCGGATATGTTGAAAAATGTATATCATATGGGATTTTCTCCACTTTCAAGTACTAAAATATGTTATATCTGGTTTTGAACATTCATATTCATACGGAAAAGATATTCGCCAACGTTCATGTAGGTACAGGTTAAAATGAACAAAAATTAAAGTAACCATGTTTTGAAAAGTAGAAAGCGGGACAAAATGACAACAGGGGGATAGAAACTAAATAAAAACTATGAAAATGCATCAACATTAAAATATTATACTTACAAATAAACAAAAATAATTAACTATTATTTATTAAACTTGGGAAGGAATCCAACCTTATTAAACAAAACCAAAAAACTAAACCCTAATAACTTAGTTGGTTATATTTTAAATTTATTACAAAAATTATTTCTTTTTTTTATGTATACTGGATACAAAATTATGTTGTATTATATTGTCACATCACCATTGAAATTGAATCTTTAGGCAGCTTAAATAAAATATTTGTGGTTATTTTTTTAAATCGGACAAAAGCGGGACAAAATGGGCCCCAGTTAAATCGGGACTAGTAGTTTAAAATCGGGACCGTCCCGCCTAAATCGGGACGGATGGTCACTTTAACAAAAATAGACATATTTATGGTTTTGTCATCTAACCATACAGAGTTAATTTAATTTAAAATCAACAAGTCGATATAATTCGAACTTCAACACGTATACTTTTGACCTAACCTTCGGAATTACAGGTATAATCAACCTTGCGAAGGTATTATTTGCCCATATACAACAAAAGAGGACAGTTAAAGGTACCATTTCGGAATGCGCGACAGACGACATACGACAGCAGACGCGACGGCAAAGGAGACCAAGAACGGTCTCTTCACGTCTGAACACATGCAATTATATGAAACACATTTCGCAAGGCGTGACACGTCCGAGAGACAGAAGTCGACGACAAATAGATCCGTAGACCAATAGATCAGTCTCGGGGTAGCGTTTTCTGCCTGCCTCGCTTAGTCATCGCTTGTATTTCGCGGTGATTAGTCGATATTTTATAGAAATGGTACTTGCGAAGTTCTATCCTGAGCAGTGTTGCCAGATGAACATTTGTTGGAACAGTATGGATGAAAAAAAAAAAAAAAACCGTAGATTTAAACAGTAGATTTTAATACAAGGAGAAATAATTATAATTTGTAGTATAGTAAATAAAAAAAAATATTTTTCTATCCAAATTACAAAGTAAACAGAGAATAAAAACAAATAATAACATTTTTAATATATACTTAACGTACGGAAACAAAAAATCTGATGTGTCCAACACATGACTTTCCTAGTTATTATAGGCTTTTTCCGGTTATTTTGTACAACCTATTGTAGCACCTCTATAAATGTTTAGAGGATAAACTAAATATATACATTTTCCACATACATCTAACTCGAAACATTTTTCTATAGATAATCATTGAAAACGAAAACACTGAAAAATTTAAATTTAGCACTTTTCCTCCAATTTTTCCATTACGGTCCATTTTAGAATAATCATGCAAAAACAAAAATTATAGAAATCGATATCGCAAACGACTTTTAGTTTAACAATTTTCTTAAAAATCAGAATTTTGCACATTTTGTCAAATTTCTCGAACACGGACCATTTTAGGAAAATTTGACAGAACAAAAATTATAGATAATAATAGAAGTAACTTTTATTTTAACAATTTTCTTCTCCAAACATAAATAACATATATTCCATAAAGTATAAAAACGGCCTCGCATAAAGTACCCCCCATATGTTCCGACTTTGTCCAAAATCTAATCATTTCACGTCAGGCCGAAATAAAACTTAAGTTTAAAATTTAATGTTTTTTCCTTTATCCGTTTTTGTGTTTCCTTCAAAATTCGAAATTTACACATTTTCTCAAATATCTCGAATACGGTCCATTTTAGAGAAATTATAGAGAATTATATTACAAACAACTTTTAATATATTTTTACATTTTGTAAAATTTCTCGGATACGGACCATTTTAGGAAGATTTTGTAAAGAACCAAAAATATTACTAATAATATTGTAAGTAACTTTTATTTGAAGAATTTTCATCTCCAAACGTAAATAACAGATATATTCCATAAAATATAAAAATGGCCACCTATAAAGTACCCCCCCAGATGTTGCGACTCTGCCCAAAATCTAATCTGTTCATTGGATGCTGGAATAAAGCTTAAGTTTAAAATTTGGTGTTTGTATCGGTTCATGAGTTATGATTGATACAGAGACACACACACAACATACACACAACACACACATAACACATACACAACACACATACAACACACATACAACACACATACAACACACACACAACACACACACAACACACACACAACACACTCACACACTCACACACTCACACACTCACACACTCACACACTCACACACACACACACACACACACACACAAACACACACACAAACACACAAACACACACACACACACACACACGCACATACACACACACACACACACACACACACACACACACACACACACACGCACACACGCACGCACATACACACACACACACGCGCACACACACACACACCCACACACACACACACACACACACACACACACACACACGCACATCCACACACGCACGCACACACACAAACACACAAACACACACACACACACACGCGCGCGCACACACGCACGCACGCACACATACCCACACACACACACACACGCACATCCACACACGCACATCCACACACGCACGCACACACACAAACACACACACACAGAGAGAGAGAGAGAGAGAGAGAGAGAGACATCATCCCGAAAATAGTCAAAACGGATTCGGGGACCCCAAAACATAAAAATCCGTCGAAAACTGGAGGTCGAAAAAAATCATGATTCCTATATTTTCCTTATCTGTATACAAATAGGAAAGTAAAAAGAAACCAATAAAAAATAATAGGTATTTCTTTTACATCAGTCTGAATCATATAAATCAAATACGTTGATGTCCTATTAATTCTTTGTTGCATTTTAAATAAAAACAATGATTATCTTGAGGTTTGTTTTGTGGAGTAAACCTACAGTAGTGGATGCTTATTATGGTGCTTTTACTTCAGCAAATTTACTAGATAAAATATTCTTTGTCCATTTGCTGAAGTATGAGGCAAACTTAATAAATTAAGAACACAATTTGCTAAGTTGGCGCAAACAGTAGATTTTATGCCTAAAACAGGAGAACATAGACAAAAACAGTGAATCTACTTATAAACACTAGTTCTGGCAACACTGATCGTTTCCTCGAATTGTCTGCGGTTGTCGCGTCGCCTGTCTTCTTGCTTCCCAAATGTGTGAAGCGTAACGTATATGCATCTGTCTCCTTTGTTGTCGCGTCTGTTGTCGTCTGTCGCGCCATTACAATTTAAAGTGATTTAAAGGGATTCCATGGGTGGCGCCGGATTATTTAACTAGTATGTTGTGTTCAGATTATTCTAATGCAATTACGGTTTAAATGTCGACTTGTATTAATTGATTTCATTTATTTAGTACTAGACTTATTTTTATTAATAAACTTTATAATTTTGATATTAAACGACGTAGAATGTGAAAAATTTCGTACGCGCATGATGCTATCGTTCCATCCACATACCAAACCGCATCGGTGCAGACACCAGCAGATAGAAAAACGTAAACATTTATAGAAAACCTTCATTCTGGTTGTTTCACAAAGGTCAAATTTTTCGCGAGAGCAGTGTTGTGCTTTATGTGAGCAAAATATCGGCAAAGATATTGGACTAAAATGAATATATCAAAATAAAAATATTTAATATTTCATTTTACTTTCTTGTGGGTAGTTTATTTAATTTTTATGGTTGTCTGTGTCTGTCAAATTACGTGATGTTCCTTTTTTAATCATTTTGGGATATTTTCTAAAACATCAAAAATAGTATTCATCATGAAATACAATTGTATACGGATCACATTGGCAAAAGTCAATGTTTCTATGGAGCAAAAAGTTATTATAAGACTATAATAAAATCTACTAGTTTCGGGAAAACTTTTGCATTGATGGTTAATATAGTATAAGTCATCCATTTAAAACACATAGGGTGAGTCATAACTATTGGGACATAGAGTTAACGTAGATTATTTAAACGGTAGAAGATCAAAATAAATAGCGGAAAAATTAACGAATTACCTAACTGCGGGCGTTATATTATAATAAATAAAATATATTTAAAATAAATAAACAGCAATAGTATTATTTTTTTAATTTTAATATTTTTTTACAAAATAAAAAGATATAATATTGTTTTTATCTGAAATTGAAACCGTAAGTTTCATAGCATTCATTAGCTATGTCATTAGCCCGCTTAACTTTGGATTTTTTGTCCCGGGTTCAATTTGCAATATAAAATATGCAATCAAACCACATGACATCTCTAACCTTCAATAGACTCTTCCTGGTCGACTGCAACTGGAACGAGGTAAATTAAAAGGTAGATAAATACTTGCTTAGGAATCTTATTTGAGTCCCTGAATTTGGGGTAGGCATTACATTTTATATGTCAATCAAGTTTATATTTTTTAATAAAATAGGTGTTAAGACAGTTACATTTTAATTGTATGATACAACTTAATTTTAAAAATTTCATAGATCTCTTTTTTTATTAAATAGTATATTCTTCGGGTTTTAATTTAACCAGCTTCTTTGAATATTCAAATACTTCCTTGCAAAACTCGGTATTGGTAGTTTGAAACGGCATTAGAAACTGACGACATTCTAAAAAAAATTTTCCTGTAACATCTTCAACTTTCTTATCACACGCCAAATGGATAGCTGTTTGAGCAGCCTCTTCAGTACTCTGCAAAAGAAAATATATTTTAAGAGTGCCCTTCTTTTCTTATTTGTAACTGTTCTATGTTTTGAATTTGTTCACAGCTCACACAAATTATTACTGACAATGTCTGGAAAGTTATTCAAATCATTGAAATGCACGATTCAAGATAATTATATTAATGTTAAAAAACATTGATTTTATTTTTAAAAATTAAATATTATATATCAACCTTTCCAAATGGTATTGTAAGCAAACCCAATACAATGGGATAAAGTGAAATTTCATCATTAACGGCCTTCAGAAAGATTCCTGATCTGGCCGCTCCGGGATGAAAACTATTTACTGTCACATTAGAGTCTCGTAACTTTGAGGCAAAATGCTTGGCGGCTACGGCTAGAAATAATTTCGACTTCAGATATATTTTGTAAGGATTTGGATAATTTTCTCTTGGATCCAAATCTTCTAATTTGAGTAGAGTGAAAAAACAGCCAATGGAATTGGTGAATATAATGCGACTAGGTGCAGATTTTTTCATTACATCTGAAAAAGTTAACAAATTATTAATGAGTAGTATTGGCAGAGTATCAGTATATTAATGACAATGAGACCAATCTGATATTTGTTTTGGGACAAGGTACATTGTATGATATTTGTGCACACATTTTTCACACCTCATCGATACTAATAAAATCAGTGAATAATTTTCATTTTACGGGTCACTGAAGATAAGGTCTTCCGAAAACCATTTCTTAGTATTATACGAGGCTTGTTCAATCAAAACATATCTTTGGTAAGGTTAACCTTGGAAACAATTTTGATCTCTCACCTGACGTTTTGCAACAGTAGTACTCATAGTATATACAATCATGATATCAATCAGCTTACCTAATAGAAGATAAGTCAATAAAAAATGGCCTAAATAGTTGATTTGCATTGTCCGCTGTAAACCATCTTCAGTGAATTTTAATGCAGTTGAACCTATGCCTGCATTATTAATTAAAATATCTATTTTTGGTTGCGTCTCCTTTATGTATTCCGCAAATTTTCTAACTGAATTTAATGAAGCCAAATCCATTTTTTTAACAAAAATGTTTTTATTATTTGTTTCTTCCATAATTTTGTGTTTTGATCTAGATCCATCATCTTTATCAGCGATTATGACTTTACAGCCTCGAGATGCTAGTGATAATGCTATCTGATAGCCAATACCTAGAAAATATGATGCAATAGAAAAAAAAATAAGAATAGTTTGTGGCATATACAAAGTGAATCATAACTATTGGGACATAGAGTAAGCACAGGTTATTTGGAACAAAATATGAGGATTTGATCAAACGTGCCTTAATAGAGTAGAATAATTTTATTAACAATTTAACATATATCAATATGTTCATAGCAAGTCATATACTGAAAAAGTTGACAATATTAACAAATACAAATCAAAGTTAGAATTACTATCATTAGTCACAGTGACGGGCAATGCCAAAATTCGTAGTTATTTGTTAACTAAATAGGAAGGAACAGAAATGTAAGTGGTTAAAAAAAAAAAAAAATTACGTTACCATGGTACCGATTTACATTAGTTATTTATTTCAGTTTGAAACTTTTAAATGTCAAAAAATGTAGGTAAGTAATTATTCAGTACGTCGAAGTTTGGAAATGTCTGCGAGGCAGAAATAATTAGCGACATTGAACGTACAAAAATTTAAATCATCCATTTTGAATGAATTTAACACTTTTCATAAGTAACGAAATTTGGACATAATTTTATAATTCCTTAATTTTATTTCAAGAAATATTTTTTTTTGTGTGTCATCGGCATCCACTATTTTGATTATTAACCTCGTGTTCTGTCTAGGCTTTGTTACTGTTTTCCCACCGCCACTTTAGAACAGCACTGTTAATAATTAGAACCCAAAAAGTGAATGTTCGAGTAGGGAATCCTACTTATGCATTAGAATTAATATTTAATTCGTTAAATTAAATAAAAATCCTGTCACCGAGAGGATTAGAGACAGACCCTTCGATCTCAGTCATGACTAACAACCGAGTCAACCCACTCCAAATTTTCAAGGAATATTTTGTTACAGGGGACATCACATGAGCGATTTATGATAATGAAATTAAATTATACCTCTTCTTGACGAAACTACTAATTTTTATTAAAAATTTTTTATGTAAAATTGTGAATCATACTTGTCTAAACTTGAATATTTTCACAGTATCCGATAAAAACGCAACAAAATTAAACCCATTAAAAATAATTATCAGATCGAACATGAACAATAAAAAATGTTAACAAATAACATAATTGCAATTACAACTTTTACTATGTTGTAAATATTATTAGGTCATGATTTCTACTATCGACATGTCACTGACTATAAAATATGTAGATATCTGACGATTGTATATACAGTGGTGTTCCATAAAGTTGCATCCATATGGGAAATTTTTTAACATGAAGTATCATTGAAAAAACGTCGTAGGACATTCAACTCTAATTTTTTTAATACTTAAAATAGCTCATATTAAAGTTGGCTAGGTACTGCATTAGTTTAGATCAAATTCAGTATTTTTTCAAAAAAATCGTTATTTTATTTTAAATGCCAAGTTGACAGAAAACTAATGTCAGTAGCCAACTTTGATATGGGATATGGGCTATGAAGTTTTTTCAATCGTAATATTAATATTAAAAAAAATCCCATATGGTTCCAACTTTATGTAACACAGTGTATGTCTAAAACTACTTAAGTAATAAATATGAATCTTTTAAGTTATAAAGGTAATTTTAAAAAACCGACTTCAAAATCGTGCAGATGCCATTACAACTTGAGTTTGCTCATTTTCTCATAGATATCATCACCAGATTTTAACCAAATTTATATGGAACCACCCCTGAGGTACCTCCCTTCTAACAAAAAAGAATCATAGAAATCGGACAAGATGGTCAAGAATTATCATTCAGCAATATGAGTTATTTTTCATTTTAACGCCCTCTAGCGGGATAAAATTTGTTACATTTTGTGTAACGTGTGACACTTGATTTAAAAGCTAATTTTATTAGTAATCCAATGCACCACATTCCATATTGCACTTACAACAAAATAAAGTTAGTGTTACAGACGTGTTGTCATGTGAAATAAGCTTAAAATGTGTACTGTCATGAGTCACAAAAATATCAATAGCCGCAACCAGGAAACGTCTACGATGCCATTGCTGGTGAAGCTTGGAGTTACCACATAGTAATAAACAAGAAGATCTTTTAAAATCCAGCGAAGAATATCAGTTAAAACAGTTAGTAATAATGCAATCTTCTTTTTGTTTCATTTCAAGTTCATTTTTGTGCATTTAATTAATAATAAAACTAGCTTTTAAATGAAGTATCACACATTGTAAAGTTTTTATTCCGCTAGAGTGCGTTAAAATGAAAAGTGACCCAGTGGACAGTCATATTGCTGAATTTTCCATAAAATTACATTTTCAGTGATGTGTCATAGTTGGTATTTTCTATATTTAAATTGCATTGGTCAGATTGGAGGAGGGGATATAAATGACATATTACAGTTGAGGATACTATAGAAAGGGGGTCCCCTTGAAATAAAAATCGATGTTTTCGCGTTTCTTAAAAAAAAAGAATTCTTCAAGATAATCTGAGATACGGCCGGCCGCTACCCTTAATAAATCACCCTATATATGAAAGCACAAGTAATTGCTGCCTTATTGTTGACCTAATTTAAAGCTCTCAACATTCTCGAGACACATAACATTGCGAAGTATTCTCAGTGGCTCGCTTATAAATACAATTTTATATTAGAAAATCCTCACATTTTTTTTCCCGAGAGGTCCAGTTTGCTGTTAACCTTTTTCTTTTAGATTGTATGTTGTTTTTTATTTAATATTCGTGTTTTAATTTCTTTAAAAAAATTTTAGCAATTGAAATATTGAATTGATATTTTTATTAGGCCGATACCGATATTCGCCAATATCGTACTCTACATATCGGCCGATACCGATCTCGGTAGATCCTTAGTAATGAAGTACCCACCATCTTTTTTTGATGTCATAGCGGGAAATTGTACTAGAATCTACATTTAATTCAAATTTGTTTACTAAGTTATATATAAAAGTTCTATTAAAAAAAAAACAACCTATAATTAAACTTTCCTACAGAACAACATTTAAAGAAAACTATTTTAATAATAGGTAAACGTAAATTCAGGTTTTTTAATTTTTCCTACTTCTTTATTTAAAAACAAATTTAATTTCATACCCGAATTTCCTCCTGTAATAATAGCGGTTTTTCCAACAAGGCACACTTTGCTGCAGCACCAAGCATTTGTTACTTTGGATAATATACCGATGAAAAAAATACAAAAAATTATAAAACAAAGCATGTCAACGTTTACACTTATCACATTGAAATGCTCAGGAAAATTATTTAATTCAAAGGTTATGGCAATTAAATTCGAATTCGATAGCTTTTATCAATGATTGTAATATTGTAGTTGGAAATAAAAAATATGTAATTAAAGAGCATAAAAGCAATAATTATTGATTAGTCATAAGCATTTTTTATACAAGGAGTATTCCGGTTGCATATATAGGTACCATACCATTTTATTTATTAAGTCGATTGTTTTCCGAATAGAAGAATTTAAAAATTCATTTTCCAGCCAAATTAAAGATAGACCTAGGGTCACCACCAGGGGCTGGTAACTCAAATGGAAAAACATGAGGCTGGTAATTTAGTACCACTCCAATTAACGGGATGGCGCTCGTATCGAACTGTCATGTCAGTTGTCAGCTCGTCAAAACTTCAAACTCAGATAAAATAAAATGGCTGTTGTATTTGAAGGTGTATTGAATTTTGATTCAACTAGAATCTAGATTTATTTTTCAACACCTTCCAATTTTAAGCATGTTTTCAAAAGATGGGAAGATGGATTTCAGCAACAAACAATAAAGCACTCCCAGATATTGGTAGTAATGCAATTTATACCACATTAAATATGCAGTCGTCCCCCAAATTGTAATAAGTGTCTTAAGAAAAATGCACCATCACTGTACCAACGGTAAGTAATATTTACAAACTTGTATTTGATTCAGTGTTAAAATAATTGGTTTGTTATTTAAATTTCTTTTTGTTTTCAGTTTTTAAATGATCATTTTTGTAAAGAAAATGTTGGCCCTCCAAAATACCCTGTCGATCGATGAAATATTTGACCTCAGCCATCAATATCAAAAATTGATTCAATGCCATTGACATCAAACAAGAAAACACCCTAAAATCTTCAAGGTTCCAAACGTGTGTAAGTTTAATTTATGCTCAAAAGTTAAATTTATTTATCACCCTGCCCACATGATGAATAAAAATTTGATAACTACAAGTGCTGTATAAATGAATCAAGAAAACAATTATCGGATGAAGAAATGCTCCTCAACCTAACTAGTCAACTCAATAACCGTATGGCAAATTTTATCCACACTCAAATTTGCTTCGATAGTAAAAAAGGATGATGGATGCTTCAACCTCAATTTTTTCAAACTTATTTGCCACTCCAAGTCGCAAAACTTTTATAAAGGTCTTGAGCACTTATATATGCTGATTTTGTTACAGAAAACATTTTTGATAGGTTTGTTTTATAAATATTTAATTATTTAAATGGTGTAAATGCATATTTGTTTGAGTGTTTCCATGTTTAAATAGACAAATTATATGATGCGGCGTTAATTTACTGTAATAAATAAAATAAAATAAATTGCATTTTATTTCAAGTTTGAAATTAATGCAAAAATATAATGAAGTAAAATCAAATAAAGATAAAATTGGCAAAATATTTGACTAGTTTCTAATCACAAAACAGTCAATATGGTTGTTTTATGATTTAAAACTAGTCAAATATTTTTCCAATTTTTTTGCTTTATTTGATTTTCTTTATTACATTTTTGCGCTACTACAAAGTTACATTTCAAAAAGCCTGCTCGTGGCGGCCATATTGAATTTTAGTACCACTCCAATTTGATAGATGGCAGCACATCGACTCATAATTTTACCATTGAGTTTCCCATCTATTCAAGTAATCTATGGTCACCACTTACTAGACGTCAGGTAAAGTTCGGACATGTCCGGAATTTAGGTGTACTTAAAATCTAGTACAAATAGTTCTTTTGGCCGGTGAAATTAATTTTTCGTTAATTTTTTCATAATGTACTTTTTTATGTTAAATATTTAATGGAAGGTTGTCTTGTGTAGTTGTATTTGCGTATGCCCTTTGTATTATATAATGTTTTATGGTTAATTTTACGAATTTTTAATTGAAGAGCATTTTTTGTTTTTAGTTTAACATTACATTCATTAAGTAAATTTCTATGTTCCAAAGGCATTAGGCACATCGATCGAGAAACACAGAATCAGAATATATACCTTTTAATTTTACTTTTAGTTCAATTTAACTAAAACTAGGAAATATAAGGTTACTAAAATATTTTCCTACATTTTTCGATATACTTTGCATCTATTGCCTTCTCAATTACAATACAAAAATATTTCTTTTTATTTAAACAATATTTGAACAAAAACAATTATTAAAAATAACCTATATTTATTTTTGTAAATCAAATATAACATTAACTCTTCTATTCACATATACATTTAATCGGCCACTTCTCCAGATTTTAATCCGTTATCAACTAATTCGAATTTTCCATGATTTCCTCCTCCATTAATTAATTTATCTTTTTTATTTTTTTGGTGGACGTATTCAGCTACATAATATCCGATAACCCCTAAAACGAGTAGTCCCATTAGAAGGTATATTTTTATGTGAACGCAAAGGTATGGGCTGTAAATATATGTAATCACTGAACCAGTCGCTTCCCATAATCGGAAGTTGCTGAAAGCTGCTTCTTCTTTTCCAGGAAAGAGAATTCCACTATAGGCTAAAACAAAATTACAAAAGTTGATAATATAACAAACATTGTAAGAAATAGTGACGTTATTTTACATATTACTCATATAGAGCAAAAATTATTTAAAAAATATAAAAAATAAAAATTTATTTAAAAAGGAACATATATAATTATATAAATATAAATAAAATTAGTAATATTCCACCTGAAAATGCCGCAAGTTTTTTATCATGTGCCTTCTTATTGTAAAGTAAAATACTTTATCACTATTTTTACTTTATACAGGGTGTTTCAAAAAAAGGTGGTCCCGTTGCAAAATAAGTTGTTTTCTCAGTAAAAAAAAATTCATAACGCCATCCGTTTTCAAGATATAGGGTATTGAACGAAACGTATAACTAGCGCCCTCTATGAGAGGCAGTATGTTGCCAGTAGTTTCGACATAATTGTAAAAAATGTGCATATAATTTTTTTTCAATACCCTGTATTTTTTACTGAGTACACCCAACTTATTTTGCAGTGTTCTACCTATCTTAGCAACGGCGCCACGTTTTTTAGACACACCTTGTATATTCTTTTATTATTTATTAATCCACATTTTTCCCTTAAGTGCATACGTTTTCTTTATATTGGTTTTATATTTTTTTCCCTTAGTAGTTATGTATTTTAATAATTTTACCTTGTTTTTTTTTTATGTCAAAACAAGTATCTTACTTTTATTATTTTTATTATATTTATCATCTTTCTTTATTATCTCTTCATTATCCCTTTATTATCTCTTTATTATTTCTTTATTATCCCTTTATTACCTCTTTATTGTCTTTTTATTGTCTCTTTATTATCTTTTTGTTATCTCTTTATTATCTCTTTATTATCTCTTTGTTATCTCTTTATTATATTTTTATTACCTTTATTTTCTTTATTACCTATAGTATTTTTATTACCTTTATTTTCTTTATTACCTATAGTATTTTTATTACCTTTATTTCTGGATTCTGTTTTACAGTGGCGGATTGCCCATGATAATAATTTATTTATTGTGATTACGAAAAAACCTTAGTTGGACCATTGGAATAGTTAAGAAATAAAACTACAAAGAAAAATAACTTTTTTTTATAAAGCAGTCAAAAATATGATGAAAAAAAATCAATAATATTTATAAATGGGACAAAATTTTAATTTTTCTTTTGGTATTGTCTGACCTTTTCGAAGATTTCAAATCTCTGTTTGCATATTTAAGAGTCTTATAAATAATTTAATGGTGTACATTTTCGCAAATTGTCAAGGATGACCAAATTCTATTTTGCTCATCTCAAAAAGGTATGCGTTGGAAATTCCAGGCTTAGTTAACAAACTATCAAATAGAGATATAAATATTTTTTCTAATTTGAAAATATAAAAGAAACATTTTTCGCTGGAAGATTTTAAATTGCCAAACATCTTTTCTTCAGAGTCGTATGCTTTAAAATGCGTTAACAAGTTAGACTTGTTAAGTAAATTGCATTCTTTTGAGAAATTTACGCAAATTTCGCAAGAGTGGATATGTAATGATTTTTTGATTAAATAGCCACATAGTTAAATGCATTTTGAGTGGTCACATTTAGCTCCCTGTAGTCACATTCAGAAATCGTTATTCCCCAACTGATTGTTTTGAAATATATTTAATTTTCATTAAGCGGAGAACTTGTTTTCCTAAGGGAAAAACTAATCCCAGGATTCCTTTCCAGTGTGTGCCCCACTGCCGCTAGTGTCCATGAGCCGCCACTGCTGTTTTATGTATTTTCCGCAATTTATATTTATTGAGGAAATATTATATTATTACTCACAATTAATCTGTACCAACCATAGTGCGTCACATATTCCCCACAATCCAGAAATCATAAAAAATATCCAACTATTATCAGGACTCGGCATCCACAGTAGCAATGTTATTAAAAGGGCCATGTGTAGGATAAAAGCGAAGAAAATGACAGGTCCTCTTCCGGTAATTTTTACTATACTTCCAGAAAATATTGAAGCAAGTCCGTTGCACACTCCAAAGCATATCATTACATAACCGATGTTGCTGATTCCCCAGCTGCAAGAAACGAACGCCTAAAAAATAACATATTATTTAATACAATTGGTTCCTAATACTAAAATCATTGTAAAAATGGAAATCAAAATAAAAAAAAGGATTTATTAACATTCCTTTTTATTGAAATGTCTTAAGGTACGATTTGAGAACGCGAGACCGATGCAAGCGACCGAGACAGACGACCGATTCACTTACGTTACGTATTAAAAGTGCTGTCGCGGTCTCTTGTATAGGTCGCTCGGTCCCAAATGTGGTTCATATAATTACATATGATTCAGACGGTTGCCTTACGCGGTCGCTTGCTACGGTGTCCAGCCTCGGTCCCGCGTTCCCAAAAGGTACCTTTACGCGCGTATTTATAAAACGAATTCAGGTGAATCGGAATCAGTAATAAACAAAGATGCATAACTATTTATCTGTTGCTGTCGCAAGATGCTACACTTACCGCAGTATAATCTGCAGCTAAAAATGCTTGTTCAGCTCCTATAAACATAGTAATAGGCAGTATTAAAATTTGAACTGGATGTTTGGCATGTTTTAGCGTAACGACGAGTAATCTCCATCCTGATGCAACAGCTTTAGTTTTATTCTTGTTTGTTCTATACCTGAAAAACTAATATTTTTTAAAGAAAATTATAACTTCTAATCTATGTACAATGCTCTTAAATACCTGAATTAAAAGTGTTTAAAATTAGCATTTATTTGAATAAATATAATTTCCGAAAGAAATGATTTATAAATGGTGTTTTTATGTTTTTATAATGCATTTATTTACTGCTATTTGTTATTTAAATAAGTTATATTGAATGTCTAGAAACTGCTAATATTCTACGATTATAAATAATATAAAAAGTAAGAATATCGTCATGAATAAGACATTTTTTATAGCTGCAGCCAAGCCGTTTGACAATTAGAGTAAATTAAAAAAATATAGATATACATATACAAGCCACATCCTAGATTACAATAAAATATTACTTACTTCGAAATTTTATCAACACCAAAAGCAATTATAAGTACAGCGACTACCATACAGAAGAAGTAAATTCCAGTTATTAGATTAATCTTTGCCTGAGAAGGTGGCGTCAATTCTGGAATATCATCAGGAGAAGAAGCTAACCCAGGACAAAAATTCGCTCCACATTTGTTTTCGAGATTTTGAGTAAGGTTTGCTTTGATTCCTGTCGTATTTAGAAATAGATTGACAACCGATGAGGTAGTGTTGTCTTTTAAAGTTGGAACATCGTCTCCGCCCGAAGATAAAACTAAAATTTTCAGTAAATTATTTATTAATAGAGCTAAATCGCTACTTAAAAGATACAACACTTGTAGGTAAAAAAAGAGTCAAAAAGCCTCAAACGTCTTTAGAAAATTAGCGGTCATATTTTTCTCTTTCATGTGCTGGTAAAGGTTTAGAATTTTTAGTTAAAAAAAAAAGATTAAGAAGAATCCTTCCTAATAGCCGATTTTAGACTATTATTTTACATTTAAGGGTGTTAATTTATAAAAAAAAACAACAAATTAAGCAAATAAAAATCCTTACTTGCGGAGCTAATGAGATTACCCCAAACTTGCGAAAATGAGTAAAACATAAAAAATATCCCGAAGAATCTTGTTACTACTACTTCAGACTGAACGCCTGCAAGTTTTGCATACGCCTCTGAAATAACCGTCAAATAAGTACACTTCGCGCACCAAAGAGGACCACCTCCGAATCCTACAGCGAGTCCTGCTGGAATTAAAGTGTAAAATCTAGGATGGAATTGAGAAAGAATGAACGGCATGTAAAGAATCAAAGATAATGCTATTGTCCATTTCACTCCCAGCCATCTGAAAACAAAAGGATGTATATTTATTGTCGGTGTCTAACCCACGTAACATCAAATGTTCTATGAATATAGTGAAAATGTTCTATGAATATATTAAGAAAGTTCTATGAATATATTAAGAATGTTCCATTTATGTCTTTTACGATATATACTTTTTAGAATGTTCTTAAAACATGCGTAGAATATACTTTGAAAGTATATTCTGAAAAGTACAACTGAGGAGCGTTCATTCAAAATCAAACATGTCCACTTTTACACAAAATGCGATTGAAACAAATTCCGGATATTCTTCCTGGATTCTATCGATTCCTGACATCAGAATCGTTCAAAAGTAGGCATAATCCATTTAAATCTGCATGTACATATCGATAGTTCAGACAAAATCAGACATGTCCAGATTTAATATTTATTTGTGAATATGTGTGTGTATTGTATTAAGTTTTTTATACTCTACTCCAGTAAAAAAAGTCATACACGTCCATTCGTTGTTTTTTTTTTTAGATTTTCGCCGCTTCCTATTTTTTTTTTTAATATTAATATGTGTAATATCAATATCATCTTATAATTTGAATAATTTTAATTTTGAGACCCTACGACAAATAAGATTTTATTGTTTTTTCGAAACTACTTTACGCTCCTCAACTGAGCACGTGCCTTAATAGTATATTCTAAAAAGTATATACTGAGCACGTGCTTTATTAGAACATTCTTAAAAGTGACTTAAAGTCATATACCCAGCATGTACCTCATATTCTGAGAACGTTATAAATGCTTATATGTAAAAATTATCACGGAATATAAAAACTTACTTTATCACTAATGTTGGCAGAAATAGATTGGATACGAGTAGAGATCCGTAAATACTGGCTAGTGTAAAAGTGCCCAGGGCAGCTTCAGAATTAACAGAACTTTGTAGATTAGAAGCTCCCCAGAAAGCTGTAAAATGAATCATAAATGCGAGTCCTATTAATAAAACGTTTTTCCATATTTTCCATTTGTGAGTTTTGTCCAATTCATCACAGCCACCTTCTTTATCAGTAGTTTTTAGGCTATGGAATTTTGCGTCCATAATTTGGCCCCTGTAAAAATACAAAATACATAACATAATAATTATTCATGTACTTTAATCATTAAAGTAATTCATATGCCTCATTAATATATTACACATTTCTAAAAACTATATTTTGAAAACTAACAATAAGTTTTCAAATAAAATATGCACATTCAATATAATTGTCCAAAAGTATGTATTTCCTGATGTGTGGAAAGTAGCTAGAGCCAAGCCTGGGATAATACGAATATAAAAAATTATCGTTAAATATGGAGTTTTACAAAGGTTTTGAAGACTCTGTGTTTATGCATACCCATCTAAACTATTATATTTCAATCAAGATACTGTACTTCCAAGCTTGTAGAAATTTCTCAGTAGGTACATAGCTGAAATTGTGGACAGTAAACAACAGGTTGATGTCATTATATTACACTGATTCCTCCAAGGTTTTTAAAATAAATGACCACAAAATATTAATTGATGTACTAAATAATTTTTGTTTTAATGTTTCTCTCACTAGTTTAATATAATATGTATTTAACAGTTTGTTGCTTACAACTGTTTCTATTCTAGAATTTCCCTTCATCACGTGTCCTGCAAGGATCTAATTTATTACCTTTACTGTTTTTATTATTTATCAATGATCTTTCCTCATCATTAAAATGCAAACATTTATTATTTGCTAATGATTGGAAAATTTACTCAAACGTCACTTTTTAATTACATTGCTAATTTCTTCTAATTTGCAATTTGTAGATCACATTAATACTATACAGAATGCCAATTTAAAAACTTCACATTGACAATATCTCCTATTAAAAAAGAATATAAAGAATCGCTCAAAACAAGTAGATTTTTATTCCAAGAGAGATATACCTTTTTATCATATTCTCAAATTTCATATGTCAGTCCACTCCCCTTCGCCACACTAACCAATATAATTTAAATATTAAAAGTACAAATCTAACCCATCATTGAAAAGGTAATTTTATGGGGAATTCATCAATATGACTGCTCATTCCGTTTCTTTTATTTGTACGCCGCCGTCTAGCGGGATAAAAACTTACATATTGTAAATTGTTACACTTCATTTGAAAGATAATTTCATTAGTAATTGAATGCGTAGCATAAATTTGCTATTTTGGTTGATTGCGATTGAAGTTAAATTGATGTATTCCCAAAGAGGTTAGAAAGGGTACAGGTAACATAGAAAGCATTTGCCGCTGCGCGAATTTTGCCAAAACCGAAAAACTAGGTAAAAGGAATAGGGAGATGTTCTGGGCCGGACTTAAATAGTTATATGTAGTACCTAATTTTGGTAAATGTTAAAAGATGAAAAATTATGAGAAATTTTTTGAGTTTATTTGTAAGCACGATTCATTTATGATGAGGGCAATAATACTTCATCACTATATAGCTAGTAGCTAAATAAAAGTTTATAAAATTATTGTACCAAAATAGCTATTTGTGTATTAAGAGCAGAAAATAGCACTTTGGCAGTTGAGACAGAAAGTTGCCTCGCGACGCGTTAGCCAAGGCAGTAAATCTGTTTTTCTGCCGTGTGAAACATATAAATTTTTCTACGATTATTTATACAGTGTGTTTAAAAAAATGGAATTAAAATGAAACCCTCTTTTAAGTATAACAGATACAACTCACGCATTTTTAATATTTATTCTAATCGTTGTTTTTATAACTATATACCTTCAATTCTTATACAAATATACTTATAGTGACTTTGTATTTAATTTTAACTTTGTAGTTAATTTATTAGAGTAACTTTTTTGGCCAGATGCTCATGCAGAGCAATACTTCAAAAGAAAAAAGAAGAAAAAGTAAATTTTGAATTCCTAGGCTATAAAAGTGTTACTTCTATGATCGAGAAGTATCACTAAAAGTGACATTTAATGTCAATCGGAGAAAAAATTTATTTTTGCTTCACCATACAGAGGTACCAATCATTCTGTCTAGATCAACATATTTTCAAAGTTGGCAGGATACACTACTTGTTGGCAGAGCTGAGCAGTACTCAAAATTGTACTTAAGTATTCAAAGACGAGACTCAGTACTCAAAATTTTTCCAGTACTTTATATTTTAGAGTACTCAGTAGATCAGAACTTCTGAATCCTACAGCTAACGAGTATCGAGTATGAGTACTCGCTGAATGAACTTAAAAAGATGACAAAAAACTTTTTTATTTTTACCTTTTTGAAAAAAATGTTAGCCTTCAAAAAAAAATAATTATAATCCAAATAGAAGTTGAATCTATTTTCTTTAGTGAAATATTTTTTCGAACTTAGAACCCAGTGGATTTTCAGAATTTTCGGTTCAGCACAAGAACTTTAAAATTCATTGTTTTTAAAATACAATGTTTTTTTTAAATATTTTTCTCATTATTTCACTAAAGCAAAATAATAATGTTCTGTTTGGATTATTATAGGTTTTGAAACAAGCAAAAACTTTTATGAATAATAACATTTATTCGAAAAGGCGAAGATAAAAAAAATATGTCTGTTTTTTTTTAGTCCATGTATGTTCATTTCAGTCCGCTCTGTATATAAGGTATCGTTATGTCCAAATTTTAGGAGCATAAAGTACACTTATTTTCAATTAAAAAAAAAAAACGTAAAAATTACATATCGATTTTTATTTATTTCAAAGTTACACTCCTATATATTATTGACAGATAATAAATAATCAAAATTCATTCTTAACGTAAATATAAAAAAAAAATGATCAATTAATAATATTTTTTTTTAATAAAGTCATAATTTTATAGCTTTCGGTTGCGCTTTCCGACATTCTTATCAGTTCGAAGTTTTGTTAATATTAAATATCTAATATTATCGTCATCTAATAAACCTTTTAAAATGATAATTTCTGATACCTCTTCAATATTATGTACTATTATCGACAAAAAAAAGAACTTTAATTTAAAATTTTTAAAATGAAGACAATGACTAATTTAAAAATTTCATATTTGCAATAAGTCTTATTGTAGCATGGAATTAATTTTCCTCTAATTACGTTATCACTGTTAGTGGCTGACGTTATAGAATATCTTTCTAATAAAAAAGAATTTACTTTATTGACCTTTAAATAATATTAATTTATTATACATCCATCTCATGCCCTTGCTTTTTCAAATATTTTTTAATTGTGCAATGAATCATGAACAGTTATGTACATTGATGCTACTAACTTTATTAAAATACCATAGTGGCAGCTTAAGGCGTAATGGTCCTTAACGTGATTATCGAGTTTATAGAATAGATTTAAATTTACTAACATACACAGTATCGACTACCGAACGTTTTCCACTACGCTCTCAACCACAAAATTGCCTATAAATGAATACAAGCGCCACTGAGACGATGATAATATTCTAGTTGGTAAAATATAAACTGAATAATGTTTGTTTCTTCTTCTTTGATTTATATATTTTTGTCACCAAAATATTTAAAAAAGTAACTATATAATATTTATTTTTTTTTCTTTTTAATATGGTTTGATAAAAGCTTAATCAACCTTGGCTTGGAAAAAATACTGTAAAAGTCGCTCTGCCGTGGATTATTTATCCTTTAGTAATATTAGATCGATCACTAAAGATGAATTTAGGATAGCCTATAAAAAAATTTACAGACAATCTTGAATCCAACATTAAAACCAATCATAATTGATTCTGGTCATTTATTAATTCCTCAAAGGGTCATTCTACTATTCCCGCCCAAATAGTACATGAAAATGTTGAATATATTGGCCTACAAGAGGTGGTTAATGGATTTGCTTCATTTTTCCCCAATAACTTTACTCCTTCTGGCACTTTAATCAAAATATTCTAAGTATCAGAGAATTTTCTGAAAACGAAATCTTGGTGGCTGCTAAAAAACTAACGCCAAAACAGACTAATGGTCCCGATTTAATACCGGCCTTCTTAATTAAAGACTGCATATATATTCTGTAAACCTCTGTATACCATTTTTAATCTCATTCTCAAACTTAAGAAGTTTCCTGATTTTTGGAAGGTTCCTAGAATTTGTCCAATATTTAAAAAAAGCACAAAAAATGACTTAAGTAATTATCGTCTAGTAGTTATTCTAAGCAATGACATCTCCGAAGATCTTGATATTAATAAAGATATATATGCTGATGATATGAAACTATTCTGTGAGATAAATGCCGTCAATGACTGCTTAAACCTTCAGCGAAACCTTAATCATGTTAATAATTGGTGTATCAGAAATAAGCTCCCTATGAATCCAAGTAAATGTAACGTAATGTCTTTCTGTCGGAAAGAATAAACTGTTCAATTTGATTACAATTTAAGTATAATAAAATTGAAGTGCTTAGGAGTTCCCTGTTTTTACAATTTCTACAGGGTGTTTCAAAAAGATTGGTCATAAATTATACCACATATTCTTAGGTCAAAAATAGGTCGAATAAACCGTATTTACCTATATACAAAAGTGCACCCAAAAATAGTTACAGGGTGTATAAGATAAAAATTTAAATGAATTTTTTTAACGTTGCTCTTAAACCGTTTGATATTTTTTCATGAAATTTTATATGACGTGTTGGAATACCGTGACTAATAATACCGAGGAAGAGGCAAAATTTTTTTCTTGATTTTTATAGGTTTTTGGAGGGGGTCACCGCTCTTTTCTCCACTCAACTTTTTTGTGGTATAAAATTTAAATACAAATGAAACGCCACTGGAATGCAACTTCCATAAAAACCAGTTTAGTTTATGAGGGACTCGAAACTCTTCGATTTTTTCCAATAATAAAACAAATAATTCAATATATATTTTTATATCTATGTGTCATTAATAAGTAAAAGGAAATTAACGAGGTCAAGACTAACAGATTTCACCTTAATTAATTTTACTTGAAGCCTGTCTAAAAACTAGTTTGGCATAGATAAGTGAGGAAATTGTTATGTAATATACTCCCCTAGGAAATAAAATACATACTTATTTAAACTATTTTATTTTTTAGATTTTGCATATCCCAGGACTTGAAATAAGA